TAATCAACAGAGTTTGTGACCTTGACAGTTTAGATAGTAGAGGCTGAGCAGATATAAAAGGGGGCATTTACAGGTGAGCAGACACCGAGGTTCAGACAGTAACCACCATGAAGGCTTTCATTCTTCTGGCTCTCTTTGCTGCGGCTTGTAAGTGTGGGCTTTAGGTACAGCAACTAAAACAAACATTTTCTGAAATTTAACTATTATTTTAAATTCAGATGCCGCTCCCATTGAGGATGACAAAATTGTCGGGGGATACGAGTGCAGGAAGAACGGCGTGCGCTATCAGGTGTCTCTGTATTCTGGGTATCATTTCTGCGGAGGCTCCCTGATCACCAGCAGCTGGGTAGTGTCTGCTGCTCACTGCTACAAGTCGTAAGTTTAAGAATATGTGTGTCACATTTAGTGGTAACCTTATTGTGAAAATAAAAAGTTGCCATTATGAGAACTTTTTGCTTGTGTAAGTTTAAATGTACTTACATAAATCTCTGTTATCATATTAGCCGCATTGAGGTGCGTCTTGGTGAGCACAACATTGCAGTCAACGAAGGCACTGAGCAGTTCATCAGCTCTTCCAAAGTTATCAAGCATCCTAACTACGACAGCTATACTCTGGACAACGACATCATGCTCATCAAGCTGAGCAGCCCTGCCACCCTGAACAGCTACGTGGGAACTGTGTCCCTGCCCTCCAGCTGCGCCTCTGCCGGAACCACGTGTCTCATCTCTGGATGGGGCAACACAAGCGCCTCTGGAAGTCAGATATTACCCATAAGTATTGTAAATGTGAAAAAGATGAGTGCAAAATTGCATACTGTTAATTCTTTGCAGGCAACTACCCTGACCGTCTGATGTGCCTGGATGCCCCCATCTTGAGTGACAGCAGCTGCAGAAACTCCTACCCTGGAGAGATCACCTCCAACATGTTCTGTGCTGGATTCCTGGAGGGAGGCAAGGACTCCTGCCAGGTAACCACAGCACACAACTATCCACTGCATGAACCTATTGTTTAAAGTCATGTAATTTATGGTATATTAACACATACCGCTCTGTCTCAGGGTGACTCTGGTGGCCCTGTCGTGTGCAACGGTCAGCTGCAGGGAGTGGTGTCCTGGGGCTATGGCTGCGCCCAGAAGAACAGACCTGGTGTCTACGCCAAGGTCTGCAACTACAACACCTGGATTCGCAACACCATGAGCTCCAACTAAAACCATTTAACAAATAAACCATGCAATAAAAACTAAAATGTTTCTGGATTCAATTAAATCACATGTTATCCACTATTTAAAAGTTATAGTTAATTTAGCCAGACTGACAATATACAGGTGAAAACAAGTGCAGTAATGTACTGCAACACTGTTGTAATGTACAAATGAAATTGATATTAAGGTTTAAGGTTAATATCAATAAAGTCAATTCAACTGTAAGTTGGACGCTGCAATGTTATATATTTGTTAGCATATATTTTTATTTTATAGGTTCTGACTGTAAAATATATATTTGTATGAAGCTTATACACACACACATGCCCTTTGTACAGTGTTTGCTTTTTCATAAACAGGGAGAGTTCTTTGAGATTGTGCAGTTTTTCTGTTTTAATAATTGGTCTGCTTTAATTTTCTGAACAGTCTGATTGGAACTGAATCAATACAGGATTTTGAGACAGAGCCCTCTTCTTGAAGTGAGGCATGGCAGCACTGATATTTAGACAGCAAATACTGAGTCCTAAACTTACACTGACACTGCTTACAGTAAGTTAGTACAGGAAGTCCAGATGTTTGCTCATGTTCTTTTGTAGAACTCCACAAAACGGACACCATGCCCACTCATGAGACAGCTGAAGCGGCCATTGCATTGACGATGAATCCTTTGGTGCTGCCAGAGCTTCTTCCAGTTCTCCAGGGTCTCGCCACAAGAGGTGCAGGTGTACCTCTGGTCTCTTCTGTATGTCAACATGTAGGCACAAAGCCTACCCATGTGTCTGAAAAAGGCAGGGCAGAAATACTTCCTCGGGTCAGAGGTCAGGTTATTTAAACGTGGCATGCATGTATTTTTGCATTGCTATAATGCACAAAGGACTTCTCACTGCGTGTGCAGTTGTACCTCTTCACAGACAAGTGTTTGAGCTTATGGATGAGCAGGAAGTACACTTGGTCAAATGCCTTGGAGCAAATGTCACATTTATAAGGCTTTTCTCCAGTGTGGATGTGCAGGTGTCGCACCAAGGCAGCTTTCTACAATATTGACATACTTTCTTTTTCTGTTTATCAGAGGCCATTTTAAGTTTGTCAGTGGTTGTTGTTCTCATTTTTGCACACAATGTTAGCATTAAAAAGGTGGATTTGTGAGGTCTCTGCTACTTGAACAGTTGTTGTATGCATCTTTATGTGAGAAAAATATTCAGAGTAAGCACATTTGAGGGGGGAATATGAACACTGAATGTACATTTTGTTCTTGAAGTAAGACTTCAGGTGGGAGTTCATATTAGAGTAAAGCTAGTAAAGCCTTTTCCACATTCAGGACATACAAAAGGTTTTTCTCCCGTGTGAATGTGCTCATGGACAATTAACTTGGGCTGAAATTTAGATATGCGAGGGCAGTACATGCATTTTAAGAGTTTTCCTCCACCCTTTGAGGATATGTTGCCAAAGGCTATTTATGCCCCATGATGGACAAGGAGCATGTGCAATATTTTCAAGCAGGTTTACCTCAATTTCCTCACTTTTGATTTCTAGAGGAATTCCATTATTATGTTCCAGTGTTGACAGGCCTGGGGTGCCGTCTTCTGGTGATGTGTTTTTATCACAGTCTGTAGCCTGCAACACATTTCCAACAGAAAAACAGTCTTGTCTTTGATATAACTCCATAATTTCTGTGGCAGTCTGTCTTAAAACATATAAATGGTGTGAACTGTAAAGTAATTATCTCCTTACCATGTGTAACTCCAGATTAATCATATTCACTTGTTTTTGGTGTTGAGAATAATTTGCTGTTTCAGAAGGGAGTGTTGATCCACATGGTTTAATTTCTCCAGTTTACTCCAGGTCCTTCACTTCTCAACAGATCAACTATGTATAGTTTATTTAGGCCTATAAAAGAAAACACAATGCATTAATTAACTTTACATGTGGTTTTATCCAATCAGAGACCATTCAAGTAGACCGTTCAAAAGTAGGACATAATTTAATATTGGAAATAACTTGCTTAACAAATGTTTTGATTAACAAAATAAAAACTAAAGTCTAACATCACCTGGCATGAGTTTAAGTAGTAGTTAGGCAGCAGAAAAAGAAAAAATGTGTCATAAACAGTGAATAACACCACAAGGCCACCAGTGCAGGCATACCTACAATAGCATGTAGCATAGGGTGACCAGATTTACCTGGGACAGTCCCAGTTTTGAGCCCTGTGTCCCCTGTCCCAGCAGATTTATACAAAACAATTGATTTGTACCAATTATTTACAAGAAATGTCCCAGGTGTATCCTTTTTTAACCAATTTGATCTAAATCAGGTCTAAACTAAGACTAAACCAGGACTACATCAGGTCTAAATCTGGACTAAACTAAGACTAAACCAGGACTACATCAGGTCTAAACCTGGACTAAACTAAGACTAAACCAGGACTATATCAGTTCTAAACCTGGACTAAACTAAGACTACACCAGGACTACATCAGGTCTAAAACAGGACTATCACAATTTTGTTGAGTAATCTGATTCCTGCCAATAGTAAAGCGAAGCATAATTTGTCATTTGTTAAGCCAAAATACACAATAGTCGTGTTTGCAAATGACCATAAAGCTAAATAAACAAACAAATAAATAAATAAACAATAATGCAGCGTCAGAACTCCCTCTGACAAGAGAATGCACAATGTTACACGCTCTTTTCCCAGTTTTATTTATTCCAAACATCCCAACCCGAGTGTGTCCCAGTTTTGAATTTTGAAAACGTGGTCTCCTTAATGTTGCAGCTTTTCTTTGTCAAAATTTGATATGTGAAATTACTGTATGAAAATTACCTGCACAATACTGGGTTACTACTGGGCTAATCTAATGTAATGACAGCAGTAGATGTACCATAGGCCTATCTCCACCCGTGGCAACATTTAGCATACCGTGCACACGTTTAGGACACTAAATTTACTATCACTAACCGTATATAAATCCATGTATTATTCACTTGCCCAAATCTTCCTACGATAAAGTCACACTCATCTTACAGCTTGATTCACTCGCATTAAGTGCACCGCTGCTCTCACTGTAGCCTCAACTATACAACATACACCTAAAGGGTTAAATCAAGAGGGCTGGTCTTATTCTCACAGTACGAAGAGGCCGATTGCGTTAAATGCTTAGAAATAAAATGCCGTTAATCCACGTGTCTGCTTCGTTAAAGACCGATAAGACACCGTGGTCTCAGTGCTTACAGCAGGCGTACTGCACAAAAAACAGATAATACTAGGCCTACGTGATGTGCCTTTATAGTGATGACAGATGGAATTCATGATATTGGTATTCACCTAAACCCCAGCAGTGGAAATATTTCAGAGAGCTATTAGTATTCGTTCGAAAATATAATAATCAATTCTGTAAGTTATGCAGTGAAAGCAATAACGCCACCTACTGGAAGGGGAGAAAACCCCATTCACATTCCTATGAACTGTTTTACGGTCAAGATTTGTACTAAAGAAAATGTACAAATATATAAACATTTAAGATGAGATTACAGAAAATACATTACCAAAACAATACAGGCATGACTAAAAATAGTTTATTATAACAAATGCCCAGCAATATATACACATACAAGTGGTGCCAAAGTTAATATGTTTAAAAGTACAATGCAAACTTTTCAACACTCATACTGATTGATGTTTTTAAAATGTGTACAGTAAATAAAAACATGTAACAAACATGAATGATATTAGCCTATTTACATGTTACAATGTTACACAATAGCTATACATGGTAGCAAATATGACAAATCTCACTTAAATACTAGTTCAAGTCTTGATGGGGACAGAGGAGGTCACTTGGTAAATCACCTCTGCCGGTTTCTCTGGTCCACTTTCAACAATGAAACAGTCGTCATCAGCAACTGCTGTCGATGTGTCTTTATTGTTCACATTAGAAAGTCTGTTGCCACCAGGGACAGACAGGACAGTCTTTGCGACACTCTTTTGCAAAGATGAACTAGGAATTTGCAATGGCACAACTTGTCTTTGCCGGTTAGCTGGTGCAGTGAGTTTATGTTTCATCAAGAACTCGTGAGCTTTAGCACACTTGTGCCTCTGAAGGACGTTGATACTTTCAAAGAAGACATGACAGACTCGACACTCATAGCCTTTCCCAGGTGTAAGGCTCACGGCTCCAGGACCAGCTTGTGTTGCAGGTGAGTTGTTTACACTGAGTGTTTTGGCATTTGAAATTAGAGATTTAGCTTGAACAGGCTTGGGCCGCTTGGCAGCACTGGTAGTGTAATTAACACAGAAACCTTTATTAATTTTAGAGGATGCAATATTATTTGTGATTTTCACTGTTGGAGGGGAAATTGGAAGCTGGCCCAGTCCATTCGCTATGTTTGCAGTGATTTGGGTAAGCGGTCTAGCAGTAATAAGCTTGAATCTATTGAATTTGCTGTATGGAGAGTTGCAAGGATGGAAGCGTGGAACAATCTTCCTGCTGGAGAGGAGCAGTCCGCAACCAATGCAACCAAGCACTTTGTCTGCAATGTGGGTGTTATGATGTATGACTAGGGCCCTTCTGGTTGAAAAGGATTGTCCACATTTACCACAAATATATGAATGTGTCTTGGAAAAAGAACGCAATGTTTTCAAAACCACAACAGGTTGGAAAAGTGTCCATAGATCCACAGTTGGAGCACCAATATTTGAAAACATTTTGCTTGTGTCTGAGGCCTGAGACATTTTTCATCAAATCTGGAGAAAGATGCGGTAATATGGGTGGCTGGACTGGGCCTTGGGGCACCTTGGGTAAAATGGGTATTTGAGGGGCAGTTTTTGAAAGTAAAGACTTAGGACTCTGCCAGATAACCTCACCAGATAGAAGTCTTTTCAACTTCTCTTCTTCCTCGCAATGTTTTTCAATTCTTTGCTTCTTTATAGTTTCATGACAAAGTACCTGGTATCCCGAATCATGGGAACTATTGTGTTGCAGCATGTCATTATATGATGTAAACTCAGTTCCACAAGAACAAATGTAGGATGGAACTGAGCAAAGATGTTCTTCAAGATATTTTCTACTTGAAAAAATCTGCTCGCAGTTGAAGCAAAACTGATCAGCATTCATCAAATCTGGGTTAAAATCACCGTCCAGCATATTTGGCAGGTCTTGATTTCCACTGTACATGTTGTGACTTGTTCTGTAGAAAAAAATAGGATTCACCAAAAGGTCACCAAAATGATAAAAAAATAAAAATAAAAAATACCCGATGGGCCTATATATACATATATATTCAGCGCAAATCTATATTTTAATGGTTTAATGATTTAAAACCTCTGGCAAGTATATATCAGAATATAGCTCTATCTAATGTTAAAACTGCAAACATACCACAAAAAGGTGTTGTTACCAGGTAAACAGAAGTGAATTCTCAGTAAATTGGCGTTTTTATCAAGGATCATACTAGCATTAGCGAGTCGTGGTTGCATTACCACTAACATTAGTAAACAATCATTAAATTATGCTCACCTGGCAACACAAACCACTAGACAAGACTTGATAGAGTTTTATAGTGCGGAGCCACGACTATCCGTCTATTTTATCCTCGTAAGTTGACAAAAACCCGGGAATTTGCGCCTCGATGAAAAAAGACGCCGACCCAAGAGGCAGGAAACAGGAAACGCACTCCCCAAGTTTAAAAAGCCCAACTCTGTAACAGCGACCCCAACAATGTGGAGGTAGTATCGCAACAACAATATCTTCCTTACGTGACTACATCTGTACAATATGTACTACCACGTTTGTTTCTAATACACCGGTGATCAAATCTGTATGACATTAAAAAAAAATTCTACCATTCACTAAAAACCTTATTTTACAGTTGTTCATAGATGTAACATGGCCATTAAAGACACAGCATGTTGTCATCATCTTCAAGATTTTATTTTATTTTTTAAGTGCCATTGTTTCACTAGACTATAATCAAAACACCTAAAAATCTACACTGCTTCAAACTTCATTCTGTGTAACAGCACTGAATAAATCAGGAAATGCCCATGCTCAAGTACACACAACATTTCATTTTGTAATCTATTTATTCAATTAACAGATTTCAGAAATACATACATCTGCATGCACATCCTACATTTTAAAAGCCACTACAGTGTTTAATATCTTGACACCTGTAAAAAAGCACATGATGACATTCATGATAGGTTTAATTCTTGGTAACAAATACCTGGCACAACACATACAAAACACGACGACATTAGAATCAATTTGAGTGAGTTTTGTTAATTTTACAGATAATTATGTGGTACTCCTGCAAATATTTTTGGAGTATTAGACTTGGAGAAACTATAAACTTTAATACTAAGTTAAGAGTTATTAAAATATTAAAGAGTCTTACAGTGGATTTTGGTTTACGTTCTAAACATAAACTACAAGACTGCTTGCATTTGTAAGCAGCAGTGATAAAATTAGAATAGGGTAGTCTGCTAAACTTTAAAGAGGCATTTATTTAAAATCCTATACACTGACTCCAGGTCAAGTGCCTTCGGAGAGAGCACCGTCGGGCAAATGTACTACCACATCTTGGACAAGCAAACATTTGTTTTCTATTGGAATTTTTCAACTCTTTCTGACTTTGTGGTGCCTTTTCAAGGAGGCCAATTGCAGTTGACTGTGGGAGTGGCACGTTTGTTTTCAATTGTAATAATAGAGGGTTTAAATGTCTGTGATGCTGGGGGTGCATGTGAAGTTGCAAGTGAATCTCATAATCTGCCCATGAATTTACAGTGACACCACAGGTTGGGCAAGTGTAGGACTCCTGAGCATGTTTCTGTAAATGCTCCAGGAGAAGTTTGGGAGATGTGAAGCCAATGCCACACTCACATGTCACTCTTCTGGGGAGAACCGAGGGCAGAGACATGATGCTCCAGTTGCCTGCATCATCCTCCTGTGGAAGATCCTGTGGAGCATTAGAGGGAGGCAAGCTTGAGTTAATTTCAATGGCAGAATTTGGAATCATTGTCCGTCTCAATTCACATTTCTTTCTATGAACCATCATATTATCTTTGCGATTGAAGTTTCTCCCACACACATAACATGGATACATTTTTACATTGTTGACATTTACTGATGTGCTATTGGAATTGTGCCCACTCCCCAAACCTTTTAGGTTAATACCACATACTTTTCTATGTCGGCTTAAATTACTAGTCAAGCCAAATGTTTGATGACATTTGTTACAAGGGTAACGCCTGACTCCATTTTTTATAAAAAAGGTCACACGTGCACGTCTTTTTTTCTCACTTGAATTGTGTATTTTTTGTCCATCGTCCAAAGGCATGGTCCACTGACTGTCATGTTCTTGTAGAAAAGATGCCGCAAATGTAGATGCATTTTTATGCTGGTCCTGTATTGATGATGCAGAAGACCAACTCAGATTTGAAAGTTCCTTTTCATATTCTGGGTCTGAAGTGTCCTCAATTTTTATGTTCCTGGTGCCTATACCAATACTTTGAGAACTGTTTCCTTCATCAGGAACAGTGATTAGTGTCTCTGCTGAATTGCCCAAGGACTGGGTCGGTGGAGGTGAGCTCGAAACAAGGCCACTGCATTTATGCTTTTTAAGACCGTATTTACGTGTAAAATTATGTTTACAAATTGGACAAAAGTACACTTTTTTCATGCTGTCATGGTTTGTTCTTTGACCATTTGTTGCAGTACTTTTGATAGAATATGGAGGCTTTGCTCTTGACTGAGGACAGACGTGATTGTCAGGGAGAGGTACTCTTCCAATAATGAGTTGTTTGCAACAACGGCAGCACTTAATTCTTTCCTTTTTATGCAAGAAGTGGTGTTCTGTCAAACTATCGACATCCTGAAAAACCCTTCGGCAGCGAGCACATTGATATTTCCCATACATATTATTGCTGCTTGGATCCATAAACTTATGGCGAGTTTCTAGAAGCACTACAGGTGAAAAGATTTTTGTAAGAGAAACTATCTTCTTTGTACTGGACTCAAGAAGTCTGCTAATAGATGGAGATTTTGTCTTTGTGCTTGGTTTCCCAAGAAAACGCTTTAATTGCATGGGGGACATATCACTGACAGTTGATGGTACTTTTGTTGTTTGAGGTGCAATAACAACTAGTTCAGGTTCTTCTTTAAGAGACGCCACGACTTTGTCAACATCTTCAGGCTGAGGAGGCATCAAGTGCTTTCCATACGCAGATGCCAGGATCTTCATCAGGGATTTATGCTTGGGCTCAGGTTCATCCATTACATTTCCCTCAGTCTCCTCTGGCATCTCTTGTGCTGCTAGCTCCTTTTCTAGTGGTTGCTCAGCTTCTGCCAACACAGGGCTATGGTCCTCAGTGCTAGTAACAGCAGCAGGTTTTTCTTGGTTTTCATTTTCTACAATGTTCTCATCCACAGAAGGCCCAAGAGCAGAATCTTCTCCAATAGCCTTGTTTGTCTGGGCTGCAGTCAGGTTACACCCTGTGCTGGATAAATCTTTGTTGGAGATTGACTCATTATTAACCAATAATTGAGGAAACTGCACTTCAGAGACATGGGTCTGCTTAAACTCTTCTCCATTTTCGCATGTATACATTGGTGTGGATGGGATTACTTTAGGCACAGAGGACCCCCAGTCTTCACTTGAGTGAGTCAGAGATGTTTGAAGAAGGTTGGAGTCAGAGGAAATTGATGAAGGCTTAGGCAATGTTCCAGCGTGAGTTGCTTGATGAACCAGCAGAGACGCCAGCCCAGTGAAGGCAGCAGAACAGGCCACACACCGATACTCTTTAGAGGATAATGCCTTTCCTTGTAGCCCAAGCATTGTGGTCCAGTTTGTGAGAGTGGAAACGTTCCCTGTAGTTAACAAATAAAGTAAACGACATGGCCTTTAGAGTCATTTATATTACATTGTCAGTTAACAATATTGCTAATAAGAAATGAATTGCGTAAATTGTCGTTTTCACGTTCCATTTCAAATGCTATTGCAACCCACAATCTTTCGGAATGAAACACAGTTGCTGTAGGTTACTTCTCTAAATGGTTTAGTGCTTAGTGCACAAAAACACCATGCAACACTAAGCAGCAAAACGCCAACTGATTTGCTAAACAGTTGGGATTACGCGTTGCCTGTAACAGTTGGAATTACGTGTAAAAAAAAAAATCTTACCGAAGTCAGATGGAAATTAACTTCGTCACGTCAGAAGTGATCATTTGAAGTTAGTCTCAATACATAAAGCTGTGTGGGACTGAAAACATGCGGCATATGTACGGACCGCTGCCCCATGCTTTAGCACCACGCTTGTGCACGGGACGGTGATTGGAAACGAATGGAGGAGAGGCGACTCAAGGCGCCAGGCGGAAATTACGTTTACTGTGGTACATGCGCAGAACGCTTAGTGTTATTTTTGACATACATCTGTTATAAAACTTTTATTAAAATTAAAAATTCGGCCTCATTTGTGGTCCTTAAGATTTACAGGTAGACTAATCCAATGTTATTTAACACTGTATTTATTAAATTATTTGCTTAACACTCAAGAGTTCAGACTACATTTTAAACAAAAACTTTTTTTTTTTTTTTTTTATTAAGAACCCATTGTAACTTTGTATTCTCATCAATGTATATTAACAATTTATTTTCAATGTTTTAATGTTTGTGTTACAACAAATTACAACACAAGTACTTGGCTGTACATACAAAAGAACAAGATCCTTTCAGTGAGAGTAACAATGACCAAAGTACTGTCTTGCCAATACAGCTTAAGTCTTGATGGGGACAGAGGAGGTCACTTGGTAAATCACCTCTGCCGGTTTCTCTGGTCCACTTTCAACAATGAAACAGTCGTCATCAGCAACTGCTGTCGATGTGTCTTTATTGTTCACATTAGAAAGTCTGTTGCCACCAGGGACAGACAGGACAGTCTTTGCGACACTCTTTTGCAAAGATGAACTAGGAATTTGCAATGGCACAACTTGTCTTTGCCGGTTAGCTGGTGCAGTGAGTTTATGTTTCATCAAGAACTCGTGAGCTTTAGCACACTTGTGCCTCTGAAGGACGTTGATACTTTCAAAGAAGACATGACAGACTCGACACTCATAGCCTTTCCCAGGTGTAAGACTCACGGCTCCAGGACCAGCTTGTGTTGCAGGTGAATTGTTTACACTGAGTGCTTTGGCATTTGAAATAGCAGATTTAGTCTGAATAGGCTTGGGCCGCTTGGCAGAGCTGTGACTGTAATCAACATCCATAACAATTCTTATTTTGCTGTAAGAACCATTACTCTGAGTGCTTTGTGGTGGAGATGAACTAGCAGCTTTAGCTATACCATTGGCAATGTTTGCAGTGATCTGGTTAATTGGTCTTGCCGTGGTCAATTTGAATTTATAACCATGTGGAGCATTACAAGGATGGAAGCGCGGAACAACCTTCCTGCTGGAGAGGAGCAGTCCGCAGCCAATGCAACCAGATACTTTGTCTGCTATGTGGGTGTTATGATGTATGACTAGAGACTTTCTTGTTGTAAAAGATTGTCCACATTTACCACAAGTGTATGGTTTCGTATTGGAAAATGAGCGCACTGTTTTCACTAGCACTACAGGTTGAAAAAGTGTCCATAGATCCACTGTTGGTGCACCAACATCAGAGAATATTTTGCTTGTGTCTGAGGTTGAGACATTTTTTATCAAATCTGGAGAAAACTGTGGTAGCACATGAGGTTGAACTTGAGTCTTGGGTAAAATGGGTATTTGAGGGGTAGGTTTTGCAGGTAAAGCTTTAGGACTCTCCCAGATAACCTCACCAGACTGTAGCCTTTTCAACTTCTCTTCTTCCTCCCAGTGTTTTTCAATTCTTCGCATCTTTATGGTTTCATGACAAAGCACCTGGTGTCCTGGTTCATGGGAACTACTGTGCAGCAGCATGTCATTATAGGATGTAAACTCAGTTCCACAGGAACAAATATAGGATGGAACCGAGCAAAGATGCTCTTCAAGACATTTTCTACTTGAAAAAATCTGCTCACAATTGAAGCAAAATCGACCAGCATTCATTAATTCTGTACTTAGGCCATCATCTAGAACATTTGGCAGGTCTTCATATCCACTTTCCATGATTGCGTCAGGCCCTGTAAATAAAACATATTTTAAAGGTGTATTTGGTATATACCGAGAATGGCATCAGTAATAACGTTGCTATCATTCAGGTTGTAACTGTTAGCTTATATTTAAGCGTCAATGTCGTATGCTACATGCACTGCACGCAATGCATCAGTATTTACCATTAACATCATCGTATCACACTTAAAATTTAGCAACTACAAAAAATGCGTTTAGCGTTCTTGCTTTTGTTCTAGCAACAACGTTGCTAATGTTAGCATGGTATATAAACAGGTTTTACTAGCTTACCTTACCAAGAAAACCAAATCTCCACTGCTCTGTAGATTGTTGTAGTTCTTTGTCAGAAGCTAAGACGGATTTTTGTGCAAATTTGACATTTTCGCCTGTTAATTGAAACAAAAATGAAAATGTTTCGGCCGCTAATGTCTGATTTCTTCTTTTTCCTCGTCTTTCCACGTCTCTCATACGCAAATGATCTTTGCTGCCCCTAGTGGAGCCCTGCAGTATGTGGCATGAGCTCACTATAATTTATGTTTTTTTTAAGTTTAGCTTGTGCTTTTGACTTATGTAGTCGTCTACTGCGTAGAATTGCTTTGTGCAACCAATTAAAAGTATCAGTACGCGTCTCTAGTTTCCTTATAAGCCAACATGGGTGGACTGGGTGGATTATAACGGTGGAACGACGTAGGACTTTTAATAAATGAACACGCAGTTTTTGACCTGCAGATGGCGTTTTGGCTCACAAATCACATAGGAGGGCTCTGGTGCAAACCCAATCTGTACTCTTCGTCTCTTTCAATGGTCATCATGCCCTGTATAAATCTTTCCTATAATTTAAAGACGTGCTGTTCCAGAGCTATGCTCAGCATGGCCTAGTCATTATGAAACCCAAACCCAATTGATAAAATGTAAACCTTGAGAGGACTAATCCAGGGTCAAATAGCCAGCTAGATTACACTTCATTACATATCACATCAATAAAGCTTTATACAGCAACGCATGCTTATTATATGTATTTATTTTGGACAATAATAAGCCTGCTTAAAAGATCAAGTGCCTTACATTACACAGAAATGTGAGACTATTTACAATTAATGTTAAACTTTAACCAGAAAGGACATTTCATTTTTCATTAAGACAACATCTGCAGAACAAAAATGAATGATGTTAATCAAGTAAAATGTACAGTGGTATATCTCCTTTACCGGCATCTTAAAAAAAAAGAAAGACATAAATGGCTAAACTAATTTTCCATGCAACTACATAGAAACAGATCCAGAAATTGCTGGTTCATTTGCATCTGGATTGGCACTCCTCACCATAATACGATGGATTCTTCGCCGGTGAATTTTGAGCGACTTCAGGCTGGGATATGTTCCTTGACACACATCACAACGAAATGTGTCAGAGTTTTTGTGAGCAAGTAGATGTTTTTGCAGCCCATCTGTGGTGGTGAACCAACGAAGACATATTGGGCAGCGCACAGGTTTGATGGCAGGTTTGCAGCTCCCACCCCTTTGGTGAAAAAGAAGACTGACAGCATTTGGGAAGTCTGAATTACAAAGAGAGCAATGATAGGTTTTGTTAGAAATAGTCATTCGAAGCGCTTTGCATCGATTCCAGGATATGTGTCTTCTCAAAGAACACCGACTGGCGAAGCTCTTGCCACATTTTGCGCATACAGTCCTTTGCTGCTTCTTTCTTGGGCGTAGAAGTTGCTCTTGGCGAAACTGATGTTTTTCAGGTATATTAGGAGGTACTATCGTCTGAGTTGGCTGCTGCACAGTTGTGGGTTGTTTAAATCGTAGTAGTAAAGGTTGGGGCCGTTTATGATGCTGGGGGTGCATATGAAGCTGCAGATGAATCTCATAATCTGCCCATGAATTTACAGTGACACCACAGGTTGGGCAAGTGTAGGACTCCTGAGCATGTTTCTGTAAATGCTCCAGGAGAAGTTTGGGAGATGTGAAGCCAACGCCACACTCGCATGTCACTCTTCTGGGGAGAACCGAGGGCAGCGACATGATGCTCCAGTTGCCTGCATCATCCTCCTGAGGGAGATCCTGTGGAGCATTAGGGGGAGGCAAGCTTGGGTTAATTTCACTGGCAAAATTTGGAATCATTGTCCGTCTCAATTCACATTTCTTTCTATGAACCATCATATTATCTTTGCGATTGAAGTTTCTCCCACACACATAACATGGATACATTTTTACATTGTTGGTATTTACTGATGTGCTATTGGAATTGTGCCCACTCCCCAAACCTTTTGTGATATTACAGCATAGTTTTTGATGACGACTTAAACTACAGGATGAGCAAAATGTTTGTTGACACTTGTTACAAGGGTAACGCCTGACTCCATCTTTTATAAAATAGTGCATAGGTACAGATCCTGTATCTGAATTCAGCGATTCACCCATCTCTCTTGCATTTATATCTTTATTTAGAGGGGTGAGCAAATCCATATCATTCAAAGGCATGGTCCACTGACTTCCATCTTCATCTTTATCGGATGTAGACCATTGACTGTCCTGTTCTTGCAGAAAAGATGCCGCAAATGCAGATGCATTTTTATGCTGGTCCTTTATTGATGATGCAGAAGACCAACTCAGATTTGAAAGTTCCTTTTCATATTCTGGGTCTGAAGTGTCCTCAATTTTTATGCTCCTGGTGCCTATACCAATACTTTGAGAACTGTTTCCTTCATCAGGAACAGTGATCAGTGTCTCTGCTGAATTGCCCAAGGATTTTGTCGGTAGAGGAGGGCTCGGAACAGGGCCACGACATTTGTGCATTTTAAGATTGTACCTCCGAGCATAATTGTGCTTGCAAATAGGGCAAAAGTACACCTTTTTTCTATTGTTTAAGCTGTTTATGAGCATTGGTCTTTGACCATTTGTTGCAGTACTTTTGATAGAATATGGAGGCTTTGCTCTTGACTGAGGACAGACGTGATTGTCAGGGAGAGGTACTCTTCCAATAATGAGTTGTTTGCAACAACGGCAGCACTTAATTCTTTCCTTTTTATGCAAAAAGTGGTGTTCTGTCAAGCTATCGACATCCTGAAAAACCCTTCGGCAGCGAGCACATTGATATTTCCCATACATGTTATTGCTGCTTGGATCCATAAACTTATGGCGAGTTTCTAGAAGCACTACAGGTGAAAAGATTTTTGTAAGAGAAACTATCTTCTTTGTACTGGACTCAAGAAGTCTGCTAATAGATGGAGCTTTTGTCTTTGTGCCTGGTTTCCCAAGAAGACGCTTTAATTGCATGGCTGACATATCAGTGACAGTTGATGGTACTTTTGTTGTTTGAGGTGCAATAACAACTAGTTCAGGTTCTTCTTTAAGAGACGCCATGACTTTGTCAACATCTTCAGATTGAGAAAGCGCCAAGTGCTTTCCATATGCAGATGCCAGGATCTTCATCAGGGATTTATGCTTGGGCTCAGGTTCATCCATTACATTTCCTTCAGTCTCCTCTGGCATCTCTTGTGCTGCTAGCTCCTTTTCTAGTGGTTGCTCAGCTTCTGCCAACACAGGAATATGGTCCTCAGTGCTAGTAACAGCAGCAGGTTTTTCTTGGTCTTCATTTTCTGAAATGTTCTCATCCACAGAAGGCCAAGGAGCAGAGTTCTCTCCAAGAGCCTCGTTTGTCTGGGCTGCAGTCAGGTTACATCCTGTGTTGGATAAATCTTTGTTGGAAGTTGACTCATTATTGACAAATAATAGGTGAGACTGCTCTTCAGAGACATGGGTCTGTTTATGTTCAATCATAACACTAAAATCCTTAAACTCTTCTCCACAGTCACATATATACATTGGTGTGGTGGAGAGAAGGTTGGAGCCAGAGGGGTTTGCTGAAGGCTTAGGCAATGTTCCAGCGTGAGTTGCTTGATGAACCAGCAGAGACGCCAGCCCAGTGAAGGTAGCAGAACAGGCCACACACCGATACTTTAGAGGATGATGCCTTTCCTTGTAGTCCAAGCATTGCCCCAATACTTCAGACTGCTCTGGTTGTCTGCTAAATCGAAATTTCCTGCAATACACAGATATAAAAGTCAAAAATGTAATTAGAACATTTTACTTTCACACTGTGCTGTGCAAGTCAATGTCAATTTTATAATTTAATTGACTGCACGGTATTTTATGTACATTTTACCAGCAATTAGATTTTCAATGTGTTAAACGACTATTGTTCGGTAGTGAGGGGACCAGCAAGGGGTAGTTATTAAAATGTGTGCAGTGTAAACTTAGAAATTAAGATATGGTTCTGCTAAACCTGCACACCCCCCGGGTAACCAGGAGCCTACAATACCATCTTGAAAATGCTTTAAAACTTCAAACCGCAAATGTGGCCCGTAAACGTAGGCGTTTAAGTAATCTGTGTCCAATTACGTAACGTTATTGCATGGAAAACTCACGTTGAGTACACAATAGATAATACCATGGCAAAAATCCTAACAATGGCTAACATTAGCTGCTAGACGGCTGTAGCTTAGCTTATGTGTAGCCTACCAGGTTGTGTGGCATATCTGTGGCTGCAACTGGGCTAACATTAAGGAGCTAGCTAACCCTAGACATTACCAAGCCCCTAACTCTCACTTACCGGTGACTGGAAGGTCGTTTTAACAGTGCTTTGGCTCAGCATACATATTTTGGTCAGTGCAAATGTATTGCTTTTATCTCGGGGCTCACATGGACTCCAGCTCAGCACATAAAATGCGATACTCCTCGAATGGATCCACTTCTGCCTCTGGAGCGCTGATGTATTCCGTGCAGAGCTAGAGGTCCTCCCTGTAATGCATCCCGTGCACCTTCATGTCTTTACATTCATGTGCCGTTCAAATTCTATTTGTACATAGCAACATACTGCGCCATACGCGTTCACCATCAAATTCAATTGATATAAAATACGTGGCAATCTTAAATGCAGAAAAAACTATTGAGAAAACGCGTGCAGACCTAACAAAGGCGGAACATTTAAAAAAAAAAAGTCAAAGCAGCAGCGCGGCAGGAAAGCCTACATACCACTGCGCATGCGCACAAACCAAGCATGGTTTTAGATATCGACCATGGACTCAGGCTTCCATGATTCATAGATCCTTGGATGGATCAGGTCAAGTGGGACCAATAATGTGCATAAAAACACTAGTCTGAGGAAAAAATATTTACAATAATTTCTTTTCAACTCAAATCACATTCATTTAAACATGCATGTGAGGATGCCTTTTATAATCTAGTAAATTTGATTATATTTGCATCTGGGCCATACATTTCATAATAAATTAGAAAGGCAATTCAGATTGATACCACTTTTTGCTCTTATATTAGCAGAGGTGGGTAAAGTTGACAAAATTTTCATTTAGTAACATTACTGCTCAAATACAAGAACAAAATAGTGGACTAAGAAATTAAGATTAGAGTACAAAACAGACTATAATATAAATATTCATTGTTTATACATACACATAGAGCCATTTGTGAATGTAATAGAAAGAACAAAACATTAAATAAAAATCTGGGGTACCAAACCAACATAAAGCTTGTGTCACTAAGACTTGCTCAATAGTAACCAATTTTTTTACACTGTTATTTTAATAAAAATATTGCTCAAGTAGGAGTAAAAGTACACATTAATTTAATTAGTTTTATTCATTTATTTATTTTTTTTTTAAAAAGCTCCCAAACCATGTGTATTTGGCAGTAAAATAATTTACTGCTTAATTTCTCCAAATAGCAAGAACATCAAATATTGTAAAAATATTGAACAGCTTGAAGACAGGAATGACTACTAAAAATGCACACATTACATGTAACAAATGTTTATAAACAAAATACTATGGACATTTAAAAAAAATTAACTATAAAATGCTATTTTACAAACTTGACAGTCTAAACATTGTTTCATGCTTTGCATTTACCTTCCACAATATTACACTATACATGTGTACAATTGGAGAGGAAAGGTAACGCCACTACTATTGAAAGAAAATGTGACTAAAGTATAATAGATCAAAACTAAATTATGACGGTGCATAGAGACTCAAACATGACTTTGCTGATGTGCCTCCAACAGGTGTGGGAAAGCAAAAGCTTTATCACATTCTGTGCACTCGTACACTACTTGGCCAACATGGCTTTCTTGGTGACGTCGGAGAAGACTTAGCTGACTAAAAGACTTGTAGCACATATCACAACGGAATTCACCAACCTCTTTTTCTGCAGCATGTAGTTTCAAATGAAGAGACAGCTCCTTTGCTGTGTTGAACTCACTGTGGCACTGGGCGCATTGAAACTTAATCTGGGATGTGCTCTGAGCAGGTTCTTTTTGGTGATGTTTTTTGATATGTTTATCTAAATACTTTTGTTTTGCATAAGTTCTAGCACAAATTTCACATGTAAATGATTTTTCTTTTGGGTGTTGTCTGTTTTGATGCTCCAGCAGATGACTTTTTGAAGAAAACTGCATCGGGCAGAAAGGGCAACAGCACAAATCTTCACCAGTAACATCGATTTCATCGTCATCACCATATGATCCCTCAAGTTGCTTTTGAGAACAATCATGACTACTGCCCATATAGTTTTGATCACACTTTTTGCATTTTGAGTTTTTAGTGTGACATACATGTTCTTTCAGCTTGCTTGCAGTGAGGAAAGTTGTGTTACAAATTTTACATTCAAAAGTTTCACTTGGGTGTGTTGGGAAATGAAATACCAGTTCAGCAGGACTTCCAAAACACTGATGACAAACTGGACAGACAAAGCCTTGTTGACCATAGCGGAGGGTTTCATCGTGGTTTCTGAGATGGTTCAGAAAATCATGAGAAGAAGAAAAGCTGTTGTTACAATGATTGCAAGGATATTTACTCAGAGATGACTGCTTATGGGTGCTCAAGTGTATTTTCAGGTGAGAGGAATGCAAAAAATGTTTGTCACAGTCCATACAAGAATACTGACGCTCTATACTTGCCAGGCAACCATGTTCTGAAAGCTCCTCAGGATTTCGGAAACGCACACAGCAGACACCACATCGATATTTAAATTCATTTGTCAAAGAGGCAGGTTTATTATCAGTTTCAACTGCACTGTGGTCTGGCAGTTCAGTACCTCTTGACAAGTGAATTTTCCGGTGCTCTGCTCTACTGCTCTTGGAAGAAAACACACGGTTGCATATGTCACAAGGAAAGTTCTCCCCCTGGTGACTGAGCTTATGGTCCAACAATTCTGCGTGACTTCTAAAACATAACTGACACTTTGTACATCGGAAAGGTCGCTTTTTTCCAGAAGTATGCTTATGCTTTCTTAGTGCAAAAAGAGAGACAAAACCCCTGTTGCACACTCGACACTGAAACTCCGAATTATGCTTTCGTTCATGCTGTTGTAATTGGGCAGCTTGAAAAAAACATTGTCCACATTCAGCACATTCAAAAGGTTTTTCACCAAGATGGCATCGCTGATGGTCTTCAAGATTTTCCGATGTGGTAAAGGTCTTGCCGCACACATGACATGGGAAATATGGGGCCGAATCAGAATCAATGCTGTCACTGTCATCATTGTTGTCATCGTTATCTTCACTTTCTGATGTGCTTTGAGCGCTTAATGATTTTTCAGCTTCAGCTTTCTGCTCTTTCTGCTCTTTCTGCTCTTTCACCTCTCCATGATTTCTGTTCATATGTCTCACCAGAGATGCTCGGAGAGTGTAGTTCCTTTCACAGAGATTACAAGAAAAAATATCATCTGGGTGCTCTTTAGTACAATGATCACATAAAGATACTCTAGTCCTAAACCTGTATTTACATAATCGACAAGAATAAGGGTGTGAGGGGTCATGGTATCCCTTTTTATGGAGTTCAAGTTCTGTTTTTGAGGGAAACTCTGCTGAGCAGTCTCTACAAACAAACATACCACTTTCATGGACCATCATGTGTTTTTCAAGCCTTGCTTGACTAGAGAACATCTTTCCACATTTAGAGCATTTATTTAGTCTTTTTTCTTGTTCTTCTCTTCCATGGTCCTCTAAATGGCTAATGAGCATAAGGCCGTCAGTGAAACTCTTATCACATTCTGAGCATTGGTACACAACAGTTTTTTTCTCTACTAATGGCTTGTTTTGTGGTTCAGATTCTTCCAAGTCTTCCATTTCTTCTTCAGGTGAGTGTTCAGCAGGGGAACTGGTGAGTACCATTTCAATATTTGCTCTTAAAGGGACATCATCCTCCACTGAATGGTTACTGTTTGAGACTTGCTTTTTACATTTTCTAAGGTGATTGCGAAGAAGGGTTTTATTCCAGTAACCTTTATTACAAATATTACAAGTAAAGGGACTTTCCCTTAATTGGGGAGCTGTTTGCCAATCTTCACCATCAACTGGCCTTGTGAGTTTTGACGCCTGAGATGGTCCATACAATGGATTTTCTTCAAACTTTTGAATATTTGATAAATGATGTTGCAGAGGTGAAGTTTTTAAAGGTTCACTCTTTGTTTCTAGTTTGTGAGCATTTAAAAAGTGCTCCTGGAGTTGAGAAAAAAGCAAAAATCTGGAACTACAATATGCACAAGAAAAGCCACTTGATGGACTTGGATCAGTTTTTTTCACACAGGTTTGCACATGCCGTTGCAGATGGTGTTTTCTTAAAAATGTCTTGCCACAGTCACAGACAAATGACTGCTCACCAGTGTGAAGATACATATGTACTTGTAAATGTGCACTTGTTCGGAATGTACGAGGACAAAAATTGCATTTCAAAATATTGCCTATATCTTGTTTTGCAGAAATGGGCTGAATTCTTGCAAGAATTTTGCTGTGTTTTTCAGAAGAAACATTTATGGCCTGTGTTTCTGATTTATGAGGCTTGCCTTTGACAATAGAGGCCAGTCTACATCTTCTAAGCTTGATATGAGTTCGAAGAGATTTTTCAGTAGAGAAAAATGAACTACAACGCATGCACTTAAATCGCTTTACACTATGGAACATTGAATTGTGCCAATTAAGTCTGGATTGACTTGCAAAATTTCTTCCACAGATCTTGCATTCACATTTCTGACTGTTTTCAACATTACAAAGCCCAAGATTTTTTTGCCAACCAGTACCAATGTGATCTAAACTGATTTTGGGGATACAGATCTGAGGCCTTAATTGCAATTTCACTTTCCCTCTACAACAACCTAAGTGAACTTTCAGGTGGTCATACCTTGAAAAGCAGCTATCGCACACTTTGCATCGATAAGGCTTTACTTCATTGTGGGACAAAATGTGCTGTCTAAGATTTTGTGATTTTGTGAAAGTCTTGTTACAGAATTTACATTTGAAGTCAGTTGATTCTCTTTGGGGAAGATTTTCTGCTTTTTTATCAGCCATCAATTCTTCACATTTGAAGAAACCATCACAGGAAGCTTCATGCTGAGAACACAAAAGTCGACTTGGGAAGTTCTTTCCACAAAGAATACAAGCATGGGCCTCCATATCTTTGTGTTTAGAAAGATGTCTGCGGTAAAGAGAGGGATATTTAAAGGTTTGAGGACAGAATGGACATTTATAGTTTGATCCTGTAGACACCTTGAGGACAGCTGATTGGTTATTTTTTTGTGATGTTGTGCTTCTGTCAGTCATTGTCTCACCCTTGCACATCTTCTGATGCAAGTACAATTTTGAATTTCCAAAAAAAAAGTCACATGTTGGACATTTAGTCAAAGTATTGTTCTGGTGGCCTCTATAATGTTTGTAAAGATGCACTTTACGAATAAAGGAACGAGAACAATAACGACAGGCCAACGACTGATTCTGTGATGAGCAAGTTTCATGATGTAATTTTAAGCTATGTTCTTTGGAAAATCGTTTTCCACATTTGCAGAAAAATCGTTTACCACCAACATGCCTAGCCATGTGCCGGAGTAAATTACGTCTCTTTGTGAATTTGCGTTTACAAAATGGACAATCTGCACAATGTTTGGGGGGGTGTGTCAAATAATGGCTGCTGAGTAGTTGTGCTTCATCAAATACTTCATTGCACAATGGACAAGAATGTTGCCCTTCACTGAGAGTCTGGGTAGAATGAGAGTCAGTCACCTCTTGCTGAAGTAGTTGATTTTGACTCTTCAGGTGTGTACGCAAATGTCTTAAAAGATATACAGGATAAGCAAACTTCTGGGGACAATCTGGACATTGAAGCAACCCTCTATTTATATGAGACTTTCTGTGTTCAATGAGTTCTCCAATGGTTGGAAGAATCTTTTTGCAGACAGTACACTGAATCCTTCTCTGGTGTGTTATTTTATGATGGATTAGATGGAGATTTGATTTGAACCCTTTCCCACATTGCAAACAGTAGTAAGGTCTGTCACCTTGATTAAGAGGAACATTGACACTTTGTGGTGTCTCCTTTGTCAATGACCTTTTGATAAATTGATGTTTTGTGAGTGAATTCCTATATCTAAACCTTTGTCCGGTGAGTTCAAAGAGCTTGTGTTTCTTCATGTGCCTGTATTTTCCAGATGGATGATAAAAAACAGCTGGACAGAGATTGCACCGATAGAGTGGTTCACGCACAGCATTTACATTTACAGTTGATTTGCCATTTAGTTGTTCTTCCTCCGTCTTCAGTTTATTAAGCACAGTTGCCATCTCATTTGAATATCGATCAAATTTCTTGGGCTTTGATTTATCACTTCCAAGAAATGATAGAAAGTTTTTTAGACAAAAAGTGTGAATGTGTCTATACCTGTTAGAAGTCAGACTGAATGTTGCAAGGCATAATGGACACTTGAACCTTCCATTGGCTCTGCATTGCCTGCGGTAAGTAATGACTCTGACACAGTTTTTCAGATGCCGATTTCTGTTCACATGATTATTGAAAATCTGTGGACACAATGGACACTTGTACTTATACTTATCTGAGCCAAGTTCTACAGCTATCTCAAAAGGTTTTTCTACTGGCTTGACTGTACCTGGCTTTTTATGCACATTGTAATAATGCTTTGAAACCTTTAGCTTGCTCTTGAAAATTTTACCACAAAACTTACAAATATTTGTTTCTGTTATGTCATAGAGCTTCACATAACAATCAAACACTGATTTTACTGTATCAGTGTGAGAATTTGAAGTATGTTTTCTGTTAATTGGTTGGGACCTTCCACACCGTTTGGAAATATTTCTGTGTCTACGTAAAGAAGAACCCTGCGCAAAATACAGTCCACATTTTTCACATTTATATGGTGTTTTTCCGGTGTGTGAGCGCATATGACTGATGAATATATTCCATTTTGAAAAAGAAAGTCCACACTTCTGGCAATGGTAGCCTTTTCTTTTTTCCCCCTTTACCACATCTGAAGGAGACCTAGGGCTATATTGACACAAATGTTTCCTTGTTTGATCCTGATGTGCCAAATACACACCACAAGATGTGCACAACTGAAAACTATGCATTGAATGATGATGATTGTGGTGTTCAATTAGATCATCCAAATTGGAGGCATTGTACAAACATTGTGCACAGAAATACTTGTTGCTAGTTAAATTCTCTACATCTGTGGTTTTAAGGAGAACAACAGGCTGAAGTCGTTTCAACATTTCTGTAGAGGATCTCATTTTGGGGCATTTTTCAATGAATAATTCTGCAGGTTCAGAAGAATCTAGTTCAGGTAATTCATGTACTTCAGAAGATGGGGGAGACAGTGGTTCACCATCAGCATACACCGACTGTTCATTATCAGAATTGCTTGGACTTGCTTGGACATTTGAACTTTGGACAAACGGTGAAGAGTGATCAATTTCCTCTGTACTCTGGTTTGTCAACATTTCAAAATCCATACAGGATACACTTTTCTCATCATCACTTGGGCACTCTAATTGATCAGAGGAGTGACTTTCTGCTTGACAAACTGATTTTATTTCTGGATTTAAGGCCTCAGTTTTCATGTGTGAAGATGATTTGTCTTTTGGATGATTTGTGTTCAGGACTTCTTTTTTACCCATAATGTCAAACTTTGGAAATGCATTCTGCTTGCCTTTAACTGGTTTCTTATTAGGGTCAGTCAAAGCTTCTTTTTCTACCTTGATGTTTAGACTGTCCACCACAGATGTTTGTCCTGAATCAAGCACAACTATTGGCTTGTTATTAACACCATAATTTACAGCATCATCACCATCTGATATATTGTCAGATTCATTATCCTTTTCTGCTGTACATGCTTGCTCAATTACAGAGGTTTTGATTTCAAGGGTCCCAAGACCACCACTTTCACTGCTTTTTTGTGAGGTATCAGCATCACCATTACATTTTTTATCATTGTGTGCCATTCCACTGGTCTCTTCTACTAGGGAGTTTCCTTGAGTACTGGTTTCACCAACATTGAAAACAGAAAGCCTGCTACTACTTAAATTAGCAGTTTCATCAACTTCTTCAAAAGATGCTGCTTGCTCTGCACTTTCAGTTTTTGTTGAAGAATGCAAATGGGGGTCTATGGAGGACTCAGGAGACCTAGCATCACCAGTGGGAACAGATCCTTTACTCACCAACTGTATTGATGGATCATCTACTGTTTCTTTGACCTTTTCATTATCTCGCATCAAAGCTGCACTGGTGTGAAACCTGGACTCTAAAGCATTGCTTGTTTCACTGGACCTACTCAAGCTGAAATCACTGTTCATCAAATCAATAGTTTTGTTGTGTTGTGTTTCAGTTTTAATTGGATCATCCACTTCAGTTTGACAACAATATGTGACTGACTTATCTGGTAATACTGAAGAGTATGAAAGACTTTCAGTGTTTGGGTTGGATCCCTGGGTAGTTGTTGGTTGATTGTCACTGAATACCTTATGTTCAACAGTTTCTTTTGTTTCCTTTGCATTCATCAAAGTTTCTCTGCAATGCCCATTGTATTTCTCAGACACACTTGCCTTGTCACAAATGTTTAAAAATTCCTCTTGTTTACAGGTTTGGTCAAAACGTCCCACCCCCTGTGTCTCTGCATCAGTGCATGCACTTGATTTAGCGTGCTCAAATGACTTACCCTTGTCTTGGACACATTTGGTTGTATTTTCTGCTGTTAGATTTGGCCAAACAGTTTTTGGATATGTTAAGTCCTTAGCATCTCCAGAGTGTTTCTGAGGCCAGTGTGAATGATAATTAGCAGTAGCTCCAGTTTGAGGGTTATATACAGAAGTGCTGGTCATGAATCCACAAGATGATCTTGGTTCTCCACCTTCATCTGAAGACTCTTGAATGTTCATGCAGTCGTTAAAATATTCAGTGTCGGTGGGCACCACAGATTCCTGTTGAGATCCTAATTGTGGCGAATTTAAACAGTGTCCAGCTGTTTCCGACATACTTGTTTCAAAATTTGGTATACTGTTCTCCCATTTAGTCAAGTAGTCACTTTGTTCTCCATCAGGTTGCCATGACATTTCTCTGGGGTTTCTTTGATAATTTCCCATCTCTGAGCACCAGTTGGTATTGGCGTTTTCAAGACTATTGCTAAAACAGCAGTTTGATGCAGAGGCTCCATGTGGAATGCTCGCACTAGAGAATCCACCATGACCTACGAATCCACCAGCAGGATGAGGATTTTTCACTTCTGAGTCAGGAGTCCCATGGTCTGAAGGTAAAGATGAGTACTTTTGCAAGTATGGGTCCCAACCTTGAGCCATCCTTTGCCCGTTCTAAAAGCCCAAAAGAGAGAAAATTTAAAAAAAAAAAAAAAAAATGGGACAAGTACATTACAAAATAATAATTTCAAAAACAAGTAAACCTCACCTCTCGTCAACTTTTAGGAGCAAGGGAATTCCAATTTTCTGGGCACTACATTTGGAAATCCTGTAACATAAGCAAATTGTCATTATCACTATGTCACTAAATAGGCAATTGTTTAAAAAAATTCTACAAATAAAATTTTAACATTTTTTATTTTAACTTAAAAGTACAGAAACTCCACATTTGACCAAGACTTTAATGTCACTAGAACAATCAGTGGGCATTTAGAGTGAAGCACTCTCACACCACATATTCCACAAATTTAACCTTATACACCATGTTGTTCCATATGTGCTTTGAGCAAATTAAATTGGTATGAGTCTACACAGAAATAACAGATTTTTCAGTTTTGGGAACTACAAAACAAAACGACACAAAACAAAAAAACAAGTTTCCTCAGTATCAAAAAACATTTTTATGACTGTTAATAAAGATCAAGTCAAAAACATTTGATCAAAATAAAACAAGCACAAGGGTGTATGATAGTGTACAAATGTCTGCTGATGTAAAGCTGGAAACAACCAACTCAAAAGATCCATCACGGTCCAGTCAATCTTTCTACCATCATAAACTGCCTGTCAGATATTAAAATCTCAATGGACAACTTCCTCAAAGTCAACAGCAATAAAAACAGGATGTCTCATCACCAGAAGCCAAAGTTCTCCTCCCTTTTGGTCAGAACATCTCACATACCTTCTCGTTCAATCAGTACTATGCCACCTGTCCTTTCAGATCAACAGACACAAACCTTTCACTCCCATCACAAGGACAAAGCACCAGACCTTGAGTGGCTGACCCTTAGCTACCGGTGCTCTCTGGAATTCACTCCCAGAACCCACCAGGAATTCTAAAACTTCCAATCACTGCTACAAACTCAAACTTAAATTCCCCTGATCTTTGTGGTTATTCTTTGATTACACTTTTTTTCCTGTTTGATGCATATTATTTTATGCACATGTATTTTCTGAGAATATTTAGCGTAGTTGTCTTAGCATATGGACAAATACATATCAGTAACAGTAAATACTATCATCAACAGATGCAGGGAACATATCTTGTTAGAACAGGGGTGATTGTGAAATACAAAAAATAAGTAATAGGAAATGTGTGGATGGTAGTATTGTCAGCCATTGATGGAGCCGTGGGTGCAAGTTGCTGGACCAACATTGATGTTTCTACTGCTCGATAAATAATGTCTGTGAAGTGATGACGTATTTTTGACAGTAAAGTCGCATCTGTGAATTCGTATTCGTACTGATGAAAGCGTAATCGTAAATTTTCATTTCGTGACTGTAATTCTTGACTTGTAACTTTTCAATTCATATTCCGATGGATAAAATCCACACAATATATTTTATGTACGACTGGACTCATTCGAGAGTTTACGAATATTCATTTTATGCGCAACTACAGCCAAATATGCATGGGTTTCCCAAATACACACGGATTTCTATTCTATGCGCACAAATATTTCTGAAAGCTTTCTTACTCCATAGCATATTTATTTTGCTGCTCTGTTAGCCTTTTTTAAAGATTTTATACTAACAGATGTAAATGATCAGGTTGGTACTTACTGTGAGACAAAAAGTCTGGGAATCATCTACATGGTGTCATGCTTCAAGCACAAAGCAAATCCAAAGCCTAAAAGCACAAAATAATAAGAATTAATCTCTGGTAGCACTAGCATCTCTAGAATGCCATAGTCAATAGTTAGTATATTTTTGCCATTTACTGTTAACAGAAAAGTAAATATCACAAAATGTAAACTTTTTTAAATTGTTGAGATGCTTTGGTCTTAAGTAAAACACTAGAAAGGTTAAAATTAGTTGAGGCTGGCCATGTTAACCAACTTTTTTAAACAGATTTTTCACTAGTTATGCACTAGGTGCTACTTGTACTGATTGTACTGATGTACAGTTGTTTTTTATGCAAGCAGGAGAAGGATAAGAGCTGTCAGATTATGTGTCAATCATCAGACAATTCGAGACAAGTCGAGGCTTCTGTGATCACTGACCAGCCCTATTAAAGGTTGTATGGAGGATTTTTTTTTTGTTTCAAATTGTCAATGATAGCATTATAGAGATGCAGTAGCCTTGTAATTATGATGACCAAAAAAAATAGAATAAAAATTCATCAACTCTGGACGTGGTGGGGCCAGCTAAACATTTGCCAATAGATAATGATATTGCCTCGTTATCTGTTAGCTGACAGGCTGTCAATCAATCTCCCTACGTTTCTAGCGTAACTGACTTGCCTGCGCGCCGCCGGTACGTAGTTTACGTACGCCTGTCACGCAGTCCACAGACGCAAGCCGCACAGACGCTGTTTACTCCACCAACGCAACAGTTCTTAGCGGCTTTTTTTGACCTATATCTTCCTCGCAGTTAGCACAAAGTTTGTTGCAATGGCAGACAAGAATCCAGGAGCAGTTAGCCGCAAAAGAAAGTCCGTTTTTGAGATTGCTGAAAGAAGGGGAAAAGCAGCGAAGCCAAACTAAGGCGATTCTTGAAGATTCATTCCAGCGATGGCGCAACTGAAGCAGACGCAGGGTCTAAAGACTGACGCATTGGTCACAAAGTACTCCTGGACAGGTCACTTCTGCTTATTATGAAAACGTACTTTATTTCCAAGAGCTAGTCAAACGTTTTTCAGGACACGAAAGCGATATCCTATGTCTGAAAACGTAATTTTCAAGGCAAAGAAAGAGTCCGCTTGCTGCTGCGTGTTGTAGCTAGTTCATTCACACTGAATCTCCGCGCAACCTTCTCTGCACCCCTTTCCTGCTCCTCTCCCCGCTGCCCGATCCGCTCTTCCCCCTGCTCCTCACTTCTCCGGGCACGGAATCTCCGCGCACCGCTCCCCTCTCCTCTCACTGCTCCCTGCTCCGCTCTTCTCCCTGCTCCGCTCTTCTCCCTGCTCCGCTCTTCTCCCTGCTCCGCTCTTCTCCCTGCTCCTCACTTCTCGTCCGCCGACGAAATGTCCGCGCACCCGCTCCCCCCGCTCCTCACTTCTCCGCCTTGCCTAACCAACACTGTAGTTAGTTGTCTACAAGTCATGTGCAGCGCACCGGCTGTAAACAAACCCGTTTCTGGCGTAAGGAGGAGGCGGGAGGAGGCGTTTCTATGTAGGGAGCTGTAGGGGGGAGGGGGTTAACGCATGCGCAACATTTGAAAAAGGACAAACAGTCGCTGGATTTCTCGTTCCTTGGAAAATCCTCTATACAACCTTTAACTGTAATATATAAGAAATGTGATTATATCAGTGTTTTACACACAAGGTTCATCCAAAGCATGTGACATACACAGCATGAGTTGGTTTGTTTACACTCTGACTGGATTGTCAGCTCCCTCAGAGAACCTGCACATATTGTGGCAACTCCTGGATGTGTTTAATATGTTGTGAACTGAATACAGATTTGAAAACAAAAATTGCAATACTCACAACAAATGCACTTTTTCCAAAATATGCACTACAATGCCCAGCATTATGTACTAGTATCTGGGGACCCCATGCCCCCCTGATCTTAAACCAAATGAACACCATTAGAACATAATTTGAGCCCTTCTAGGATATACCCCATATACCCCAGAACATAATTCCTTGCCTCACTACTAGGAGGATGCCCCAAGACAGACATAACATGTGCATTGATGCAGGTGGAATCATATTACCTTTTTATGTATTGACTAATTTTAAGTTACTGTAATCACCAGAATGGACCAGCCTATTCATATTTTTTAATGATTCTAGTCATTAGCAGATATACTGTAAATAAAAAAATTGCTATAGTATGATAAATTGAAAGTGGCTTGCAGTTGACAATTCAAATTATTCCTTATGGGATATCATTCCATATCCTCAAATCTATCACATCTGCTTGCCATTTGCTGCTAGGGATGTGAAGATTATTAGCTTAACTGATAATCGTTATAATTCAGGTCACAATTCAATTGTAAATTATAAAAAATATTTTTTGTCATTTTCATTTGATCTGTGCACCAAAAAAAGAGAACAATTCATGTTAAGTTTTTTTTTTTAATCTGTTTGTTATCTCAAATTTACTTGAGATCATAATCATACACTGTTGATGAATAGAATGAAAGAAAATTTGAGGTTTCACTGGTTTGGTCACAGGTCAGTAATCATGAATAATTAAATCCTGGTGTTTTTAAAAATAAAATTTTCCCTACTTGGTACTATGTCACAGTTCAATCATAGTATAGGCTCAATGAAGAGAGTTATAATGCACTCTTGGCTTGCAAAAGTAGCTTTTTCGTTTAATAAACCTACTTCTGTCATACTTTGCCTAGAGGACACCATATTCTATAAACCGCTATTGCTGAGCTTCAGATGACATCACAACAGTCAACAGGGCAATATTAATGAATACAGAAAATGAATAATGTTAAAATGAAAATAAAATTATGTTGAAATAAAGTGAATTCTAGGGTTTAGTCAGTAACTGAAAATACCAGGTTCAACATCTGTGATACAGGGGGCAAGAGACAGTTTTTCCTATTGATTACATTATACTTTACCATGAAATATCCAAAAGATAAATTCATAAATCCTGAACCAGATCATTTCTATTAGTGACTAGACCCATGAACTCACTGTATTACAACAAAAATATGCACTCCAACTATATTCACTTTAGCTGACCCCTATCTGTATTAAATATTATAAGCCTATAGAAAGTTGTGTCATCTGAAACCCAGCAATACAATGCTTAGGCAAAGTAGATAATATATTCAGGACCAACTTTTCCTAAAAACCCATCACCTTTGTGTGTAACGTTGACAAGCTTATATTTAACACTGATTGTGAACACAACTAACGCTAATTAAAAATAAGAAGAAACGTTTGCATTACGAGTATTTAGAGCATAAAACCTGAACTAAATGTACACACTACACTAGTCTTAGCATACAGTAGTTAATATTGTGCTGATAGCTTATTGCACTTAAGTCATTAATTGCACTAGTTATCAAACAGTTACAACACGCAAAACTATATTACCATGAGTTTAGACTTGGACAAACTTTACTGATCCACAAGGGAATGATTTAGACATGTTGGACATTTGTTACACGTGGTTATGTTTTTATTAAACTATTAATGTGTTCACTAACTAAGCAACTATCCCAATTTCAGTACATTTGACTATGGAAATCTCTAAATATGTACATAATGCTACACTGTTTTGTTTGTTTTTCAATCAACATGACTGTATGTACAGTCACTATTATTATACAGAGGACACTAGTGAAATCCTTTTTAACACCCCCTGCCTGAGTCACGCTTTGCTCAGTATTTTAACCATACACTGAAGAAAAGGAAAACTATGTAAAAGGGGGATTTATTTGAGCATGTGCATTGTCAGTGCACGTTACCGAGCCGCACACCATGGTTACATCCATGGACGTACACAGTGTACAGAGCGGCTAAGCTAGCTAGCTCTTTCACTAGCCAGATGGTAGTTAGCAGTTAGCTTCGCTGCGGCTTTGAACACAGCAAATATGTAGGCTCAGTAGCACTCACCCAAGGCGTGCTCCCCTCGGCTCTTGGTCTGCTCATGCGTTCACTCCGTATCGACTCGTCTGCAAAAAGCGTGGAAAACACTGCGTGGGTTTTATATCACCAATATCCCACGTTGTATTTGTCGTTTTCGCCCGTACTGAGTGTTGGCAAAATCGAGTAGTCTAAGGCAATACCAGCGTTCTCAACAGGAGACGCCAATCAACCTCCATGATGGAAATGTACGTATCTTGCTCAGTAGGTGAATCTTGGTACGTTTTACACCCGCATTATTAGAACCAATAACAGAGAGGGACGCCCCGGTGCCCGCCCCTTTACGGTCGCGGGAGCGCCCAGGAGGCAGGCGAGTCCTTCCGGTGGCTGCTGCAGCTGCCCGTCTGCCTCATGGTCTGCCTCCCTAGAGCTGCCCGCCTGTAAGCGACTGAGTCTCCTCCCTGCCTTGTCCTGAAGCAAACACTATAATCCTAATAAATGTCTACTTCGACGTTGTAGTTCCTTATTACTGAATGTGTGTGCCTATTTAAGTGTGAAGCAATTTACTCAATGGCAAACATCAGATTCACTTACTTTCCTGATGGACTACCTTATGCTGGGTGGTCTTTAAAGGGTTAAAGGCTGCACAGAACCATTTTGTGCGCAAGAATCTGTTCAAAATGGCGTCGGTAGGTCTACATCAGTGGCGCAAAGCCCATTCAGGGATCCAAATCCAAAGCCATCTCCCTTGACAGGAAGGTGGAACATGTTCCCTCTGTTTTGTCAAATTTACTCTGCATTAACAATGCCAGTGATGTTACTATTGAACCATTACACCACAAAATCAAGATGAAGACTAGATGATTCTCTTACAATGAAGTCAGCCTATCTGATTTATTTTGTTTACCAATTTTTTATTTTGGAGGATTAATTGCATCCACTGCCCATCTCCCCAGTTAGATGGAAGAAATCCGGCTTCAGGGTGATTCTGGATCTAACATTATTTATCCAGTTTTGGCACTCATCTGGGTTGTGGAAGGCCTTCCCAAATATTAAAGAAAAGTTGCTGCTGAGAAAACCTGAAAACCTGCTGAGAATGTGAAATCACAACATTAGAGTTATTCTCCAGTTCTTCTCATTGCAGTTTTCTTACAGACCCTTAAGCATTTAATTATTTCAAACTATTCCTCAAGTGCAGGCCTTTACAAAGTGACAGATTTTTGCACCAAATGGATGTCCCATAATGTGATTCCATCAAAGGATGAAAGCCTACTTCCTTTATATGACATGGCACTTTGGATGGATACAATTTTAAATGTGCATTTGATCAATTCTTGCATCAGGCAAAACCTGTCAGAAGCAACGGGTGACCCCAAAACAGCAGTCTGATCTTCGACCAAGCATCAGTGGCATAAACGTAGTGCATGAGCCCCATTTCCAGCTTAGTTCTGGGCCCTATCTGGAACACATCCAGACATTCACAAACAATGCACTTGCACACAAGCTTCCCTACAGTTTAACCAACCAAACAGAGCACAATCTACTTAAAAATATATTGTGTAGTTGAAACAATGGGAGCAAGGCTTTCATAATTTCTTTCAATTCATAATAACAGTGTAGCATGTATAGACTGTATATATAAAAAGCACCCGCTAGCTGCCACATTCCAGATAGGAAATGAGTATTTTGCTATTTTGGCTGTAAAAAAAAAAAAAAAGAAAAAAGTCTTATTCCTAATATGGAACTCAGCTCCAAATTCACTCCTATTAACTGCTAGCCTCATGACCTTCATTTGACTGGAGCTGAACACTATGAGTGATGTCACACTCCCTTAGGCCACTTCTTTATACAGTCTATGGTAACAACACAGACAGCATAAAAACTCCAGGGGCGGATCGAGTCCCTTTTGGGCTGCTCATGGCTTGGGGCCCCAGTGTCAATGCACTGCCTGAACTGCCTGACATAGGTTTATACAGAGTCTGGTGCAATTTGGGACCTGCGTGTTACACTGACCTGTAAGCACTGCAGGTCCAGGTGTGGTGCGGGTCTGCAGAATGGATTCTCACTGAAGCAGTTTGAAACAATTTTCAGGTATAGACAAGTATGTCTGTGTCATTTCATGAACCCATGTGAACTGCTGTGCCAGTCAAACACACACAGCAGTAAAAAGTAGTTGGTGTAACATGTAGTCTGCAAGTCATTTGCTTGAAATACATGTCAGTCACACTTTGAGAATAAATTTGACCAGGGCTGTAGACAGAAATTTGGGTGTCCAGGCAAGAAGCCCCCCCCCCATAGAAACCAATATGGAGAGGGTGTGAAGTCACTGCTGACGACACGTGCTCTATATTAGACCCGTAGCACCCAGGAGTGCTAGGAAGGGTTGTTTCTCTTCATTCTTCGGCTGGGTGGGGCCTTTCAGAGTGATGTTTGAATGTTCTTGCCATGGATAGCTTTCCCACACAGCCACAAAATATCACAGCAATCTAAACCTGCAGCAAGGTATTCCTGACCAAGGTACTGCTTGAAATATGTGGCAGCACTACTGACACCCACTTATGAGACTGATTTTAATACTCCTGACCATAGAACAAGTCAACAAAAAACAACTTGGTGTTCAATTTGGGGGCCCCAAACATTTTTTCCTTTGTGGACCAAAATAGGTAGCCAGGCTGGCGCCACCTAATGTCTCCACTCAATTTAATTTCTCTCCAGTGACTATGTCAGGAATCGGAATACACTAGACGGTTTACAAGAACCCCAGAACCCCAGAACCCCAGTGTAAGTCCTGGCACCAGCCAATCAGCGAAGAGCCAAACATTCTGTGTTGGCAACGATTCCGGAGATCGAGGATTTAAAGCCGGAACAAAGAAAATGTTTGTTGATTTTTATCATGGGGAAAATAGCCCTGCTTCCTACGGGATTTGGGAAAAGCTTAATATACCAGTTAGCTCCGTTAGTGGGCATTACATACATCACAACCAAATAGCAGTGACCAGGAAGTTTCCATGAAGTGAACCCAGCTGATGAATCAGGCTACAAAATAGGTAAAGTAGACCAAAAATGTAATTTCTTGCATATAAACAATTTAGATGCAAAGATATGTAGACTAAATTGAAAGTAGCCAAGACTAAATAGCATTTAATTAATGCACCTTTTGGGGAAGAAAATAGTTTGGGCTCTCCTCCAACTACTGACAGTATATCCATCCATTTTCTTCCATTTTTCCCTAAGCAGGGATGCCCAAACTTCTTTCCACACACACTTCCTCCAACACTTTCAGAGGGATCCCTAGGTGTTCCCAGGCTGAGACAAATAGAACACCCCTCCAGCATGTCCAGAGACTTCCTCGGGCTTCCATCTGGTGTGATATGTCCACAGTACTTCCCCGGGAAGTTGTTCAAAAGGCATCAAGAACAGATGCCCAAGTCATCTCATCTAGCTTCTCTCGATATGGAGTAGCGGCTCTACTCCATATTCCTACTGCGTGACAGGGCTCCTCACCTTATCTCTAAGGGAGCATCCAGCAGAAGAAACTAATTTTGATCACTTGTATCTGCAATCTTGTCTTTTCAATTATTGCCCATAGCTCATGACCATAAGAGTCAAGTTTTCAAAGTAAAATTAAAGATACACCTTACAAATCTCTGAAATGTTTTGTGGGTCATAAACCCTTGAAGGGCCCAATGTGGCCTTCTAGCCCTACTTATGACATCCTTGAGTTAAATGAAAGACCAGACATAATGGTCTCAAGTCAACCAATTTTTTAAAGTAAAGATCCGGTATTATTCATTATTTAGGCACTCTTTTTGGTTTTGATCTTTTCACTCTGTATATCATTTGCATGGATAAATAAAATCTCTCAACATCTGTGAGTTCACAATCTCAAAAGAAACCTCCTTGAACAGATACATTGAACCAACTGGACCAATGGGAGGGCAGTATTTTGGTTTGGGTGGAGGTCAAAGGCAAAGAGCCCAAACAAACCAAAACAAAACAGCAATGTCCAATAACAGGCACAGGCATTTTTAACAGCAGAAATAGGAACAGTTGTTTTTGTTTCTCTTGTAGGCAAAATTGAGATTTTTCGCCTTGCTCTGCTCACCCTGTTCCACTGACAAATCAGTTTAAAGTGTTCAGTGAAAAGTTCTTACTTTGCTGGGACGCTTTCAGTGAGAGCAGGTGTATATAACTTGACTCATAGCCAGTGATGCCAGGTTTCAGCAAACAAACCCATGCAAGATCAAAAAACCTGTGACTCGTACTGCACAGCTGTACTGTACTGCACCCTCCCTCTCACGCAGAAATAGAAGCTTCGTCTTATTAACCTGCTACAGTTAAGTTAATTAACTATGCAAAACAAAGTAATATCCAGATTCAGTGAAGCAAAGGAATGCCAACACCATGTACCAAGAAGTGGCTTTTTCTTCCGCAGGTCACTTCTGTCCTTTCTTTAAAAAGAACCACTCTTTCCTTGTACGACAGGTCCCACAATCATTCCCTTCTGCTCATGTAAGTAAGTTTTTATTTATATAGCGCTTTTCACAGACATATGTCACAAAGATGCTTTTCACAGATCATTATTCCATTCACTCCATACCCGGTGGTGGTAAGCAACTATTGTAGCCACAGCAGGGAAGACTGATGGAATCTGCTCCATCGGCCCCTCCAACCACCACCATCACTCAAGCATGCACACACATCATTTTCATACAAGGCAATGTGGGTGAAGTACCTTGCCTAAGGAAACAACGGCAGTTTCTGGGACCGGCACCTGATTTTCCCACTGACCTCCCATCCAAGTACTAACTAGGCCCAGCCTTGCTTAGCTTCCGAGATCTGATGAGATCAGGCATTGACAAGCCAGTATGGCCACATGGGTATCATAGGCTTGTTGGTCTCAACCCTCTAGTCTTTCCAAATCCCAATGGGACTTTCCTGGTTATATAAAGGTTAGAAGAACATGCCCCAAATGTATGCATTCTCATGTTGCCTTGCTTTCATAACACATCATCTATCTGGGCTATTCTACATCTGTTAACCTAGTTGGCAGATAGTTGTCCTGGATAAAACAAGGGGCCAACTCCAGTTACAAAAGGGCTTGTTCAAGGTGACCTGTGCCTCACCTGGAATGTGGCTCATATAGTATTAGGTCAAAACTGAGCATGTCAATTACTCTTGCACAACTTGTAGATTAGTGAAGAAAGGAATCCGATGCAAACAATTTACAAATCACCATGCCTAGCTGATTATCTTCACTGAGATGTCATTGCTTTGCCTAACATGTTTTACAGCATGACACTTATCTACCTCCATGGAGAAAATTAGGTGGCACCATTTAGTTATAGGCCAAGTTACAAGTCAGATCTGTGGTGAGGGGACTGATCACAGTAAGACAGCTTGCATGTTTTTCAATGCATTTCTGGGCAACAAAACAACTGTAATTGAATAAATTCAAGATAAATAAGTTTAATGCCATGCTGTGGAACATTCCAGGCAAAGCAATAAAATGTTGTAGAATTCCACCTAAAAAGTTACATAGTGTATCATTAAAAGGAAAAATGCACAATAACAAGGCCACTCAGTGCTATGTGTTTCAAATATTGGATCAATAGTTACTGAATATAATAGTTACTCAACACCTATTTTAAAAATGTTATCATTGCAATTTTTCTTTTTCAGCTGAAAACAAAACATACAATAGCTTATATTTAATATTCAGATTTAATAGGTTCAAAAAGAAACCAATACATTAACACAAAAACCTGAATATGTCTAAAGGTCCTTTAATGATTGGTGGCATAGATGGTGACAGCACCATCATACTCATCTTTCGAAAAGACCAAAGCATTCCTTAAAGTGTAAGCAAATTTACAAGCAAAATCTAAAATTACACACAAAAGCAATTATTCAACACTCTTATCAGTAATCTCATATTTATTGTGGATATTACCGGTACATACAATACATGAAATTTACCTTTAGTTTTCTGAGCCATGAGAAAGCTGATGCTGAACAAATGTTTCCATGCATTCAAACGTCTGGGAGCATTCAGTGCATGTATAATTGGACTCAGGTGCATTTTCCTTAACATTTGCAGCACTGAGAACACCATTTTGCTCTGTATCTTCTGTATGGCCCTCTTCAAGGACATGCTCTTCACTTGGAGCAGCTTCATGAGTATCGCTCTCTGTCATGTCTTGGCATGGCTTTTCATCTTTAGAGGAGGAATTTGTAGATGCTGCGCCTGCCTTGCCTTCTTTTCTATGATAGCGTAAATGTGTCTTAAAGACACACAGAAGACCGAACTTCTTCTCACATTTGTGACATTTATAGTTTTCACAAGCTGCCCTTTGAATTTCTGTAGCCTTATTTTTATTGTCAGGTCCAAGAGCTTGGCCATCGATTTTGGATGTATGACTTATGCCCTTATGGTATTTCATATGTTGGGTTAAGCTATTAGAATGATGAAAAACACAACTGCACAGCTTGCATGGATGCATTGTGAAACTAAAATGTTTTTTTCTTGTTCTGCAATTTGCTTTTCTTAGTAGTCCATTAAATGACTTTGATTTCAGAGTTGGATTTTCCATTTTTTGTTGCGACTCATGTGTTGTATGGTGTTCTTTCAGGGCAGTTAACTCAGGGAACCGCTCCCCACACAAACCACATCTGTATGTCGAGTCAGTTTCACTGCTTGCATTCATCAATTTCTTTGCTCCATTCCTAGCATGAGTAGATGTGCCATTACAAGTTTTCAGATTAACTCTAGTGGCATCTTCAGTTTCAGATGTTACAGACACCTCTCTCCCTTTGCATAGGTAAAATGAATGTATCTGGAAGTCTGTTAACCAGAAAAAAGATAGCTTACATTTTTTACAGCTGTAAGATCTCTCCAACTTCAAATCTTGACTATTCTCAAACTCATCAAAAAGTTTGGTAGACGAATGACTATGGTTTATATGAGCTTTCAGCGCATCTATTTTTACAAAGCGCTTGCCACAGTATGCACAATAGTGAAACCTTTCATAGGTATGGTTTTGCATGTGTTTCTTAAGTTCCAGTCTACCTTTAAAGAACCTACAACATAAAGTACACCTAAAACCACCATCTAGATTTCTATACTGCTGATGACGATGCAAGAATTGCAAGCTATTGAAAGTTCTGCCACAAACTTCGCAACGGTAAAGCCCTCCATGAGAATGGTCCAGGTTCGAGTCCAAAGATTTTGATGCCAAAACATCTCTGGAGAAAGACTTCTGTGAAGGAGACATGGTGTTGACAGGGCATGAGAAATGAGATGGCAATATTCCAGGAGAGGATGGTCGTTTGGTTGAGTATTCAGGATGTGTCAAGCCAGTTAACGCTGTCAGTGTACCATTCTCTTGAAGGACATACTCTCTGGGCACTTCAAATCCGTTAGATGAGCCATCAAAGGTAAAAGATTCCAAAGGTCCATGGATGGACATATGACTTAACACATTTTGATACTGACTAAATCCATCGCCACATATTGTGCAGATGAAGGTGCAACATTCTGCCAATACCTTCTGCTTTTCCATTGTGAAATGATTTTGTCCGAGCACAGAAGGCATCACTTCCTTTGTAGTGGCTTTGACTGCTTTCCAAGTTTGACGCCACCAAGGCACCTAGAACAACAAATCAAAAAAATTATGTTGAAGTGCTTACAGCAATAAACAGCTCTGTGTGAGCAACTATGTTAGCAACAGAAGAGAGATGGCTTGGACCTATTTTCTTAAGATTTAGCTTTCCGGTCCCATCGAAAAATCTATTTTTTTTGTGAACTACCAGGAATCAAACCTAGATCCTTCTTGCAGTCTAGCAAACGTGTCACAGATTATTCCACTATACAGTTTTAAGTGGAAGTAAAACCAAAAGATTTTGGGGCTCCAGAAAACCTAAGGTATTTTATGTGAAACCAAGTTTGGGTCCTTACAGAGAGATTTCAGTGAACCATGATGACAGACAGCCAGAGTACGTTTTAGTGCCGTTTACAGCCAAGGGAAGGAACTGCAGCATCCAAAGGTTTGTTGGGCAGAAAATCAGCAGCCTGAGAAACCAGAGAAGTGCAACCCCTATTCTGCAACTGCAACTTTATTTATAACGCACTATAAAAACAACACAGGTTGACCAAATTGCTACAGAATACTTTCTTTCTAACCAATGAGAAAGAACAAAAAGTACCTTCAAAACAAACACATTTGCAAACACTCACCGCTCAAGCGTCCCCCGAGTCAATCACGTGACACACATGCTCTTGTTTACACTAGTGTACAACACTGAGGCTCTAGCTTTAAATGCTCTTGTAGCCTGATCCTTGATAATGAATAAAAGTTAACTTCAGCATTGTTTAGGCCAGCAACAAAACTACTGCTTGTTTTTATCTAAGTGCGAGTGCAGAGAAGCGAGTTTGTCCCATAGACAGTACACACGCAGCTTCTGTGAACATGCTGGATTATATTCTTTTCATGGATGATTGTTTTGAGTCAGGAGTAAAAGAACACTCATTTGTGCAGACTAGTGATCTGAACAGTGAGTGTTGCAAATGTGCCAGTTTTTAAGGTACTTTTCGTTCTCATTGGTTAGCACTTCACTGCAGTAAGATAGTCCGCAGCAATTTTGTGAACCAAGCTTTGTATATATTAAGTGAATTTTTATCTGCCCATTGAACACGTGCACTACAGTAGTGCTCTTTTCTCACGTGGGCAAACGTGAATGTACACGGTCTTGCATATCACGTGATTGCTTTGACCAACCAGAGCAAGAGGAGCTAGAGCGTAGCCAGAGCTAACGATTAAAAGCTGCTTTTAAGACAACTGAAGGATTTTAAGATGAGAAAGAGTTTATAATCTAAAAATAGGTTAAAAAAAAATCGCCACAAAATCTGACATTTTTGAAAGCCATAGGTGCCCTGTCAGACGAACATGGGCAGTTTATGATTACATTGCGCTCTTTGAGAAAAATCCTTTCTGGGCAGGACCGATTTTTTTTTTTTTTTTTTTTTGCAAACGTTCCAGTGAGTGGCCACTACACCAACTCAACATAGCTCTAAACTAGGAATACCCTATCCAGTTATTTTAATAGATCCATGGAAAAACCCTGGAGGAACTATAAAGGGATTATCAGACCACGTCACTTACTGCACGTGTCTCCTGCAGAAAGAGCTGCTGTCCTGTCTATTATCATGTCAGGGTCTTGTAGGATTTCAGCTGATTTCAGTCTCTCCCAGGGGAGGGGCTCATTGTGTCAATCAGGTATGAGTAGATGTCTGGTTACTGAAGTTTTGAGACATTTCTTCTCATCATTTATGCACTCGCCTGAATTTAAGACATACAGGTCACTAAGACATATCCCTCTCACTAATGTTCATTCAGCATCATAACTTATTTTATCACAGAGTGATAAACTGTTTCAGTGCACTGACAGCAGCGCTAGCTAGCGTTGCAAGTTCATGTTAACCACACAGGCTATGGCGCTTTCTGCACTCAGGCTGCACGCGCATCTGCTGTGTTGCCAAACAAATAGTCTGCCTTTAGCTGAGAGCACCACACTTTAGTCTTCATGCATTAGGTTTAGCTTATGTTAGATCACTATGCACTTGAAATATCACATTTCTTATCTTATATGCGAGGAAAACAGCTGCTGCATAGTGTTTGTGCTAGCTTTGCTTTGCGAAGCATATCAGCTCCACGTATATAAGGTGCCATTACTGGCAATACGACAGTTTACCACAAGGTTAAGTCAGAGTCCGGTGAGAAATTATTATTTTTTCATGTTTATATGTGCTCTTTGCAGTCTTATTTTCGCAGGACTTTGCACTCTCTCTTATCCGATCATCGGTTTAGATGTTTTAACCATGCCTGGAGCTGTACCGTACAGGCCCTAGACCCTGTAAGGAACTAATGCCTATCAGGGTCTGCTTTGGACCCCTCAAGTGGGGCAGCAGGGTTCACTTCAGACAGTGTACAGTGAACGGAATAATAAGAAATAGGGCTTATGTCTATATATGATATAATGGATATGGATATTTGTGTGGAAAGAGATATCTGTTAATCTGTTTGAGAGGACAGCAAAAATTCTTATTTCAAAAAGTCAAAGACAGATATGGTATAGACTCATGACACAGAGTGAAGTTTTCAAGCCTCTTGGGTTTTTTTTGTTTTTTTTGTTTTTTTAATATGGCTTACAGATAATGAAAACCCAAAATTAAGTGTCTCAGAAAATTTGAATATTGTGAAAAAGTTCAATATGCAAGTCATGGCGTCACACCCTAATCAGCTAATCGACTGAAAACACCTCCAGGTTTCCTGAGCCTTTAAACAGTCTCTCAGGCTACGTTTACACATACCCAGGTATATTGAGAAACAAATATTTCCATCCCTTAGTTTTCCAAAATAACATTGTGCACAAAGCATTGTTTTCAGAAACGTTTTTGTTTACATGAACCTGCATAAATACACCATCGAGCGCCATCATAACTACGCCAAGCCTATGGGCAGCTCCTGGATTAGATTCAAATTTGTAGCATTTATTTCATTACACTCAAAAATACTTTGAAAAACATGCATTACTGAGTGGGCTCGCCACTCCACAAATAAGTTAAAGAAGTGGCAAAATCACTGACCTCTGAGCCTCATTCGTCTCTGGTCATCAATATGATACATCAGCTGTGTGTGCAAATGCAAACACATGAAAAGTGTTTGCATCAGAAGAAATGTGAGTGCTGCTCTGAATGCTTCTGTGATCATCATCATAGTGAAAGTTAAACATTTGTCACACTTTTGGCACATCAGCTGCCTAAAACTCAGTTTATCTCACTTTTCAAGCAAACGCCAAACTGTAGTTTTCCAGAATCTCCACTCTAACTGGAGTTTTTTAGAAATATTCATTTTCAGAGGCGAATTTGCCATTTGCGTGTAAAAGATGGGTACAAAGAAAGTCTCCATTTAAAAAAAAATACCTGTGTATGTGGAAACGGGGCCTCAGTCTGAGTCTGGAGGCTACAAAATCATGGGGAAGCCTGTTGTTTGGACAGACGTCCAGAAGACAGTCACTGACACTGCACAAGGAGAAAGCCACAAAAGGTCACTGCAAAAGAAGCTGGTTGTTCACAGAGTGTTGTATCCAAGCATGTTCATAAAAACTTGAGTGGAAGAAAAAAGTCTGGTAGGAAAAGGTGCACCAGCAAAAGGTTGTCAAGCAAAATGCATTCAAGAAAGTGCAGGTGCTTCATAAGGAGTGGACTGTGGCTGGAGTCATCAGCACAATAAGAGCCATTACACAAAGATGAAGCCTATATGGGTCGTGAGATTATGTCAGAAGGCAAAAAAGAAGTGGACTGTTGCTCTGTGGTCCAAAGTTTCTTTTCAGATGAAAGTACATTTTGCATCTCTTTTGGAAATCAAGGTCCCACAGTCTGAAAGAACAGTGGAGTAGCACAGAATCAACATGACTTGAAGTCCAGTGTGAAGTTTCTACAGTCAGTGACGATTTGGGCTGCCAGGTCATCTGCTGGTGCTGTTACACTGTGTTTTCTAAAGTCCACAGTCAATGCAGCCATCTACCAGGACATTTTAGAGCACTTAATGCATCCTTCTGCTGATAAGCTTTATGGAGATGCTGATTTCATTTTTCAGCGGGACTTGGCACCTGTTCACACAGCCAAAGGCACCAAAAGCTGCTTCATTGACCATGTTGTTACTGTGCTTGATTGACCTGCAAACTTGCTTCACCTGAACCCCATAAAGAATCTCTGGGGTATTGTAAAGAGGAAGATGAGAAACACCAGAGCCAACAATGCACATGATCTGATGGCTGCTATCAAAGTAACCTTGATTTCCATTACACCTGAGCAGTACTACTGGAGGCCCAGCCAAGTACTGAGTGCATACAAATTAATACACTTTTCAGAAGCCTGGCATTTGTTTAAAATATCCTTTGAGACACTGAATTTAGAATTTTCATTAATCTATAAGCCATAATCATCACAATTTCAAGAAATAAAAGTTTGAATGCTTCACTGTGTGTCATGGGTTACAAATATATGGGTTTGACTTTCTGAAATGAGTGACAAAAAATATTGAACTGGCTTTCAGATCTCACACTATGATCATGTCATTCTCCCATCTGGGGTCTAGACCCAGTTTTCTTGTTGATCTCATGATATTTCCATAATAAATATCCAAAAAGATAATTCACATACAAAGCAATATGATTTACAACAAAAACCTGCAAAACAATACAAGCATTCAAACTATAAACATTAAAATATATCTTTTCCAGGTGTATGCAGATACATTTTAAATGTAAATAGCCAAACCAAACTGGAATACTACTAAAATTTAATGATCACGGGGTTATATTGAGCCTCTTCCTGTTCTTGTGTGTTGCAGCTTCCGTGATAATATATAAAATATGTGGATGAAAAAGTGTACCTCTGCCATCATTTTATCAAAATAGACTGTACGTAGGTCATACTTAAACCATCCCTGAAGCAAGTACTTACTGAGGCCGTAATAAATACAAATTCTTTGTGAAATCTAATCTTAATTGCATACATTGTCAAACGCTACATGTCAGAGTGAGTGAATCTTAAAGTCTTTACGTATAGCAAAAGGTTGAGAACATGTGATCACTAGCACCGTACACTTACCGTCAATTTTAGTGCGTCTAACTTGATGTATGTACAGTATTCACTATAATTTCACAAATGGGTTGCATGGATCGTCCTTAATGTCACAGCAGTATTGTTTATCGCTCGTTAACACAGCGCTCGTCTCGTCTCGTCTCTGTTGTCCTCAGGCCTCTGGCCGGGCTGGCAAGGCGAAGAAAGGGAGTAGGCGGTGTACACCCGGTGTAGGGCGCCCTCTGGTGAGTAGGAGGAGGAGTAACCAGGTCGACCTCAATTCGAAAGCATAATCAAAATGCCAACATTGGTCTCAAGTTTTTGTGTTAAATTGATGGAAGACATTTTGAGATATGCGCATAAATTCTATCAAATCTACAATGTCATGACTTGAGGCGGGTGGTGGCACAGTGGTGGCATAGGTCTACTCTAAAAAATTATCATTTACTTATTTACTGACATCCCCATTATCTGTTACCAAATTGACAGCTACTAACATTTCCATTTAAAATATCACATACAACAGCACTGTACAATTCATAAATTTAGACCAGGATTTTAGGGGTATGCTGTTTAACATGCTGTTCATATTTAATGTAGCTAACGTTTAGTATACAAAATGTATTCCTCCTATCGAAATCCATTAGAGAGCAAATTAGATTTACCCTAACAAAGCCTCTAATATCCCATAACTGCAATTCATGATGTGCCCTGGGGCTATGCTTTGCAAATATTATTCATTACAGATTTTATAATACTACATCTAATTTGTAAAGGGACAATTGTTGCTTGATTGACAAAATGCAGAAAAATGTAAATGAAGTACATTTGTAAATACTAGTAAATGTATTATAATTCACTAGGCCTACTCTGGCCCATGGTTTGGCCTGTTCTCAAATTAATCTAATGCAAATAAATAAAAAAATTTAAAAATAGAAAAAAATTAGGTGTAGAATTGCACCCCCTAGTGATTAAATCTTTTTATGAAAACAAATGAAGTCTTGCTAACGTTTTGATGTTAAGTGTTTTAATTAATTAATAATAATATATAATTTATTTACTTACCACGACAAAAATAGTACAGAATATTACAGAAATATTTTATTTATCCAAGAACTGGCAAAAATGTGAACATTTTACAAAGACGAGTAAACAAATAGGCCTATCTATTTAAAACATATTTACAATGGAACAAAAGTGGAGCTCTTGTTCATATAGGCTATTTTAGCACAATGTAACATTTCTTAATTCAAAAATAACTGAAAGTCTAATAAAAAGCATAGCAGTAATTTGTTATATACACTGATGGAAAAAATATGTACATTTGGCAGTATTACTGCCACTGCAGACAGTCTTATACTTCAGCTTCAGACACAGACTTCTCTTTACTCCGACTTGTGATCATTGAGTTTGTGCAGGTGTATGAACGAGACACCTCCTCCTGAAAAGCGGTTTCCAGGACCTTTAAAATCGATTTACGAACTTTATCCTTGAAATCTTGTCCCATGAACACATAGAGGAGTGGGTTTAGGCAACTGTTAAGAAAAGCCAGACTAGTGGAAATAGGATGCCCAATTATGATAATATGGTCAAAAATGTCACTTGTAGGACTGGCCGTGTGATAGACCAACTCAATCAGTGCTATAATGTGGTATGGAGCCCAGCAGAGGAAAAAAGTCGTAATAACAGCAGCAATAATTTTAAAAGGGCGACTGGACTGGCTGGCCAAACTGCGGTTCTTCCGAAGTCTGTGAATTATGACAGCATAGCAGGAGACAATGATAGTGAAGGGGACTACAAATCCAAGAAGAAAGCGAGTAATACTCATTGCTTGATGGCGAAAACGTTTGAGCTCGTTGCCCGCAGGTGTTTCATAGTCGTCTGAGAAAGCAAAGTTGTTAAAGCAGTTGATTATTTTTTCATCATGAAAGGCAGGTGCTGTGTCTCTTATAATGAAGTAAGGAGCACTGAGGATGAGAGCCAGCACCCATACACCTAGACTAACACAGGATGCTTTTCTCACACTCCTGTAGTTTTGAGCCCAGACAGGCCACACCACAGACACGCACCTATCCACGCTGATGACAACCAGAATATAGACGCTAGCAAACATGTTCAGAAAGCTTATGGTGCTGTTGAGTTTGCACATAAACTTCCCAAAAGGCCAGTGGAAATCCATGGCTGTGTAGGTCACGCTGAGTGGAAGGAAAGCCGTGAAAAGAAAGTCAGCTACAGCCAAATTGAGAAACCAAACTGTATTGACAGTTTCCTTCATCCTGAAACCGGTCACCCAGATAACCACGCCGTTGCCCAATACGCCCAGCACAAAAGCCAAGCAGTAAACAATGAGGGACATGATGTTGAGGGACTTCCTTAGCTCAGCATGATCGTCCTTGTAGTCATATTCATCATCTTCATACAAAGAGCTGTTCCTCCCTTCTGTGGCATTGATGTGGTAAAACGGAGTTGCTGTTATTATATCCATCATTGTTTGAAGAACTGAAAGGAAGCACAAACAACACATTAGAGACACCTTTAAGAGAAACACAGTTAAGTTATAAATAGCATATATAGAAAAGTATAGAACTGAAATGCAAGATAACTGTAAAATTAAGAAATAAGTAGGCCTAAGGAAAATGTAGCTTGTGTTTGATTTTAGAGTAATTCTATAGGCCACAGAGAGTTGAAAAGTTGGACAAAAGGGACCTACAACTAATGTAACCTATTATTGGTACAACTATGGCTGTCTGCACTGTGCAAACTGCATGCAATTCGGATCAGTTTAGCGATAAACAGGCCGAGATCACAGACTGAACTTCTTAGCATAATTGTCTTTTTACCAGCAAACGCTTTCATATCAAATTAAATAAAAAAGCAAAATAGAGACACCAAAGCCCATTAGTTTAACTTAAGCTTGTCTAGAGTTAAGAAAAGTTTGTAGTAAAGTAGTTTACCGTGCAGCTCGGAGTTTCCAGACGCTGATGATGGGGCACACTCCTCCGGGGAGACTGGGAGACTGCACCGCGCGAGCTCAGGGCGCGAGCATTAAATATGTGACGTCAGCGACTAGGACGGAGCGCGCACACGCACACGCACTATCTGTGCAGTCTAAATTGCTGCAATTATCATCAAGTGCTTCTTTATTGCTCATCAGCGGAACTCGCTCCGACACGTTTGTAGAAAAATGAGTCTTTGTCTTAGTCTAGGGAAAGTCCTGCAGTGAAAACACTAAAAGGCGCAAATTGTGGGTTGTTGAATTGTGCATGAAGTCGGGTATGAGCTGTAGCGATGATGCTGCCGCCTAATGTCTGTTTTGCCCAGTGAAGCTAAGCTCGTGTTTGCTTGTGGTTACCCCTGCAGGTGACATATACGCTACTCCTATTAGGCACCTGGGTCATCACACGGCGGAATTCATTTGGATAAATGTTAAGATGTCAAAAGAAACAAGAAAAACATTTTAATAAAATTTATTCGCCAAAACATGTTACCACTTTGTGTAGGTCAATGTTTTTATGTGCACTGATAAATAAACTATAATAAACACCTTAACATGCAAGTCAATGTTTGTTTTTTGGAATATTTCAGGCATCATCAATAACTGAAAGATTTAGTGTCGAAAACATCTACAACAAATGTGCTCCAAAGTGTATTTGCCTTTGCAGCTGGTAATCTTTTGTGCAGATTACTAAATTCAAACAGCAGGGAAAACTCAGATGACTCCCGATGGATATTTTAGGGGTTTGGGGGAGTGTTAATGGTGTAGGTGGACAAGAATAGAACTTCGCCCTTAATATAATTAGATTACACACCATATGCCTGCATATGGGTCTGTTTTAGTTCTTTTTATTGTTTGTTTAGTAGGCCCAAATCCAGTTATTTTAGTACTGCTGCATAGAGGATGCAGTTAAACATTTGAGAGTTGAGGAGAATTATAACTGAAAGATAACTTGGATGTCTGAATATCCAAGAGGCTGGGATGGTTGGACCAAATATAAAAGTAGTCCACAGTAGTCCACAGTAGTCCACAGAGCAACATGATTTACACACATAACCCAACACACTGAAATCAGTGGTTGAGCTGCCAGCGTTAAAGCATGTATTTCTTACATCTCAAGTTTTGTCTTTAATTATCTCACAAAGAGTGTAAAAACTGTTCATGTTCCCACAGTGCAGATGCCTGAACCTGCCCTTCCCTAAACTCCTGTGTCTCTAGATAACACAAAGAAGCTGCACACAGGAACAATGTCCTGCCAATAGTCCAGATGTGAGGGGGTGGAAGAAACAGCGTCCGTTCCCTCTGTGCCGGCTCTCACTGCATGATTTCAGAGCAACACCCTGGTTTGAGTGTAGGAGGACATACGTTTTTGCTTTTGCACCCCCTTTTCTGGGATAAATAAACATTCAGTGTGTGCATGTAATCCCACTGAGAGAAATGCAACACCGTGACCAAAAACTATTCAATCAAACTCAAGCATATGCAGCCTTAAAATAGCAAGTTCACTCGAAACTGCATCGCAAATCTTTACTCTGTGCAAATAAATACATGCCAAAATACACAAGTCGTCCAAAATAGTGTGAAGACCACGATCCTGAATGAATCAAGTAAAAATTAACAAGAATTGAACAGGGATTTAACAGAATTAGAGAGTTTTACATTGGACTAAATTAGGACTAGACTAAACTGGATTACAGAACAATACTGGAAGATCTCATGTATCAGTTCTGTTGTTTCATTGTGCACTTGAGTCTGTGGAAAAGTCTAGGCCCAGCACTGTGCTGCAGTCTGTAGGGTATATTAATAGCTATCCCAAAGCTATAGTTTGAGGGAAGCCTTCAGAGCCCAGAGCCTGCCAGAGTTCTTGATTTACCAACCAAACCTGCAATTATGTGTGTACCGCACAAATACCAATTTGGGTGTGTAAAACAACTCAAGAAGGTTTAGAGGCAGTTTAGCTTGAACACAGAGTGGCATATGCTCAGAGAGTTAGGGGTGTACAATGCCATATACAACAGAGTGGGGGGCTCAGAGCTGTATGGGACTTTTTTTATTTGGGACATCGAGGTCCTATAATGACATAGTTCAGCAGTGAGCGTCACTATGCACACCCAGCACTTTACGCTGAGTGAAAAAACAGCATTGGGCCAGTTTTCTAAAGCCACTCCTGGCAATGATCCAAGGCATAAACCAGTTTTGAAAATGTGAGATTTGAGTTACACTAACCCAAATAGTGGGAATCCGCCGCATGTCCAGACCACAAAGGTTTGTTGATCTAGTTGTGGTGTTGACTGGAACTCAAACCCCTGTCTCACGGCTGTGGAGAGGTCGGGAATTTTGTTTTTGGAGGCAAAATGGCTGCCAGCTTCCATTCGCTCCAATGGGTTTTTCCACAAAAAAACACCACACACAAGCAAAAGAGCAGAACCTCAATAACCTAAACCACTTCCTTACATTCACTCCTTTCAGCCACACGTCCCAGTCCCCTGAGAAAGTACAAGGACAGTGAATAATCAGCACTGGCTTTGGTATTTGACATGGCTGCCAATGCACATTTTATTTGTAGCAGTTTGAGCGATACGGGGGGGCGGAGCTGCAGTATACTGTGACACAAATTGTTTATTTTTTATTATTCTTTCCATAGCATTGTAAATTAATGCTTAGATGTTAAATGAAAAGTTGGTGTGATGCTCCTCATTAAAGATTTGGAGCAACAAAGTTAAGTGCTCCAGGTTCCTTACATGCAAGTGACCACATCCAAAATGCTGTTTTTCACATGTGCAATTAAAACAAACATCTGTGAGTCACATGTGCCATGACAAACACTCCCACCTTTGAGCAATTAGTCTAGGGACTTTTGCCAGTCTTGTTTTCTCTTAAAAATTATTGGTATATAGGTGGGAAGTAACCAAATACATAAAACATTTAGTTTAAATGTTTACTTAAGTATATTTCATACTTTATACTAGTTGCAGAGGCAATAAGAGACAGTTATTCTCTGTCTATTATATTGACAACAATTGCAATTTTCTGACAAGCATTGTGTTTATGTCTAAATAACAGTTGAAATTTAACATTTTAAACTGAAATATTCACTGATACAATAATACACAAACCACATTTCAGAACATGCTTGTACAGATCTAAACTACAGGGTTAGCTGTCTTGATGCAGAATAAGAATGTTTTGTTGTTTGTGGAGAAAATTGTGGTACTTCAGAAACTGCAGACTTTCGAAGTGCATCCATTAAAATTCCTATTGCTATTTTGAGCTTAATCTTGCCCCCCTATCACTTTGTGATATTACGAGTTCAAGATGTGGAGCTGGATCAACTGGAGCTGCAGCTGACCCCTACTCCTGACAGATTGCCCAAGTGACATCTGAAAATGGATCAAAGTCAGAAGACAGATTTCCCTACAGGGGCAAGTGTACCTTAATCTTAGTGACTATGATAAAAGATTAAATGTATATTAGCTTATATCCTTAAATTACCATTATTACAATAATCATGATTAGCATTTATTTTTACTTGACTGGAAGTGTATGATTTTTAAGCACTACATATAATCATAAAAAATTTCTTTAAAATCTGAGGAATAAAAATTATAGCCATAGTAAGTTATTCTATAGGTATAGTAGGGCTTGTCTGGGCGAGATGGGAATGCATTATATGTGAGAGTTGAGTGTATAATCACAGGTTTTGGTAAATGCTGCCTCAGATTTAAGTGTTTTCCTGTCTGTGCTGATAAACACCTATGCACAGTCAAGATAACAACCTAGTACCACATAGTACCACAACATTCACATTGGCACACTCACACTCTCAGCTACTTCCTCAATCTGGTTATCATGAAAGGGGAACTATGGATTATTATTACTGACTCATATTCAAAGTTTGGGTCAGAAACTGTGCAATAAGCCACACTCTAGTGGTACAGTAAAATGTCAGCAAGTAACGTGGGAACATTGCCAGAGTGAAACCATTTCTCCTTTTGAATGCAGAGAAATTAATATTGAAATTTTATCACAAATTGCAATATACACTCTTTTATGGCTTTACAAAATAAATAAATAAATAAATAAAAAACTATAACTTCCTCAAAATTTTGTAGGGAGATTGCTGATACATTCCAGAGAGAGTTTAGCACACCAGTGCTGAGTCGCTGAGTCCCTGTGACCTTCAGGATAAAGTGCTATTGTTGACTTATAAAGTTTAGACCTGTTCAAACTTTTTCCCTGTGTGCACTAACACTGTGCTACATTTGAATGAAAAGTAATATACTAATAAAGATTGACGTAATATTTATTCTAAAATACAATGTTTGAATATTTCAAGCTGCAATTTTTCAACGCTAGTCTCTAGTGTAGTATTTTAGGGTCTTTTGGAAAACACCGGGAAAACACAAATATCATTTGTGAGTTTTTGTAAAGAAGTTTACACCTGTCATGTGTAGTTGGTGTACACATCCAGTTGACACATTGTGAAATGGTTTGCAAAATCTCATATAAACATATTTTATCATTATAGTTATAATGATCATAATGATGCTCATTATGATCAGATCATTATAATTAAATCTGCTTGTGTACCTAAATGGACTTCTAGTAGTACTAAAAATATACAAAACCTTGTATCCAGTATAGATACATTTTTGACCAGTTAAATTTAGGTTTTTCTCTACATTTGACCCATCTTTCAATGCCACTGGGGCAACCTGGTTTCCCATCCCCAAATCTTGAGCTCGTCTTGGTTGGAGGATTTTACTTATTGTGCACATTTAGGGTTGTAAACATCAGGTGAAGTGGGCATCAACTGGACAGTGTCCCATCTAAAAATATTGAGCCAGAATTACCCATCTAGACATGATACATGAGTTGGTAATGTTAACCACTCACGCAACTTGTAAAATATTGTGTCTGTGAAATTGCAACGGACAACAGTAATTTACATAATATAGAATCGACACATATCTGGTTTTGACACCTACCAGCAACATGTTCTGGGGAATACAACATGTGTTTAATGTTTAAAACCCTAAAGACCTTGAAAAAAGGTGATAAGATTAAAATGTATGGAAAGGACCAGTGGAGTTTAAGAGGCCACATTTGCCAGCCTAGTCATTGGAAAACATGAAGCTTTTCCTGTTAGCTGCTCTGTTTGGGTGGGCAGGTGTGTATCATTTCAACCTGAATTAGTACATTAATATTTATTGTTTAAAATCACGTTTACTTTTTATTCCAGCTGCCCTCAATGATCACAAGATTGTGGGCGGCTATGAGTGTCCCAGAAACTCAGTGCCTTACCAAGTGTCTCTCTTCACTGGATACAACTACTGCGGCGGGACTGTTCTGTCTAACGAGTGGGTGCTCTCAGCTGCACACTGCAAATCAAAGTAAGAAACATGATTACACTCACATAAATCATGCATATAAATCATTCAAGAATGTGGTTTTGTTAGATCATTAAGTTGAAAAGATGCCTTGAAACTTGTCCTATGATTAGATGGTGATTAGAGCTTTCTAATGTGTGCAGGTCTAATGTAGAGGTGCGTTTGGGGGACCATGACATCTTTGAGGAAGAAGGGACAGAGCAGTACATTGTGTCTGCCAAGTTTATCAGGCACCCTAACTACAACCCACGCACCATGGACAGTGACATAATGCTGATCAAGCTGAGTAAACCCGCTACTTTCAACAGCTATGTCCGCCCCGCCGCCCTCCCCACCTCCTGTGCTGCAGACGGGACAATGTGTCAAGTGTCAGGATGGGGCAATATAAAGTCCAGCAATGAAGGCTGTAAGTCTCAGAAAATATCAAGTGCTATATAGCAGTAGACCAATCCTGACCTATTGCTGAGTGAGGCCATATGCTGGTTTAGACCTAGTTTAATGCTAGTTTTTAGGTGTCAAATTCCTACATTCTCCTTTCATTATCGGATGACTTCATTATAATAAACAACATCTACTGTATCTCTCTATCAATCCATGGGCTTCAGAATTATGAAATTTAGGACAATTGCCAAAGTGATTAATACTTAAAAACAAAATATGATATGGGAATAAGTCCTCAAAATGTTGCACATAAGAGGAAGCTGAACCCCATGGATAGGAATGCACTCAACTGACAGCTTGATTTTCAATATATTTAGGCTACTGCTTTTGTATATTATTAGTTACTGAATTTATAAACAAAATAGTAGCAGAGAGACCTCAGGGACAATATTTGTAGTGGTACTAGTTTTACTTGTGCAGTATATTAGTGGTATTACAATAACAATACTAGAAGTAGCCAGATTAGGGCAAGTAGCAACAGACTAGAAGCAATTGCAGTATAAGTAATACAGTTTTTACTCTAGGCTACTGCAACAGTGAATTTAAAAAGTACAGAGCATAACAGCAGATTTTAATATGTCATTCACCTGTGTTTATTTCTTTGCTGCCTCCACAGCACGTTACCCGCATAAGCTGCAGTGCCTCGAGGTGCCTCTCTTGAGTGATGACACTTGCTTCAATTCCTACCCTTTTCAAATCACAGAGAACATGATTTGTGCTGGCTATCTGGAGGGAGGCAAAGACTCCTGCCAGGTAATTTTGAAAATAATAGCTTTTAGTTTTCAGTCTTTTATAAAAGAAACTAAAGCTCATTTCTTTGTGGCTCAGGGCGACTCTGGAGGTCCCTTGGTGTGCAATGGCATGCTGCAGGGAGTGGTGTCATGGGGTAAGGGCTGCGCTCTCAGAAACAAGCCTGGGGTCTACACTAAAGTTTGCAATTACGTCTCCTGGATTAAAAATACCATGGCTTCTGGCTGAGAAACAAAGATATTGAAATAAATCTCATATGAAGTGGAAATGCTAAGTCACCCATGAGATGTTGTGTGTGTATTATGTGGTTTGTGCAGTGCAAGGCGACGGGTGTGGCATATGACTACATGAATAAAAGCAGCTATCTGTAGGAAAGAAAAGAAACTTACGATTACTATTATATGCATCCTCTCCATTGAAGAGTCACCAAGATTTGTTTAAGAGTACTTAAACTTATACTTATGGACATCTAAAAATGCTGATCTATTAATGGTATCATTATGTAATGATTTATGATAAATCTGTACACTTTCTACCCATTCTTTAAAACGTGACTTAGATGCAATGACTGTACAGTGAATGTGCCGCGAAGCATGTCTCATAATTAAACCTTTTAGTCACAATGCCAAACTGATATTTACAGGAAGCCAAAACTGAATCACAAAGACCAAATACTCCTCTTTGTGGGATGGCAGGAAATTACAGGAAATTATGCTTCCTTTTAAGAAATACTTAAGTGAAGGTGGTATTTTGCAATTTATGTAGCATGTAAGGATGAGGAAATTTGGCCTAAAAATATTGGATAAGTATTTTAACAAAACCATGCACAGTGCTAATAACGGGATAAACATTTACAAGACCAGATCAGGTGCATAACTTAATATGAAGCTCCCAAACTGGTTTAAATGGACTTTGGTGCTTGGGTGTGGCATAGGGCATTGAATGACTCACTGGACGATGACATGACCACCAATTAAAAACAGGGATGACCTACTGGACACAGAGAGATGTTTTTATGATCATAGATGTTCAGAATAGGGCTTATATTAAGAACGGACAGCTACATACCCACGTCTCTCCTTGTATAACTGTGGTATTTAGACTAGACCTGACCCTAACCTCAATAAATAAATGATAAATGATCCAAACGGTGATAAAAACAACATTAAACAACCACATAAATATATCCCAGAGGGCTAACCACAACATGTGCATATGACTGGCACAGCTCCCACATGACATCAACTGTGGCGCGGCATCTATTTGAGTCCAACACAGAGCATGCTGATGGCTCAGGCCTGTGGCTATGGGTGTGGGCCCTCATGAGTGGTCAACAGATTTCCTTGTAAAGAAAGTCTCCAGGGATGTAATCATGGCTAAACCAGGCCATTGGCAGAGACTCTAGGAGGAAAAAAACTTGCTTCGTCCTCTGAGAACTGAATGTAGCAGAAAATACAGGGTTTGAGATGTGAGCCATTGTTCTGTGGTATGATTTAAAGACAAGAGCAATTTCCACTCTTCACTTCAAACTACTTTTTTATACAAACTCTCACCATCTGCAGGTTTACAAATTTGTCAGTAGATGGCAGTATTCTCAAGTTTTAAAAACTACAATGAAGCAATAAAGCAAATACACATATGGGTTAAATAATGTAGAAAATATTGCATGTTTTAAAACCTTAAAGAAATATTCAGTGGTGCAGAGAATTGTTTTGATTAGTTCCCTTATAGTGGTAGGCTAACAATAGTTAGGCAAATGTTTTTGTCTTAAAGCTGCACTGTGTAACTTTTGGAAGAGGGTTTGTCACCAGCTTCTTTCCATGGAGATGTTGCCTGGAATGTTCCACAGCATGGCATTACACTTATTTGTCACATTTATTTTACACGTAAGTTCTGTGGAGAGGCGAGCCCACCCAGAATGCAAGTTTTTAAGTTGATAAAAACCTTTTTTTTTAACTAACTAAGTAACAAAGTAACTAACTAACAATTTAAATAATTCACATAATGTAATATCTACATCACTGCTAATAGGCATTGGCTATAACAATTCCGGATTTATATAGGATACTTTAATGGTTGCCCAGTAGATGGCAGTAAATTCTTTAATTATTCGACAGAGAGAGCTTTTAGACCGAATAAACGCACTACTAGACAATCGAAAATAGAATAAAAACGTCTTTCTTTGCTTTGTCAGTTTTCCTATTCGAGTAATAAACACTATAGGTCTAATGTTTATACACCATTACCACAGAAGCATGTCTGTGGCAGACGAAATTGCTATAGGTCCATTTCATATTGAACAAGACCCGTTGGCCATAGTTTGTCTGGTCTGTGTCTGTCTCTTATGTAGTCTGTACGTGTATGTGAAATGTACTTATGAAGATCACCTCAACACCTGTCCTGATCCACGTGATTTGATCAGCTCAGTCATGCCTGCCCATCGCCCCGCGTGTCTAGCTGCTGGGTCTCTGCTGTGATGAAAGTGCAGTGGGGTCACTGAGGTTCAATTTTCCTTGGACAGCCTCGGAAGATGAAACCAGCACCTGCTGGAGCCCGGTCAGTGCTCAACTGAGCGTTTGGCACCAGTGGAGGATTTCAGGTAAACCTGTGTTTCAAGGTGCATTTCTCGCACTGAGGCATAGAGGGCACTCGACTATCATCACAAACTTTCTCTCGCAAATCCGCACATAAATGTTTTAACAGTAGGTTATCTCTTAAAAGGGGGACCACAAATAAAATGTCAGTGATGACATTTTGTAGAATTTAAAACCAAATAAAGCTGGTGCGATATGGTAGAGATTAATTATTCATATATACATTTCAACCAATAATGGTCTTGCCTTTTCTGTCCAATAGGGTTAATTGACTGCTCCATCAATAACACCAATAACAGCCGCCACACCTTAGCTCTGATCTGCCCTGGAAGCGGGCAACTACAATGACTCCATCTCCATGGTAAGGATGAAAACAAAGCAGTGAGACTCGTGCACTCTGATGTCTACGAGATCCTCATGGTCGGAATCTGGACCGCCTCGTGCTTGACGCACGTCTGAGTCAGCGCACGCGCGTAATTTATAGAGGTGCGCGCATAAAAAGCAACACTTTTCTCCATCCAAAAGAGCACATGACAGAAACAAGATCCTGGACTCAGCGGTCCACAGCGCATCCCTCACAAATAGACCAAGTAGCATCAGGTAGGCTGTTTTATGTCCATTTCGATTTTATTGCTTACCACCTAACTATTTTACTATACTAATATATTTTGTATATATATATATATATATATATATATATATATATATATATATATATATATATATATATATATATATATGCATTTAATTTTATCTTGTGTGTGTGCCAAATGCTACTGTAATAATAATAATTTTTAAAAGTATGGTCCTACAAAGCAGCTTTGAGACATATGCATATGGCTATATGCATCAGACTACTAGGTTAACATTTGTGACAATAAATGTATTATTATTATTATTAATAATAATAATAATAATAATAATAATAATTAAGTCTGTTTTAAACATGTCTAAAACAATGTGGACAAACCCTTGATTTTATCAGGTTCTCCACGTTTCAGTGTTAGCCCTGAAACATTGTAGTGACTGTGCTTGTGCTGATGTAGGGCGGAGGCTGTGGAGAGATGGAGCTGAAGCTGCTGCTGAAGAGGCTGAGCACAGTGGTGCGGGCCATTGTCACCTTTCTGTTTGCTCTTGTTGTTCTGAGCGTCATGACCTGGGCTTACATCCAAGGCTTTCAGCTGATCACATCCAAATATGGCATCATCTCTTTTGGCTTTTATGGGTTACTTCTTGGACTCCATCTTCTTGTCCAAAGTTTCTTTGCCTTTGCAGAGCATCGTCAAATGAAAGCCCGTGTTGACTCTTGTACTTACACTAAAACAATTGGATTTACAATTGCTGCCTATCAGGAGGACCCAGAGTACCTGCGGGAGTGTCTGCTGTCTATCCGGGCCCTGAAATACCCCCCTGAGCTCCTGCGTATCATCATGGTAGTGGATGGTAACTCTGAGGATGACCGCTACATGATGGAGATGTTCAGAGAGGTTTTTGCAGACCAGGACCCAGCCTGTTATGTGTGGAAACAGAACTATCACACCTGGGAGCCCCACATGGTCCCAGACGATGAGGATGTGGCCAAAGCCATTAGTTTGGGTGCAGACTTCACTGTCGGAGAAGACCCGCAGTGCAAAGTAGTAGAAGGTCTGATCCAAAGTAAAAGATGTGTGTGCATAATGCAGAAGTGGGGTGGCAAACGGGAGGTGATGTACACAGCATTCAAAGCGTTGGGCTCCTCTGTTGACTATATCCAGGTATTTACTAACTGTACATGTATTTAGTATGTTACCATAAACATCCTTCTCAATAGTTTCCTCTGTGTTCCCAGGTGTGTGACTCAGACACAAAGCTGGACTCATTGGCCACAGAAGAGCTTTGTAAAGTATTGGAGAGTAATCCCAAGTACGGGGCAGTTGGAGGAGACGTCATGATTCTAAACTGTGAAGACTCCTTCATCAGCTTCATGAGCAGCCTGCGCTACTGGATGGCCTTCAATGTCGAGCGAGCGTGCCAGTCTTACTTTGACTGTGTCTCCTGCATCAGTGGTCCTCTAGGTAGGGGTAATTTACTGTCATAATGTTAAGCGAGTAGAGCTTTTCTGAATTGTGTGTACTTATTGTATTTCATTGTATGTTAAGGGCTGTACAGAAATGACCTCCTACAGCAGTTTCTGGAGTCCTGGTACAATCAGAAGTTTTTGGGCACACATTGTACATTTGGAGATGACAGACACCTCACAAACCGGATGCTGAGTATGGGCTACGCCACAAAGTAAGGCAACCTTGTGCATTTAACATACAGTAGACAGTAATAATATTGGAGAACATGAATTCTAAATTGATATTTTTTATTTTGTTTAGATACACAGCTCGGTCCAAATGCTACACAGAGACCCCATCACAATTCCTGCGCTGGCTGAACCAGCAGACGCGGTGGACCAAGTCTTACTTCAGAGAGTGGCTCTTTAATGCCATGTGGTGGCATAAGCACCATCTGTGGATGACCTATGAGTCCATAGTGTCAGGTGTATTTCCTTTTTTTGTGACAGCCACAATTATTCACCTGTTCTGGACTGGCACTCTGTGGGACATCTTGTGGATTCTGTGCTGTATCCAGATCATTGGGCTGCTCAAAGCTCTTTATGCTGGGATCCTGCGCAAAGATCCTATTATGGTTTTCATGTCACTGTACTCCGCTCTATACATGACCAGCATGCTGCCCACTAAGTACTTTGCCATCCTCACCATCAACAAACGGAGCTGGGGGACGTCCGGCCGGAAGAAGATCGTTGGAAACTACGTCCCTCTGATCCCTCTCTCTGCGTGGGGATCCATTTTAGTTGGCGGCATTTGTCACACCATTTACAGGGAAACCCTTTTGGACTGGCTCACCCCGCCAAGGTTACTTGAGACCCAGTTTCTCATTTATGGTTGTGTGGCCTACACGTGCTACTGGATGACCATGGTGTTCCTGTATTGGGTCTGGTTCAAACGGATATGTCGTAAACAGTCACAGAAATATAACAACACTGTGTAGACTGTAACAAATGAGTTTAATTTATTTATTGTATTGTTGCACATGGTAACTAATAATTTATTGAAAAAAACAACTAAATGCTGCTGCTGACAGTTGATATCGTCCAAGCAAAAAAAAAAAACTGTCAATTTTTATGAATAGTATTGACCCTGTACTCTCAGGTGTGTTTTTAGATCACAGTGGTTGCAATTATCTGATAAATGTTTACGTGTAAATGGACCAAGAGCCAAAATGAACTGTCCAGAATGTTCACTCAATTGTGAATTACTTTTATGACTGCCACTCTACGACCACTGCATTGTAACTTACTACTGTAGTTTGTGTGAAAATGGTTATTGTAGCAAAAAAAAGTGAAGAGAAGAAATGGGCATAAGTTAATGACCTTGAATGTTGATGTTTTCTTGTATATGTGATTTTTATAAGACACTTTGTATAAAAGCGTATTGTTGAAAAAAATGTATATTATATTATTTTTTATACATCTATTGTCTACAAATGTGAATAAATAAAGTTGTATATGTGTAGTAAAGGTACTGCATCAATTTTGTTATGAGCAATAGAAGTGGCAAAGGATGTTACACACTAATCATTGTAAGAGAAAAAAGTCCTTCCATTCACACTTTTTTACCTTATATTCAAGTTAAAATGCATGTTCCTTTTTTTTTTTTTTTTTTTTTGGTTAAAACATTATTCTGCATACCTGCATAAAGAAATATTTGTTTACGTACAGATGTGTTTGAAATTGTTGGTACCCCTGTGGGAATGAAAGAAAAATCAACAAATATCACTGAAATAACTTGAAACTGATAAAAGCAATAACAAATAAAAATGTACTGAAACTTGTCGAACGAAAATCATTGTTTTTCACCTGTGGTTAGACAGAATCACTAGAAAAAACAAAATAAGCGCAATCAGAGATAGAAACCTGGTCCCCCATGAGTCATCGGTGGGGGCTTGTGTGATGATTGGGTGAATATTTTAGCCCACAGATGGTTCAGAAATTGTCGAAATTGCCTATCCTTTATAATGGCATGACCTTTCAATTGACCCGTGTAACCTCAAATGACCTTGGATTGTCACCAAACTTTTTTTTGCAGTATCGGGCATGGGGGCTTGACCCACGTACCAAATTTGGTGACAATCGGTCCATAAATAGTGGAATTATCATGGGTGGACAGACACACAGACACACAGTAATAATTAAACTGGCCTGTATAAAAAATGTTGGTACCCTTAACTTAATATTTTGTTACAGAACCTTTTGAGACAAACTCTGCAAACAAATGATTTCTGTAACTGTCAGTGAGGTTTCTGCACTGGTGAACAGGTATTTTGACCCATTTCACGTGAGCAAACTGCTCTAGTTGTCTCAGGTTTGGAGGGTGCCTTCTCCAGACAGCATTTCAGGTCCTTTCACAGATGTTCAATAGAATTAAGATCTGGGCTCACAGAAGACCACTTCAGGACAGTCCAGTGTTATGTTCTTAGCCATTCTTGGGTGTTTTTAGCTGTGTTTTGGGTCATTATACTATTGGAGGACCCATCACCTGCAACTGTGACCAAGCTTTCTGACACTAAGTAACACATTTTGGTCCAGAACACCTTGATAGTCTTGAGATTTTGTTGTACCTTGCACAGATTCAAGACACCCTGTGCCAGATGCAGCAAAACAGCCCTAGAACATAACCAAGCCTCCTCCGTGCTTCACAGTAGGGACAGTGTTCTTTTCTTGGTCTGCTTCATTTTTGCCTCTATGAACATAGAGCTGATGTGCCTTGCCAAAAAGCTCCAATTTTGCTTCATCTGTGCAAAGTCATTCTCTCAGAAGCTTTGTGGCTTGTCAATATGCACTGTAACAAATTCAGGTTGAACTTTTTAATGATTTGCTCTCAACAGTAGTGTCCTCACATGAAGTCCACTTTGGCTCGAACCATGATGGATGGTACAATCTGACACTCATGTACCTTGCCCTTCGAGTTCACATTTAATTTCTTTCGAGGTTGTTCTCTGCTCTTTGGTTACCTTTCGTATGATCCATCTCTTCAATTTGTCATAAATTTTCCTCTTGCAGCCACGTCCAGGGAGATTGGCTACAGTCCTGTGGACCTTAAACTTCTGAAGAACATGTGTAACTGTAATCACAGTCAAACTGCTTGGAGACGGTCTTGTAGCTTTTATCTTTAACCTGCTTGTCTATCATTTTCTTTCTAGTCTCCTGACACAGTTCTCTTATTCACTTTCTCTGGTCCATGTTCAGTGTTACTTCCATCATGTCTCCAAACGGCACAATGACACATGTCCCCCTTTAAACAGGCAGACTGACTGAGGATAAGTTTGAAGACACCTGTGATACAGAATAGAGGACACACCGAAGTTTAACATGTCCCTATTATCCAAGTATTTACAATCTTTTCTACGAGTACCATCATTTTTGTCCAGGCCAGTTTCATTAGTTGTTTTTTTAATAATTCTGTTGAACAACAATTCAAAAAGTGTCTGATTTTCATTGGTTATTTGTCAGGAAATTTTTATTTATCATTGCTTTTCTTAGTCCAAGTTATTTCAGTGACCATTGTTAATGTTTCTTTCATTACCAGAGGGGTACCAACAATTTTGAGCATGTTTGTATGAACATATAAATACATATATTTAATATATATCATTTTTCGTACGTTCGTAGTTTGCAAAATTATTACATTATGTAGTAGCATCTATATAATTCTCTAATAACACAAAAAAATCAAGTTGTAGTCATACGTACACATGGTTGTTGCAAAAAATATTTTTGTTGACGCAACTGCCTGTATAATATTAAACCTGAGTGATGGAAGTTACTGATGGAAGGCATAAGGCTGAAAGACTAGCAGTGTAATGATCCAGTAGCCTAGTGTGCTTAAAACACAGAACAATTTAGATGAGTCTTACTGTGTCTTAGGGAAGTGGAAAAACTGAGATATTTGACCTTAGTTTCACTGGAGCCTGATAAAGTGTGAGTCAATGCGAAGGCTACGTTTTCAGTCTCATATGCGTAAAGATGCGGGGACTTCCTATTACAGTATTCCCAATGTTTGGTCTCCAATAGTAACCCTGTAGTGTGGAAAAGGGTAGAGTTGTGAAACAATAGATGATCTTTATGGTTGTGGGGTACTAGTGAGTCAGTCGTACGATTAAAAGAGCTTCATTTAAAGAGAGTTGAGGTGTGACGAACTGAAAGATCACTTCCTCTGGATCTGTTTCTAATTAGTCTGTCTCCTCCCCGTCTACCTCTGACGTCATGACCTCAGCTGGCCCACTGTCGGGGGGCATGGGACTTAACCAAAAACATCAAATTGTGGATACAAATAGTGGTTGTTGTTGTATTTTTGAATGATTTTTGGTCAGTGTTCAGCTATAAATAATATATCCATGGGTTTCAGAGTGATGAATGAAAATTAGGACTATTATTTTTTGCAATTAACAGTTCAAAACGAAGATATTATGTTTTTTGAATAGTTAACCGTCCTCAAAATGGCACCATATAACAAGAAGCTGACATTTTTAAACACACTTATGAAATAGTAGAATTTTATGTTGGCGAAATGGTACTACAGGTTCTTTCTGGTTAGTCTTAATGTACCCTTATGTAATGTAATTTAAACAACACCTGAGCCTGGATGGATTTGTGATGGAAATGTAGTGACTCAAGCTCAGACTACATTGTTATAAGACTGTGAAAATGTCTGCTCTAGTTTACATAACATTCTAAAAGCAAACAAAAAACAAAAAAAACAATAATTACATGCATATTTTCTGATACACTGTCAAAGCAACCAACAAAGCCTACACATGTTAATCATTACCGTGTCACTCATAACATTTACAAAACTGAATCAATTATTTCTACGCATGTTATCATTGTCAACGACTTTGTACATAAGAACAAAGGCGTTGTGCTTGTCTTGAATCACTATGCTGTTTTTGGCTCTCTGTGAATGGAGCTGAGGGTGTTCCCCATGTCTGCTTTTTCTTTCATCACAACATGTTCACTCATTCTGGTGGAGCACAAGCACTTACAGGAAAACGTGCAAAACATCCCACCACGGCCAATGACACCTTCAATGAACATTTGTGAGTTTTCTGTCAGAGTCTGGAGCAGTGCATTTGTTGTTTCAAAATAATAGTCTTGTCTGTGTATTATTCAGTAAAAAGCTGAGATTGTAGCCAAGTTCTGAACAGTCTACGCCAGTATGTTCAGTGATTAGAGCACTCCCTCAGCAACCCAAAGTTCTACTGCTCGGACCAATTTCTGCTGATGTGTCTTTTGGCAAGACACGTCACCCACCTATCTGGTATGAATTGACAGATTGGCAAGCGTGTGTCCATCAGTCTACCCCAGAGCAGTTGTGGTTACAGAAGAATGAGTACAGTGTAAAGCACATTACAAGTGCAAGGCATCTATCATCATCATATAGGCTGTCTATTCTCTCTATTGACAGACTAACTGAAGTAGGTAGAGTGGCTTTTGAAATAATAATACTAATATAGAAGTAAAATTTGACCTGAGACTTCTCACACCAAGTACCACTTAAAGATTTGACTTTCTGGACCTCAAGCCAGGTCTATAATAGGACTATTCCTAAATAAAAAGTGAAAAACAGATAAAATTATAAAACAGGACGACTACACCATTGTAACAGTACCAACAGTAGCTCAGCTGGTAGAGTGCTTCTCCACTTATCCGAAGGTTAGTAGTTCAAATCTCACTCTCAACATAAATCATCATAGAGTGGTTAAATGCACTGGTTGGTGGTGCGATTCCAGCTGCCACAGCTGTTCGTTGTGTCCTTGGCAGAGACACTTAACCCACCTCACCCCTAGTGCTTGCGTACACTGGTGTATGAGTGTGTGTGTGTGAATGGGTGAGTGGTTCCTTGATGTAAAGCACTCTGAGCGCCTAAAAGGTGTAAAGGCGCTATATAAAAATGTGGCCGTTTACCATATTTTCCATGTATGTCTAACCTGGAACATTCCCAAACAAGGATGAAATGTGGATTAAATAGACTCTAAATTAAGAAAGCAGTAGAACTTTCATCATACTAATGGTCATACCATAATAAAAAATAAAAAATAAAACAAAACACTAGAGTACATCACAAGTTTCACTGACACTCACAGAGATCAATTTTAATGCAAATTCATTATAACTATGGGCAATCAACTATCAGCAGTTCACCAGCACATGCATGTGTAAGAACGGCAGGAGAAAGTCTGAATCCTAAACAAAGAGGTAGACATGTAACTTCTCACAAACTCAATCATAACTTTACTGCCCAAAAAACCGTTGGCATATATTTAGTTACACATTGGGCAAGAGTGGATCTACCGTTTCCTTAGCAACAAAGACTCTATTGGAAAGAAGTACAAGCCATCTGTCATGAAATGACAAGTGGAGTTGAGTCACGTCTGTCTAAATTTAGCCACTCTACATGGGGCTTTATAAAGCTCCAGCACCACTCGCCACCATTGTTTTTGGTGTGAGGACCACATCACTTTAGGAGGTTTGAGTGTATTGTCTGTATCTATGCTCAGAACATAACAGGGACACACAATCACAGTTCAAAAGAAAAGGAGAAACTACAAAACTGATTTAAACTTTTGCTGAACACTTTATTCTCCTTTGTCTGACTTATTCTGTTTCAACCAAATCCTGTTTGAATAAATTCCACTCCAGACAAACTTTGAAACATGAAATTAACAAACTGAACCAGAGCGTCCTAAGATAATAATCCTGTTGCTTTCTTTGATAGAGACAATTCATATTGAACATCAAGTATAATTTGCAACATGGTTTAATTTGAGGAAATGTGTCAACTAAATATTGTGGACGTCAAGGGTCATGTGCATAGTCTGAGAACCAGAGGGTGCTTGTGAAAGACACCCCACTGCCTGCTTACTCATTATAAGGGTCATAATGAGTAAGTACTTTATATCCTTAGTCCACATTGATGGACTGCAGTGACAGACCAGTGGCCTCTAGCGTTCTGTCCCAGATCAAGGTCACAACTTATCTGAAACAATGAACAATTTGCATATAGAAACAATCAAAGCAACATACTATCTGCAGTTGCCTGGATCTGTATAAAATGCAAAAAGATAAAAGTCTGGACTTCCAGGTACTATCTGCACACTCACGTCAACCAAAAAATACCAATGGTTTTGTTGGTCACCTAAAAATATTAAATGTCCCTGTATGATCAGAAAAAAATTGTTTTGCTGCATAAAAAAATAGTAGGTGACTGTTTGGGTACACTCTTAATATCACAGACTATTTTTACTTTAAGAGTAAAGCATTCAACATTAATTTGTTCAGCGTACAGTGTCAACAGCTTTCAATGAGAAGATGATTATTTGACTTAAGAATCAAACGTTTGAAATGTCTTATCCATATACCAAGAGAGAGCTTTTGCCGTAAAAATAGTTCGAAGAGAATCAAAGACAAGAAATCTGTAAAAAGGAAAAATCAAGCGAATAACTGTGAATAAGTGTGTAAATTAAAAGATGTAAAACATGGTTCTTGTTTAGTATGGATAATTTTAATGATGTGATAGTAATACAGATGCAATTGTGTATGTCGCCATCTAGTGTTAACAACAGTGAACTACAGCTACAAAGATGAAGATGTCAAAATGACACACAGTATGTGTGTTTAACACTCGGGGTCCCCTGCTGCATCAGTTTCCACATCACCTCTTTTCTCTGATGTTGACAACAAATATAAAGTCCTGCTGAAAACAGCAAAGCGTGGAATATTAGATCTACTGGCAGTAATACATAGTGTGTGTCCATGTTATTTAGTGAGAATGGTTTTGCTGTACCCCAGAGAAAGGAGCAGCAGCAGCAGTACAGCACTGACACAGGCTCCGAGCAGCACTGCAGAGGGACTGTGGCGGGACGGCTTTTCTGTGGGGAGTAACGACCCTCCCGGGAGCAGAGACAGGTCGAATATCTCCTGCAGCTCTGTGTGGCCGACCTCATCCTGGGGGGTCACTGGTGGAGAGACAAGGAGGCACAAAGGCAACATAAAGAGGCAGAACCACACTCAGTAAGCAAAGAAAAAAACTAATAAAAACTAGACCAATGGTTCGTAATATCTGGCATGAAAAAACTAAACGAAACACTTCAATTAAACAAAATTCAAATCTTGGCTAAAACAGGAACAAAATGGGACCAGAAAAAAATGCATGTAATCAGTTTAAAATGTCCAAACTTAAGCATCTAAACCAGAGCTGGACTATATAGTGGTAAAAATCCAATTGTGATTTCATTCCTATGACGATATGATATTTTGGTAAACTCAGCGTATCGTGATTCAGTAATTTTCTCTTGAATACAGATTTATGCTCAAACAAGGCTAAATCAAATTTCAATAAAAGCAAAACTAAACAAAAATAATTGTGGCTAAATTGACAGAAACAGAACTAAATTCAGAAGAGCTCCACAACTTGCAGACCATATCTAAAACCAGAACAACCACAACATGTCTAAATCAGGACTAAATTGGGTCTAAGACTGATAAACCAAGCAAACCCGACTAACAAGAATCATTTTGACCTGCGACTACCAACAGAAAAAGTCTGCATACCACCAGTTGAGAACCAATAAACTAGACACATATTGTATAATAAAAATTGAAACGGTGAGCCACCTGATAGGTGATAGTAGAGCCTGATGATGGAGCGCTGGTCGGAGTAGATCTCACACTGGTAGGTGCCCTGGTGCTGTGAGGTTGTGGAGGGGATGGAGAAGACCATGTCCACTCCAGCAGTCACCTCTTTGAACTCATCCACCTGCTGAGTCTTTAACTGGACAGACAAATCCAGTCAAGAGGAAAAGTATTTATAAAAGTATTTAAAAGTCTTTTTAGAACTAAATAAAGCAAACAGTTATGCATTGAGAAATGTTAGTAGGTGATTGTTGTTTTTTTATTACCCCTTGCCTGGCAAATCCAGAATGATCTCTGTATTTTTATACAGATTGATATCAGTCTGGTCCCCACGCCCTCCACTGTGCCTCAAGCCCGGTCAAACGTGATCGTGTAATCAGACTTGTCTTTTTTCAGTGACAGATGGTAACTGAAGGAGCTCATTGATCACATATCATTTTCAACTAAAATCAAATTTATCTTTCTGCAGAAATCAGTGTTGCCCTGTGATATTTTTCTCCTTTATTTTTCAAACATGCATGGGCAATGCATGTCCCTGATTGGCTAATCCATCTGTCAGTCAAGCCCATCTCAAAAATGTGAGTTTCAACGGTGACCAAACTCACATCTTCGTAAAGTAATGAAGAAGTGTGTATTCTGAATCCCAGGCAAGAGTGCCACCTCCTTTCCAGATATTTTTAAATAATTTTGATAGTTACATACGGTAGTTATATTGGTACAAAATAAAAATAAAATAATGCTCCCATCATCACCAGTTTCTGGACAGGATACCCCTGGACTACAGTACATGTATATATGATAATAATTGAATTAGAGAACTTGCCAGCTATAGCTTTTTGTTCCCACCTGTGTGGCATGAATATAATTTTAATAGGACTATTGAGTAAAAATATGATTATAGCTGAATTGGGCTACTACTAAAACGGTGAATAATTCCACTTCATTTTGATACATTTAACACAGGCCTACATTTCATTTTCTGAGCTGAAGCAACAAAAGAAACTGAATTATTTAGTATTGTCCTTAACAGTTGCTTGGCAGAGAGAACGACAATCATTCCTTTTTATGACATTCTTGTACATTAGATTTGTTTGTTTGATAAAGACATATACCTCTTCTGCAAACCTCCACACAGCCTGGAAGTCACTGGGCAAGTCGAACGGTACTTTGCACCACATGCGGATCCTGGTGTTCTCCGTTACCTTAATTTCTTCGACTGCAATAAACATAGGCACGCACATTTTCACACACACGTGCACACACACACCCACACACCCACACACACGCACACACATTCATTTGTAGAGATAGGATTCACAGGGGGCAGCTCGTGCAGACTGAGCCCTTCTTAATGATAATGCTTAAGCTCCGAGTCTCTGAGGAGTAGAGTAAAAGTGATGATATGCTAACACAGAGCTGCACCAGTGTGATACAAATACCATCGTGTGTGGGAGTCAACTGTCACCTTGCATAAAGAAACCAAGGACTTAAAGAGTACCTTGGGGGGCCTCTGTGCAAAAGATATAAAGCCAGGAAATAAAACCTTGCCTGTTTTTCCCCCCAGATCTCGTCGTTTAGCTAAGAGCATTTCAAGGATCAAACGCATTTGAAATGTGGATGCTTATGAAGGGAAAATATAGTTATGTAAGATGTGTCAAGTCTGGATTAACATGTCATCTTTTCATTTGAAGATTGTGATGTAACAGCAGTGAGGGAGACAGGTGCAGTTTACCTGGGCAGTCGAGGGGAAATTCACAGGAGTCATATGTGCATGTCTTGCAATTGTACACAGCTCCGGCACTCTGGAAACCTGATACATTTGAGACAAGAGATGTATTCCTCAAGGCAACAATTCCTAATATTACCTTTATAGCTTATGTGTCAAGGTATTTTTCAAATAAATACACTTTTTGTATTTTATCATTTTATGTTTGTGGTTTTCCACCCATGGCAAATAAGATATTCAAATCAAAATCCAAATCAGAAGAATCATTTGCCTGACAACCAATAATAGTATCATCTCCCTAATATTACCTCTTATGCAACTAACTTTCTATCTGCAAGTCTGGCTTTAGAATCAATTTGACCTTTTTGCTTGCTTTGTGTTGTGCCCTCATTTTAAAAAAAAAGTATTAATAAATAAAAAATGAAAAGAAATAGAAAAGAACCATTTCAGTCTTGTTTTTTTTTTAGACCTGATTCAGCCCTGTTTGGTTGTGTTATAAAACTGATGGTACTTGGAAAGCAAAATATTTTCTTAGATAAGTTTGGGATCACTGAGTTGTGTGTTAGTTAGGCTACAGTTTGTAGTTCCTTGGACCAGACCACATGGGTGATGTAAGTTCATAATGGTTGCTTGGGCTCCTTTAGACCCTTCTAGACTGACAACTACAGAACAGGACCACGCCCCAACAGGTGAGACCAGGCCCGGATCTAGCCCACGGAATATGGATTGATAATCTGAAACTATGTAAATTTGGGCAAATATACTGTAAAGGTGGCAGTGGATTTATTATGTACAGCCTGGGGGGGTTCTATATTGGGTTGGTAATAATGGAATAAAATAGGTTGGCCTTCTCGTTTTCTCCCTCAAACACTTAACCACTTTGCCTTCTGTCTGTTATCCAGTCCCCTGTCACATTATTAAGCCTGATGTGGTCAGATTTATGGAGGCTCACAATAAGAATGCAAGATATTCTGACCATTAAAATGCAAGATAGGTGTGTGTGATGCTATAGCGTTTAACACTCCAGGCAAAGCAATAATAGCAACCCACCCACTCTGAAAAGTTACATATTGCTCCCTTAATTCCAAATTACAAAAATAAGAAAAATGTCACTAACCACAAGGAGGGTAGCATCCAGACACTGTGGAGAGAAACAAAGAAAAAATCACAGTGGAAAAAAGCCTGTTCAAAAGTGTAAACACTCAAATGCATGAACAAGTTCAGCCCACCTCCACTTTTCTCTAAACCAGGCTATTGTAGAGGACATAATATCATAACCAGCTTATTACAAAGTGCTAAGAGATCAGAGGAGCTATAATGACCTCATATAGGCCGTTCTATAGATGAAAAGACGAAGGCGAGAGAACCATGTCTCACCTCTAGGCAGTTGTGAAGCTGCTGCAACGAATTTGTCTGCCGCTGTCTGCAACCTCTGCTCGTACACGTAGTCTGAGGGATGGAGAGGAGCAGTGGGAGGATGGAGGCAACATATCAGGCTGAATTATGTGCTTAAGGGCATAATTTTCAACTCTCCAGTCCCTTACACGGCCTCATCAGAGACTTTACTGAACATTTGAGCAACTATAAAGGTTTGTTGACGCCGCAATGTGTTTTGTGAGAGCAGATGTTTACCGTAATTAGGTGTCTGATAGAAATCCTGAAGTATAGGCTGAATCTCTGCATCCATTATGTCATTCAGCTGCTGATCATAGCTTGCTCCTATAGAGAGGAACAATGAATTAAGAATAATTCACACCACTATTTACTATAAAATATAAAGCGTGGTTAAGAAATGAGAAAAAATGGCATCTGTCAGCACCTTTCCAACATCATAGAAATTTTAGACTAATGTTTTTATGTACCACTGGTGGTATGCAAGGTCTTCTACAGTTCTAATATGATTTTTATTTAATGTGGACTCAGTTGTATCCACTTGGTCTTCCACAATGATGTAGTCCAATTTCAGGAGTGGTTTAGACCTTGAATTGTCCTGTTACAGACCTGCACTGCAAATTTCTCTGATCTGGCCAAGATTTTAAAACTTATATCAGGTTATTCATCTTCTTTTCAGATTTATTATCTAGTTAATAATTCTGAGACTGCTTAAATCTAGTCTTGAGGTAGTTTAACTTGTCAAGTAAAATTATCTTCCTGCATGGACAGATAATTTCACTACTTTTAAGTCATTTTTTTAATAGATTTATATCTTAAATTTTGACCAATTTTTATTTTTTTTGCAGTGTGGTTGTGGTACTTTGAAAGCCTCATTTTTTCTTAGGTGACACTTGGAGTGAAAAGTTTGAGAACCTCTATTTTAATCAGAATGAAAAAATAAATATCTTTTAATATCTTCAGTCTACACCACAAAGTTTCTTACATTACCATAATTACATCTATGTCAGGGAAGTAACATTAACAGAGGTGAACCGCCAACAGGTCGTGCATGTGGACAGCAAGGCCTGTAGTACAATCTAAATGAGCAGTCCAAATAAAGAACAACAACTCTTAAAATGTGTCCATCAGTATTTGTGGGTATAGGACATAATATTTAATCCTAATATAATGCATGTAGATTTGATAGCCTCTCATTCAACACACAGACACACACACACCTGTTCAAGCTCTTGGGTCTAATTTGTTAGAAAACTGGTTCCTACCAACTCTGGCTGACTCGATCACGCGACTGTTGTTGTTGAAAATGGCGTCGAGTCTCACGAAGCAGGCGTCCACATTTCTGATCTCATACTCCTCAATGACATAGCCCCAGCAGAGGTCCAGGCTGTCTTGGACCCCAACAAAGCACTGAAAGCAGCATCGAGTGTAGCCGAACAAGGTAATACACACCAACAACCCTAAAACAGACAAAGACATATTTAGCCTTTTCACTTCACTAAAATGTTGTTTGTATTTGAATCTGTTGCATCATTTGATTAGAGAATCCTTACATTTATATCTACCAGTTAGAGGTGAACTGTGTAAGTTTCTCGTTTGCCTCGTTTGCTCATGAACATGTTACAGCTTTGGAATGTTCCACGGGATGGTCTAACCTATCTATCTTACATTTATTCAATTACAGGCATTTTAATTACCAGAAAGCTTGGATTGGTTGTGTCGCCTGCTTGTCTCGAAGAAAACTGCTGTGCTTTATACAGTTCGGTGCAACATTCCAGTCAAAACAATAACACTGCACAGAGTAAAGTAGGTTTCAGACCCTCAACCTAAAAATGTTCATATTGCTCCTTTAAGTTGACACCTAAACATAGGGATTTATCATTTGGGTTTTTCTCAAGTTAAAAGCAAAAGACTCGTACTTTCTTGTATAGACTTCCCATGGTTCTATTGTCTTTAGTCCCCATTTCCTGCTGCCTCATTGCACCACTTTTACTGCAGAGCACAGAGATGGAGCGAGCCAAGGAGGGAGGCGGCGCAGGGGAGAGGGGCTCATGAACAAGGAGTTAAACACTGATGTACGTATAAACAGAGATGATAGTGGAATATAAGACACAAACTTGCGTAAAAGAGAAAGGGATGTGGAAACCAAAAGCAGAGAGCAAGAGCAGCCTGTGGAGTAAGTACGAGTAGTTATGAATGAAACAAAGAAGATGAGAGTCCACAGTGTGGCGAGGGGACACATGTGACAGACGGAGGCAGGCGTAGGGGAAGAGGAGAGAGACTACAAATCAAGTCGACTGCCTCATCACATCCTGTATCCCCCACTCTGCCTCAGCCCCAGTCACTCGGCTCTGGTCCCTCACTCCCGGTGCATCTCCATGGCAACCAGACAGGGTGCCTAATACATGAACTTAATATATTTCCAGTGGCAGGGTGAGCTGGGTACTAATGCATTCATCTGTCTCCACACAGACAAGCCAATCAATATTAGGCCAGAGTCAAAGTCAGATCGCTAGTCAGACGTGGAAAATCCCAAATGTGTGCTTGTTTAATTGTGCATGTGTGGGTTTGTGTGGCCGCCATGTTTGTGGCAACAAGGGCACTTTGATGAAAGCTCCTCAAGCATTTCAGGTTCAAATATGCCCATTCACCACTACATTTTGAGCCATAAAGATAGAAGTGTGTACGGAAACAATTATGCTTTGAGCTTTAAACACAATCAGAATTCACAACAATAAGAATTCACAAACCCAACTTTTTAAAACAATTTTATTAACAACATAAGACAGATTTACTGCTGTTTAATTTTTATATAGGTGCAGCTCACATCTGAAGGTGATGCGTTTGGCGGGGTCACAACCCTTGGCTGTCTTCCTTCTGACCCACAAAGGGTTAAACACAAAGGCAGCCAATAAGGGTTAGCCCCCTGAGAGTCTGAGCTGCAGGAACAGTCGGGCTTTAAAACGATTATACTTGTATTGTTTGTAAAGATACCGCAAACAATAAAAACTCCCATGTTTTGTTTAAGGTGTTGAAACTGAATGCAGCCCTGTTCCCGAGGACCTCACCTGTGACCTGCTTTGACCTCACAGGTTAAGGGTCTCAGGGACAGAGGGGCATACTGAGAAATAAAATATAAACTTTAATATAAATCAAACTACAACTAAATGTAGCGTAGAGCAGCCACGTGGCTGGCAGGCTGAGCTAGACATAACCTCATTTGACATTTTGGATTCTGCAGTGCCCAGTCGCCCTCAATGCAGATGTACACTTTTACGGCTTTGACTTCTATATTTTTAATATTTGAATATTTAAACTTAAAGAAAACTGTTCATCAGTTAGTCAAGAAATTTCAACAATGCGGCACTTTATGTTGGACAAGCAATTCATGGTGTTGATAAACATCAGGGGATTTTTAGACAATATTGCAGATTTCATACTAAAATATCTGCTGTTCACAATAAAAAGCTTTTGCATAATTCGTGTACACCATATAAACCAGAGTTAAAGGAGGAGCAGTTCAAATCGAATAATCGAAACGTAATACACTATATTAAAAAATATATCACTCGATAAACAAAAATATAAATATTTTGTATGTCATGTATTTACTCACCAAATAAGATGCATTACAGGTCAATGACGACATCGATTGTCTGTGAATGAAATCATAAATCTTAACTCTCATTTGAAACATACGACTATTAATAACGCAATCCACTGACACAAGTTATGAAAATGGTAGGAAATAAAGGTTTGTGGAAGGCTGCCTTGTTCTCTGTATTGTGTAAATGTCATATGCGTTCGTTTTTCAGGAGAGTTTTTAACACACACCCAACACCTCAACAGTGTTGGAGATACAGGCGTCAGCTACCTGCACCACACTGTGCACCTCTGCAGATGTGTGAACTCCATGTTAGCTTCATCATGTGCGGGCCTACCCAGACACCTCATGTGACAGACGAGGTATAACCCAAGTTCAAATTAACACCTGAAATTCAATTATGCATTATCTGCATCAGAGCTGACAGACATATTTCACAGCTGTATGTGCAAAACAACTACAGATAATGTATGCAAAATCATTTAACATACTGAGCTAATGTCATAATATTAACAGCAGTTGTACTCACTTCAATAAAATAGCAGTCAAAAAATAGCTAAAAATACAGCAGTTACATAAAACAGTAACCAGTGTTTGTGGCTACAGATCTGAAATGGAAATATCCGTTTCATTTGAGTGATTTCCAAAACTGAAGATAAAATCATAAACTAAAGCTGTGCGCACACCAAAGTGAATGCGCCAAAATCATAAAGTTGCGTATCAATACACAAACGCCTCAAGAACAGGTAACCATTTTGCATTGTATTGCCATATATTGGCATGTTAACAACATTAAGTGAAAATATTAAAAGACATTCACCTGGTAGGAAGCGCCTTGTTCCTCTGCTCTTCTCATTCAGTGGGAGTGCAGTTGTGCAGCTCGTCTCTCAGCCTCTGCGCGTCTCTGATGGGGCCAGACAGAGAGCCCAGTGGCAGGTAGGTTACAGACAATAGTATTGATTGTATTACTCCACTCTTACCTGACTAACAGCAAGCGGCATCCACACAGCCTCCTCTGCTTCTTGCATCCCTGGAGTAACAAACACAAATGAATCAAAGGCGTGCGTATTAAAACATGCTTACACAACACCAGCCTCTGATCTGTCTCTGCATCCGTCTGAATACATCTCTCTCCGCGTTCACACTCCACTCTCTCTTTTTGTTTTTTCTAGGCTCACGTCTCTGCTAGCCCACTAACCCAGCCTATACCCGTCCGCACCAGTCACTGTGTGTGTGTGAACGTGTGAGAAATAGGAAGCAGAGTGCAGCGAGTGCATGCACGTGTATGAGCCCGGGTTTGTGTGTCCGCCAGCGTGCGCGTGTAAGACAGAGGGGGGAGGGGGAGGAGGGGAGAGAGTGGGGATGCAGGGGGAGGGTCAGAATCTCTAATAGGATGAGAATGGAAAGAAAATATGAAGCCCGGGAGTCTCGTGAACCTGACAGACATTACTGCGGGCTCCTGTGTGCGCGCAGCAATCATAACATTGTCAAATTGATTGGAGGATTTATAGTGTCTATCAAACTATAAATTACACTAGGAGTCATCAAAATGTAATAAATAAACTCATTATGGAAATATTACAACACTGTGTTGGGGAAGTATTTAACATGAGCACTTAGGTCGCCAACTATGTAAATGTGACAAAGAAACAAAACTAACCGATTAGACAGTGAGGTTGTGCCTCTTTTGCATATTGAGTTATGTTTGGATGTTTCCATCAGATCAGATTTTGCACATTAATAATGGTTTGCTCAGCAGGTTTGATGTCTAAAGGCTATGTGATTTTGGCTTTAATATCTGCGGCTCTGTGAGGCGACTGTTAGATAACAGAATCACAAGGCCCTGAGGGAAATTCACATCAAAAAGTAAATCTAATTTGGGCCTACTGATCGGCTGTCTGTCCTCAATATAAAGCATAAACATTACACTTGGCCTGTAAATATAATTAATGGCCCTAAAGTGTTGGGTCCATCATGTACAACACAATATCAGCCACGTGTCACAGATATGCAGCCAATGATGATAAAGAAGTACTTAGTCATAGCCCTCAAGCTTCAACAGCACTCGGTACTTCACCCAATGCAGAGGAAAGTTGTTCTCTAACTTATCCTGCCTTACATAAATTTGGTACTGAAGTAATGGATGAAAAGAAAACTATACATACATAAAAACATATATTCATACAAACAGATGCATTCATAATGTAAACTTCAGTGCCACAACAAGGAATACAACTTCCAAGTACAATTCTTAAATCTGACGGAATGATGTTTGAATGGATCTTGGAGAGTACTACAGCAATTTACTGTGTGACCACAAATGAAAGTTTGTCTACCAAAAAAGTATTCAGTAGGAAAAAAAAAGGTTTTCTGTTCTAGACATTGATTGAAACAGAAACAGGTACCAAAAAAAGTACTGTTCAGGTACCTGTACAGAAGATCAAGGGGGAAAAAAAAGGAACCTAGCCATAGTATTGTGTCACCTGCATTTACATAAAACATATGCTTGACCACCATTTCGCATTACATCTGGGAGACGAGTTTGTTTCACTTCCTCTCTGTTGTTTAGTGTAAAGTATGAATTTTGGGGAAAAATAGTGGAAAGAGCGGTTTGTGTGACAGGTTGAAGGGACAGAGCATCTCAGACAGGTGTGTGTCTGAGTGTGTGCGTGTGCGTGCGTGAGTGTGTGTGTGTGTGAGAGAGAGTGTGCGTGTGTGTGTGTGAGAGAGAGAGAGAGAGAGCCTGCGGCGCTCTGCAGTGCCACTGAGAGACAAAGCACTGGGAGTGAACCACAGCCATGACATCATCAGTCTGGGCTGTGTCTGCCCTAGTCTCAGGATAAGGAGGCTCCTCTATCCCCACGTCTTACTTTGGATAGTTTTATACTTTCAGAAATTATTAATCTTTTAAATTTAAATTCTTTGATTTTTTAATGTTCACATGCAGAGACCAGGGAAAAGCTGCTACATTTTAATACTTGACTATCTGACTGTTGGGCGGTGCATTTTGGGGACATGTTGAATTTGCATGATATAAAATTTTGTTTTTGATTAGATTTTTTGAGTGGACGTTTAAAATATTGTCCTGAGTGGACAAGACGATGTTACATAGTTGTGTACTCACTGCTACTTAATCCTGTGTCATATGTTCTGGAGAAGAGCGCCTTGGCCCAACAGTGATATAGAACGCCACAAGTGACGATGCTGAATCAGCACAAATACAAAATATGCCCATGCCCCTCTCCCCCTCCCTCTTTCTGAGGAGGAGAGGCGCCATAACGCACTGCAGATGGCTGCTGTCCCTGCCACCAAGCTGACAAACGCAGGGAGTACCAGCGTCTGTGGGACAATAAAACATGGGAATGGACTGTGTTGTCACGCATGTGCATAATGCATGCAAAGGAAACACAGCCGTTAAGGCTCTGAACACACAGTGAGGTCGCACAGGGCACAATGCTAAACAATGTGTAAAATGTAACAGGAAACATCTATAAGTTAAACAATGTCGCACTCCTGACTGTCCGCTACACTATAGCTATGTCATGGAGTAGTGATCATTTTACAAGGCTGAGGTTATGGATGAGACTCCAGTAATGGATCCAGATGACAGTCCTTGTGTCCTGTGTCAGATATAACCGGGTTAATGGGTAAAACTGAGGAGACAGGTGAATGGCACTTGGCCTCTGATTGTCACTTTAAGAACAAGCACAGGTGCTCACCTACTCTTCTCTAACTGACACAAACATTTACAAGAACATTCCAGGGAAGTCACAAACATTCCTGAAGGAGAGGACTTCACCCAGGGAAGACCTTGGCAGGATAAAAGCAGACTGAGTTTTGAAGGACGAGTCATGTCATTAAGCCTTAGGAGTGCCTGCGACGGACCAATGGCGTACTTACCTCTCTGCTGGGGGTGCTTCACATGTGGTGACGAGTGACTCCGCAGGGAAAGCTAGAAGGTTGTACAGTTATCTCCGTGCTGTTTATTATGCGAAACCATACAACCAACTACCTCACACTGCAGAGCACAGACGGTCGAGATGCGCCCCAGACAAGATCCTCCTCAGCACTTTGTCATTTTGAGTAAACAGGTCCACTGATCTGAAAATCTCCTTTGTCTTTTCTGAATACAAAACATTTGAATAGTGATAATGAAATCAGTTATAGAGATAATAGAGATTATGAGATGTGTGTGTTTAAGATAATGTGAAGAGTTTTAAAAACTACTGAAAGATCTATGTGAAAGAGTCATTATATTTAAAGGAGCACCCTGTAACTTTTCTGGTTCAGAGTCCGCCCACAGCTAGACTCCAGAGAGAGGCCATTGCTTTGCCCAGAATATTCCACAGTTTGGCAATAAACTTATCTTATCTCCATGGAGACAAGCAGGTGATGCCACCGGGCAACTGAGAATGCAAGTCTTTTTTTCCTTAACATTAAAAACACATGCAGGTGAATAAATGCAACATAAATTATGTTAAATTGAATGAACAGCAATAATCTCTGCATGGAGACAAGTGGGTGATCGACTCCCCATTGTAAAGATAAATAAAGCACCTTTAAATATGGCATATAAAATCCCAGACCCACGGTGATTTAAATCCACAGTTAAAATCTCAAAATCCTGCTTCGAGCCTACCATGGTTTTTAAATGCATGAATGAAGAATCACATAAGCTGTACAAGTCACACCAACTGTGAGCCACTCAAAATGAGCCCAAATTAAACACATATTCAAGGTCTCTGCTGCGATGAGGGCACTACAGGAGCTCCATGTTCATTCATAGGATTTCCCCCAATATCTTTGGAATTGTCACCCCCTACTGGACACTTTGCAAACTACTACTCCATGCAGCGTATTTCCAGTTCTTTGCCCTGCCAATGTCACCAGACTCTGTAGTCAAGCTGAAAAAACGACAGCAAGGTGAGCTTCCCACTATAATATAAAAAAGTTCAACCAACAGTACCAACCAAGTCACACCATATACCTCTTTACACCTGGACAAATAAGGGATTATGCCGATGCCACCTTACAGTTTTTTTAAACGAGATTACAAAGAATTAAACTATATACTATCTGCAAGACAATTTTATATATTGTTAAGGAGAAGACAACAAAAATTCATTCATGCTACATACATAAAAGTCATTCACATAACTAAAACACTGACCTGTAAAAACAAATTAAATGGATTTCAATATTATTTTGCAGTACATCAATATTTCATAATTTTAATCTACTCACTAAAGTCTGAACTCTGCTCCACACCATATGCTTTTACTGACAGAGGATTGGCTGTGGACCTCTCCTTTAAGAAGACACAAGCATATGATTGATGATTAGAAATGAGTGAAACTTGATTAAAATTTCAGTATTTTTAACATGGCGTAAAAAGTCTAAATAAACTAAAATGGTATTGATAATGCATAACTACAATTTAAACAGTTTTTCTTCAGCAGCAAGAGTTTTTGTGGGCCAGAATACAAGCTCACATTGACTATTTGAAAATTATGTTGAACATTTGACTCATTATCGCAGCCGTTTCTCTAATAAAAGCTATGTAACAAATAATGCAAGTATAACAAACAGCTGATTCCTACATTCTAATATTATGTGAGCCTTAACCATTATTTTATTGGCTTTCATATGGTTACAACTAGGGCGAAGGTTTTTGTCAAAAGAAAGCGGTATGTGGGAGCCCTGCACTTGCCACAACAATACACTGCTTGGTATGTGGGATATAAGGAATTCGTCTCATAACAAAGACGTACTACAATGGAGAAACTCGGAGTAAAGATGCTCTGCTCCACCTACTCTTTCCACAGACCTCCGGATGAACTATGCAACTCTTATGCCTGGATTTCCGCGCCTATCAATGAGCTTGGAAACCACCGTCTAAAACACTTTGGCCAATCAGAAACCATTGCCCGAGCCACAGATAGGCTGGTGGAACTGGGAAATGTTGCCAGGTAAATTTTCTTCCTCTATGTCTCCTTCGTCCTTCTCTGCTTTCCTTAATCCCTCTTGTGAACAACTCTAGTCTGCTCCGTTTTCCCGGCCTTAAGTGTACTCTGTCTCTCATTTTTTGTCTAAAATGGGGAAAAAACTCAACAGCAATTCCCGGAGTTTTAACCACTATCTGCAATAATTATAAAGTCCGATCATGCACAAATGCAGAGCAATTGTGCCAATGTCAGCTGTCCTTCTCTTGTCCTCTCTTTCAATCACCCTTCAGTATCTGTCCTCAAGTGTCCTATTTTAAAAGAGTACTTCCAATATTTCATTCACCAAAAAATAAAAAAAATATCTTAACATGAACAATTATCTTTTTTATTTGTCATGCATTTGCAGGAATTGTGCATTAAGGCAGTAATTATATGTAGCAACACAAGGACAAAGTCTAAAATATATTAAAATGTTGCTCTTCCCTGTTACTATGCACACTGCTACTACTACGCATGGCCAAATAGTGAATGAACCACGTGCTACGGTGGTGTGGCTTACATTACTACGAGTACAGTAGGAAGGTAGTAACAGTGAACTGCGCATGTGCATGGTTTTTTTTTCAAGCAGGTGAAAGCCCATGTCTCTATCCTCCACTAATCTGCTTTGGTTGACGCCGGCCGCCTATACCGACGATGGCAAAATGAATGTTGCCATGGGAACATTTCTGCCTGGCAACTCAAACAGCCTGGAAACTCGCCAAACTGTTGCCATGGCGCGGCTGTCAATCTGCGCCCATGCTAGTGTGTGTCTGGCCTTTGGTGGTCCACTCCCTTTTAAACTTTCCAATCAAACGCTCGATAGGATGGAGCTACCTGCAGCGGGGACGCCAATGGTTGGAAGTTGGGAGTGGTTGGAGAGACTAAGACTGATTGGCTCCTAAGATTGCCAGAAAAAGCCATAGAAACAAGAGTTGTGGTGGGGTGAAAAGGTCAAATTATAGGCCTGCAGCTTCATAGCCTGAATGTTTGAGAAATCTTTACGCAACAAGTGTCCATGAATTTTCCAGTCAAATTGAAAGTACAATTTTCTTTTACATGACCCCCAAGGATTTGCTCATTTTTCAATTATCCTACTTTATATTCTAAAAATATTTTAAAATTCCTCTTTTAGACCATGTTCTAAAAAGCAAGGGCACTAAATTTAAGAAATAAATTAGCTTTTTAACAGTTGACAGATAGCTGTGAAAAATGTTGTATATGAGAGTATATAGCTCACATGAATTCCTTCCTATTTTAATAAAAGGAGAAAATACAAAAACGTCTCTAAAAAGACTGACAAAACCAGCATGCCAAACCAATGTCAAAGTACAGCCATTGAAAAAATTCAGCAATTCTTCAATTTAAAAAGTATGGGTCTGAAAGTTGTGGTTTGTGGAATTTCTTTGCTCATACGCTATTTTTTTCTTTCAGTTATAATCCGCGGCAAACACTGAAATAAATTACTTAAAACTATATACAAGCTGCCGTGTAGAAATGAGCGAGGCCATTTTGCTACCAAATAAAATGGTCGTGATAAACAAATGTGTATATAACCTGGACTTCTTGTTTCATTGTTTTAACAATATTATTAATAAAACATGCAGTATAATGAAGAGGTGCAGATGTTATAATGAATTAACAATGCCATTACCTTTAGTTGTTTTCTCTGCGAGCATGTCCCAGGTGTTGCCTCAGAGGAGATGAGGTGCGCTGGAACACACAGAGAGAGACTTGTGAATAAAGCCTGTTTAACCATGAGGTCATAGGTTCAACCACAGCCACAGCTAAAGTGCCACAGAGCAAGTCCCTCAACCATTACTGACCAAGAGGAGCTGGAGAACGCTGCAGCCACCACTCTGATGGGTCTCACGTCACTCAGGGCAATCACTGAGCAGGAGGAGATGAGTGATATTTACAGTCACAATATATGAGCTACAGTCCAAACAATGCAATTAAACAATCACATACATGTAATTCTGAAATACTAACAGTGTGACTAATGGAGCACAACACTGTTCACTCCACAGAGAAAATGACATTATAATTAGCCTCTTTTAAAAAGCTACGCTCAACACTTAATGCTTTGCTTTGTCTCCTGAGAGCTGTCATTAATAAATGTTTGAGTATTTATAAAATGGTCCCAAAATCACAGTCAGCGAGCCAAGCACACGTGTTGTTCACTGGGAATAATTACGGCAATGACAGTGTGATGAAGCAGTAGTAACACCAGCACTGCTCCAGGACACTGGAAGGACACCTTGAAAAATACAATCAGTTTCTTTCTTAATTTTCCCAGTTTTGGATTGTGTGGATAAACATGTTTAATTATTGATATGTGAAGCATGAATGCAGCGGCGCCCAGGGTCTCTGCAGTGTGGACAGAGCGATGCACCAGCGGAGTGCTAAGCCTCCTGCTCTGGTTTGATAAATATAACTTCAAAAGAAGCAGCCAAACAGCTTTAGCTGGCCGACTGCACAATGAGCATAATAACTCTCCACCCCCTGGGAGCTCCAACCTAGTTCATTTACCCTGCAGAGCTGCCATGTCTATACGCGCACATGTGTCTTTGTTTCAGCGCAGGCTCAAAAAGGCTCCCCACCTTTGGCGCTGTACAAAACGGATGTATAGAGCAACCTCGTGGACCTCATTTTTACAGAGGAAATGCACCCCCTCTCCTCTCCCTCTATTTGCCCCTTACATGTAATGCCTGATTGACCACAGCACCCCTTAAAGAGGTCAAAGGGCAGACAAAACAGTCTGGTGTCATGGCAACCTGTGTGCCACCAACTCAAATGTTGAAGGGGGGTTCAAATGAGCTGTCAGTAAAGCTTTAAGAAAGCTGCCTTGTGTTTAGGCCCAAGTGTGTACAACATACAGGCACAAACACACACGTGCACCTGCACTATGAAAGGGTCCACATTAATTTGCACTTCTGCATAATCTAGTCAAATCCCAATGTGCATTGCATTAAAGAGCGGGACCAATCTGAGCCCGAGCAGCGGCGCCTTTGCTGTTCCCATGTAGTGTATTTGTGTGTATTATTGGTGCATGGGAGACACTCCAGTGTAAAAGCTTCTTTGTGACCGCTCGATGCAGTGGCAGAGAGTACAGGGTGGGGGAGGACGAGGGGGGAGGATAAATGGGAAGCAAATGCATTCAGATCAATACTAAGCTGAGAGAGGGTAGGCCGGGTTGAGCAGAGAGAGTGGAAGGTGCTAGTGGAGGGACTGATTAATCATTCCTGTATTGTTATTGACTTTCTGTTAAAGGCACTGAATTATGGGGCTGCATGCTCTTATATATGTGTGTGCGGTACTGTACTCATGGAGAGCACAAAGTCATCAGTTATAAGCTTTCCCCACAGATTCTAACAGCAGTAGGGGTTAGCTACACTTCCCTCATTGTCAGTTAGCTATTAAGTCAGTATGGGAGCACGTTGGGGTGGGACGTTTGCATAGTTTAACTGTAGTGGTTTTAAATATTCAGACTGTGTAAAGAGGGCTCAAAAGCAGCAAGGTTTTTAAATGGGGGAAGCCGAGGAGGTGAACAGGAAATCCCCTGTGAGGAGTTAATGAGGAGCTGACGAATGAGCAGACACAACAGAGGGGGGAGGAGGGGCACCACTGGCCTGACATATGACCCACTGGCTTTGACCTTGTTCATTGTCTGAGGGCAAAGACTCGGCACACCTGAACATGCTTCTGTCACTGTTAGGAATGAGAGATGGGACACAGTAAATGTAATAATTATAACTCACGTTATAAAAACATTGAAACTAAATATTAGGAATGGTCCGATACGTAGAGTTGGACAAAATGTCAATATCCAATTTAGTCTAGCTCCTGTGGCTGATAACCGATAAAACATTTAACATTTTAAAATCCATAGGAAGGCCCACAAATGTATGTTAAGTTGTAATAAAGTTTCCAGATTTACTTCAATTTCACTTCAATTTGTGAAATTATTAACAAAATGTATTTATCTAGGATATAATATAATTTGTTGCATGATTGTGTAAACATGCAGCAATATTTTTGGCCTAATTACTCTTCTATTGCCATTTGTACTCATTAGTGTGTTCAAACGGAGAAGTCTGATGATACACAAAAACTCATGGTCGATGCTGATATTTGGCAAACCCTCTGATATTATACTCATATTGGAATCAATATATGGCCCATCCTTGTTAGATATTTTTAAAATTGAAAGAAATAATCCACTTTTCCAATCCAATCAACACCAGAACGCCTAGAATTAAATAAATAAATCTGGCATAATTAGTTTACAATTATAACAGCCTGACACAGACTTGAGACTTTCCCGAAGGCACTGTGTTTTTGATCTAATTAGGAGCTTTTTTTAAAAACAGAAACTTCTCAGGAGGACGGGGATGGCAGCTCGCTGAATGAAAACCCCATTCAGCGTTACCTTGAACTTGAACAATGAGTCTGGTGTTTGTGCTGGGGGCCACTTCCTGACCTCTCCGTTGCTCTGTGGAAGTAGCCCACCACAGCCGGCGCTTTCATCTTACACATGTGACCCCTGCGACCCTGCGCTGACCAAAGAACAGTTGGCTATGGCAGATTTCACTTCTCAAAAGTCAAGATGGGTGTAATGTAAAAAAAAAAAAAGACTTAACATGCTTCATACACATACGATTTGTAGGATTAATGACAATCTATCCAGAATTTAAATAATTGCAAAATCACAAATTAGCCATAACAATAAAATGACAGTTGAATTTTAAAATAACTACACTTTTAGTATTAAAGCATTGAAGCAGCAGTAAATAAAGTAGTAATGAAGCAAAAAAAATCATTAATGATCAAATAGTTTGACGGTCCTGATAATTCAGGATTAGTAACTTCTCACTCAATTAATAATATCCTAACTTCTAACCCTAACTCCTTAATTAAGTAGTTACTAAGCTTGAATCACTCTTAATAAACTATTTGTTCATTATGAAGTAGGACTTTCTTTATGTAGTGTTCAGGCTAATTGAGATGTAGTTATTGTAAAGTGCTGCCAAAGTGCTTTCTTTTAACAACAAAAATCCTGTCTGATGTGTATAAACCATTTTAATCCTGTAGTTAAGACCTCAAGAAACTGGTTCTGATTTGCATGGGGTTGTTGTGTTAGTTTAGCAGTTCAAATTTCAATCATCAAAGTCTTATGATACGGAACACACACTCAGAACCAAATCCCACCGAACTTAAAATAAATCTGACAATAGAATAAAAATCTCAAAAGAGGAACACAGAGGCACTTTGACACATACATATCAATACTGGTGTCCTAATAATTGCCAAATAAAGGACTTTTGTTTATTTTAGTGCCTTAGATCTCCTCGTCTTTTTAGTATTCTATTTAGTATCTCTAGGATCCTTGACACAAACTATCGATGCTTTATTTGAATGGCTGAATTAGCAAATCGCAAAGATCAAAATTATGTTAACTGTCAAAAAAAATTCTATGACAAAATATGCTTCTACCATACCTAAAATTTTCTGAAATGTAATGCTTAATGTCAGTGCTTCTGAATATGTTTGAAAATGTGGACTAATTTTAAAACATAGCACTCAAATAGGGCTATGCAATTAATCACAGTTTAGAGATTGAGTCATTTCTAATTGTCAATGATCAGCTTGGGCTATTTTATTATTTTTGAGCGAGAGTTAGAGAGAATCCTTTATCAGTAAAAGCATTTTGGTTTGGAGCATAGTTCAGACATTGGGGGAAGTAATTTCTCTATTTTTGCATTAAACAGCAATGTTTAAAAGTCAATTTATTTAGGAAACTCATTTCAGAAAGGTTTTTTTTTGTTTTAATGAGACAAAATCAAATCAAATTGAAAATCATTATCACTCAATATGAACAAAAAACATGTTATTTTTTGTCATAACAACCAATTCACTCTCTAATAAAAAAAAAATGAACGCAGATATATTTTTCTCAAATTGTAGTACTAGTACACAGACTACAAGCTTCATTTCCAATTATTCACAGCCTCCTTCCACTTCTACTTTCACTCACTACACCATGTTTTCACACCTTCAACTTTTCTTTTCATTCCATCTTCTTCGCACGTCACCCACCTCTCCTCCTCTTTCTTGTGCACCCGCTCGGTGTCTGGCACTCGGGAGTTGGCACAGAGGAGGGTGGCAGCGGGTGACGCGGCTAGCTGACACCTCCGATGCCACAGCAAAGCATGTGTATAACAGCCAAGCATAATGGAGCTCCTTGTGAATACTGCCAATATGTTTGCCAGCGGAGAAGTAGTGACACCAGACAACACACGTCTACACTAGGGCTGAACGATTTGGGAAAAATATCTAGTTGCGATTTTTTCTTTGGAATTACATTTGCAATTTATGTTTTGATAATAAGATTATGTTAAAAGTTTACATTTTAAATTGCGTCCAGAAGAATTGACAAAAAAACTGAAATATGAACCGACGAATTAAGAATCATACACAGTATGTAACATTTGATCTATAATACAGGGTTAGCAGCTTTTAAGCAGAATAAGACAGGATATTTTGTTGTTTGTGGAGGAAATTATGGTCCTTCAAAAACTACAGCATTTGTGATTTGCCAATTGCATCTATTCAATTTGCAATTCTGAATCGATTGTGATAAATCTTGCAGCTCTAGTAGCTTAGCACTGTGGGGTTTTATTTGTATTTTTGTAAATTCAGTATCTTAACGCAAATAAATAGTACCAATAAATCTTTACTCCTAATAAACAACAAAAGGTAATTCACTGTCACTTCATACTATAAGAGGAAAATCCATGTTAGTGTCCATCAGATCAATCTAATTGTTGCCATGAAAGAGGGAAAATAATAGTATATATCGTATATAATATCTTCAGTTTGTTCGCAAGCAATTATACCTAAATATGTAACTTTTAATCAAGGATAGGGCTGGGCGATATGAAAAAATAATCAATCACTTTTTTCCCTCAAACTGATTAATCACACTTTTCAATTCATCTTTATTTTGTTTCATTAAAATCAATAAAAAATGACTTTCAATATTAATCAGACTTTTTAAATCAATGTCATTTAAGTCAAATTTCTTCCTTCAAACTCTGAACTCTGCTCCAAACCACATGCTTTTACCGATAGTGGATTGGCTGAATGTGACTGTGCCAAACTTCTACTTCCAGATAAAAAGAGAGGGGTGCATCCGAGGTAAAACCAATGCTCCGTACCCAGTATATTGAACTATGGTAACAGATGTGGTAATCTGAAGATCTTAAAGATGAGTATGATGAATTTGCAGGTAGTTATTGAAATATTTGGTCCTATTGAATATTACGGAAAATCACTGTTTCATATATTCCCTATATTTTACAATGCTCGTGCTTTTGCAAACTTGTGACTATAAATGTGACCGCTAGTGCTGCCATTTTGAATGTTATTTTAAATCCCAGGCTTAATTGTGCACTTAGATTACACAACTGAAAAGTAATACAGACTGCTGTAAATTTTTGTCTTTAATCCACCTATGAGCACATGCATAAAGATGTAATACATTGACAACCAAGTTTCATTCATCAATCTGCTCTATAAACTGTGTGTGAGCGATGCACTGCAGAAGACACCCAGCCTGTATAGAGATATCACTCAGATTTGACTTAAAACCCAGACTCCCGATGCTCCCGGGACGTCTGCAAGACTTTCAAAGAGTCGGGGAGGATCAAACATGAGAGGGGAACACCAGGAGAGCGATGTGCATTCAGAATGAGCCCAGATGATGAAGACGTGCATCAAATGAACGCAGAAAGGAGGAAGAGGAGGGAGAGGAGGAAGAGGAGGAGGAGAGAGAGAGGCTGCTGTTGCTGTGACCTACTAATGCACTACTGAGGAATTCTCACTGCTGACTCCTAACACATTCCTGCAGCCTGCAAATATTAACCCCCACACTGCCTTTATAAGGCGTAAACGAGGCCTCAAATTAAATAAATAAACTATAGATTCATGTACACTATCATGCTGCACAAAGAGAAACAAGAAAGTGAAAAAAATAAAATCCAATGAAGTTAAGAAATTTCCAGTATATATAATCATGAAATCCTCACTCGATCTCACACACCAGTTGATTCATTGGAATAGATTGAATTTAACATAAAAATATTTTAACTACTTTTGAGTCAGAGCATTTTTTGCACATGAACAGATATTTGGGAGATCGGGAAATTAACACTATAATAAAAGAGCAAATACCAGTTGATGTTGTACTAGTGTTTTAACTAAGGAAAAATGGAAGTGCTGTTGAAATGCTGTTGAAGTGTTAAAGACATTTACGTATGCTGTGCTTGAGTCATACACACATTTTCTCTTTAAATAAATCAATATCAAACCAATAGCTTTCTACTGAAATAAAGCATATGGCAGCTACCAAAATAACAAAAGATCTTGATTAATTTAATAAATATAATATAAAATCAGTACATAATGAACAGAATAAAACTGTAACAATTGTAAACAAATGTAAATCAGATCACTTTGTCGCACTGTCATTGAAATAGAGTGTAAGTACTGATTTATGGGATTCAGAAAGCACAAGGCATTCAGTCTAATTATTCCAATGTCATACTCAATTATTCAAAAAAGGGGAACAAAAAGGTGAAAAACAAAACAAAATGGAAGGTGTTTAGGTGAATTTGAGGCAACTCATTTTCATACAAAATCTACTCATTCTATGACTATGGTAAATGTTGGTATATCTAAAAACTAGCATGGGTTTTGCAGAAAAATAAAGATGCCATGTAATGTTGTTGCTCTACAGAGATAAAGTATTTAAAAATCTGAACGAAAACACACCACACCAAATCGATCTACCACTCATGAGTCTCAGGTTTACCGTTAAAACTGGAAAAAGTACATTGTTTTTAATCATTCCATTGAAAATTCTAGTTGGAAACGCAACTGTACATGTAATAAAGCTGTACTGGAACCTGCTTCTCTTGTGATCGCTGCAAATCAAGTGTAACGGCAGTCAGGGATGTAAAGTGGAAAATCGCTGGGTTCAGAGCCAGTGACAGAAACATTATCAGGAGCCCTATGGGTATCCAGATGGACCTCTCTCTCTCCACTCAACCCTGTGTCCTGGAGAGGCAGACAAACACTGATGCAAGTGGAGCAAAGTATCCGCAGGGAATAGCCAGCGAGTTGGACCGTGAGAGCCGCCAGTTTGAAACATCCACGGCGGTCACATGACGCACCCCGCTAACTGCCCTGTGTGGCGCTCCACTGTCTCTTTAACATCAAAACTACATAATTGATTGCCAGGGCATAGTTTTGTAAAAGAAAAATGCATTAATGGGTTTCATCTGCAGTCTGAACTTAAAAAGGTTCAGTAAGTGCGGCATTGAGGTTAACAAAAATATTTGAAATAACTGTGGTATAATATATTTACTCAGGTATTTTGTTTACGCATGAATAGCCAGGTTTCTTTTAGCTATTCACCCATTCAAAATCACAATTCCAAGAACGATGCATAAGCTCTAACCTCTAACCATAGACAAACACATGTACCATATTCTTAGCTGTAAAATGAGTGGTCAAGGGCATGTGTAGTAATGTAAACACAGAAAGTGCACATTTATTTGCGGAGAAGTAAAGTGAAGTTGACATTAACATTTCTGTCAGCTGTCAGATGCTGTGGGCCCAAAGGAGACAGACAGATTTCTAACAGCTGAACACGAACAGCGCAGATAATTGCATCGGCCACTCTTACACTTGGACAAAATATGCTGCTTTTCTGTCCAGTCCACTTAGGCAAGGCAGCACTACTTCATTTTATACCATTCACTCCCACAGTGCTACCTGTTAATAAATCTACCATCTAATATAAGATGATCAGTTAGACTGAAGTTTTTCATTTCAGTTTCATTTAGGAGATGACAAAGATGAAATAAAAACTACTTCATCGCTTCCAACTATTAAACGGCAACAAGGCCTGGAGTTTGCAAGAAACACAACAGCAACACTTTTCAGTAAAACAACAAAACAGAGATCAAGGTTATTCATTGCTTCTCTATTACCAACCAACATAGTAATTTAATGTACACCTTAAATAAACTATTACACAGTCCAGAAAAGCTTTGCAGTGCTACTGTTGGATGCCGCTCCCTATTACAAGCACATATCGTTTTCATAAGACGCCCAGAACGTTATTTCGCAGCACCACGATAAGAGTTTGAAAGTATAACGTATTCAGTGCAGAACAATGGGGCTGAGCTGTAACAGGGAGGTATACAAACAAACTCTGAGGGGAAATTGAGGGTGGGACAGGTCAATTCCAGAGCAGGGAGGCTGACAACCAATAATTCAAGTGTCATCTTATTAATACTTTGGGGGCTGTAGAGAATAGCACAACTCCAGGAAACATGTGATTAGACAAAATAATGGTCCTAAAAAAGTGGGAGGTTTGACCCTGTTCCTTCTGCCCCTTCATTCTTAAAGCAGGGCCCCAAACCAGCCCGGGCTGTTACTTACACTAGGCTTCAATTCTGGCAAGTTCTTTTTGAGCAAACATAGATATTCTGTCAGGCAAGATAAAAGGCATGGACGGATTATAAGGATATGAAGCAGAGAAATACGCTTAACTGTTTGGAAAATAGTAACGAATTGTAGTACAAGTGAAATGTTGGATTGCTATAAAACTATTTGAGAGAAGAGGGCATGTTTGAAAGAAAGTGAGCCTGCTTTTTTACCTTTTCCCGCGTTCGTTTCCCAACTCTTGATTTCGACTCTGGACTTGCAGCTCTGCATCTCTTTCTCTTCACTCTTCTTCTGGTCACAATTCATCGGCTGTTCGGACCATCCAGTGATCTTCGGCAAGAGGCAAATGCTCCCAACTTCAGCTCGCTCACACTGTGGACTTTGCAGAGAACAAGGTCTTACGGACAAAGGGAGAGTGCAATGCGAGCGAGGAAGGGAAAGTGGTGAACAAGTCTGGCTGCTCACTGCTGCTGCTGCTGCTGTTCAGTTCGTGGCTGGGATCTTGCATGTGCAGAAGACTGAGCAGAACCGGTTTTGCGGAGAGCTGCCGAGAGGAAAACACACAAAAGTGCAGAGAAGGCATCACTCACCGTTTGTGTATATTTATCGCTGTGTGTGCATGTGAGCGGGGCAGGAATGAAGGGAGAGCGGAGGGGAGGGACGAGATTGAAATAAAGGAAGGTGGGAGGGAGCATACGTGGAGCCAGAGGAAACGGGGAGGAGACATTTTTTTCTGCTTTTTCCTGTTCACATTTTTTAAATTTCCCTGTTTTTTTCCCTACTGTGAAATGATCCTCATCTATACTGTCTGCACCACTCCACCGGTGGGTCATTATACAGCCAATTCCACAACGGCTTTCCTCCTCCTTCTGCGTTGGCCTTTGTTTGAGCCAGCTGTGTCTTTAAGGCCGTGCACTTGAACTGCCAGTGCTTTTCTTTCTCGCTGTACTTCCCCTCCGCTGGCCCCCTGCACACAGGAAAGACATGCAGCTTGCAGGAGAGAGAGACAGAGCCAGCGAAGAGGACAGAGGGGCAAAAAGGGGCAGTGAGAAATGTAGATGGGGGAGGGGTAAAGGTTTCTAAGTGCTAGTTCAAGGCTGCACAGTACAGACTCAATTTAATGGGAAAATATCACTTAAACACATCAAACACACATTTTCATAGAGAGCAATATATATATATATATATATATATATATATATATATATATATATATATATATATATATATATATATATATATATATATAATGTTTCTCATTATTCAAAGGGAAATCAATAATAAGGGAATGGCTCCTTTTGAAATATTGATTTGCTGTACAAAGTATGCCCATGTGTTCATAACATCATGAAAGCACTATCCTGAGAGTGCAAGGTTAAGGTCGGACCATTAAGCCGAGCCGCTGCATTTCTCCACATGGTTGTCATGGCAACGGCTGACACACAGGTGAAATGTTTCATAATAAGACGACTCATTTGTGGTGTGGGTCAACAAACGGACCGTACCTCCAGATGGGGTTATATATTTATGTCCACTCACCTTAAACTAGATGCCGCAAAGGGAAACAAAGGCCAGTCCGGAGCTCAGGAAGGATTTGATAGGAGGCCGAGGCAGGCCAGGCAAGTCACTGTACAGACATGCATATAAAGTATTAGTGAGCTACAAATAGAGCAAGACTGAATAGCTATAAGAAATACCCATTTTCAATTCATTTTCATTCAAGTTGTTTAGTGGAAGTTAGATTTGCACAGTTTTAGATTGAATCAAGTTAGAAAATAGAAATAAAAAGAGCTACAATAGATAAATAGTGCAATGAAACTTTAACACTTTAACAATTAGTTGGTGTCAATAATGAATCACAGAAGTGACATATTTTTCAGTATATGTAGTTCAAATATTATTGTACTACCACAAAAAAAGAAAAAGTTTCCCACAAAATGTACACACAACATAAGTGAGTCTTAAAATTATTGTTAAATGATAAGTCGGTATAGTAATTATTAAAACAGGCCTAAGTAAAACATGATGGGATAACAGAGATAGTAGAATCTAAAACGCCCAGCATGAATGGTAAAGTAAAGGTTGTTTGTGAGCACTTGGTTTAGCCATGTAAATAACTTGCCACTGTCCAAGGTGTGTTTACATCAGGACCACAGGTGCCATGAGAGGCTTCAGCACTCTGCAACATTTAACTGGATAAAGTTTAAGAAAATTACATAAATCACAAAGTTTGACTTTTGTTCAAATGTTGCTCAAGTATTGGGTTTTTGTTAACATAACATTTACTCAACAACTGTTTATTCATATATTACTAATGCTACTCTTAATCTAGCAGCGCTTTTTAAAGTTTACTCAGGCTGAAGAGCAGCTATAATGTATGCCGTGTTTAGACTGCACCCATGTGAACTGAGACGCGCCTCTGATATATAGGCAATTAAAAAGTCACTAGGCAATTTAAACCTGGTGAGTGATGGCCTTATTGTTGATTTCATCTCGTCTATAGATCAGCCAGATGTTAGGGTGGATGCAAGGTGCACTAAATACAGCACAACAGCTTTGTGAAACACATTTGGAAAATGATTAGACTGATAAAGAAATATTCTGTTGAGAAACATTACAAAGAAATAAAGCGTATGTATAACACTTTAAACCCTAATATAAATTATACAGAACGATTATAGAGGTAGTTTTGGTAATGGTAATTACCATTTCTTGGCAATAAAAGGTAAGAGGGACATGTAATTTTGCGTTTATGATACTCAAACGTGGAGATTTGATAATGAAAGCTATACATATTTTGGAATAGGATCCTTGTATTATATTGGGTAGAAAGAGGGAATCCCCAATGTTTTCTATTATGAGTAGAAAAGTGATTTTTATTTCACTGGAGTCCCTGGAGTTGAGTGAAGCCACAGAAATGAACAAAATAAGGCAAAACCTCATTGGCGTGATATGCCTGGGAGGCACCAAATCGAGAAACTTTTTCCAATCTAAAAGGAGGGCACTGCTCTAATGCATTACAAATACAAATAGGTATTGACCGGAGGAGCAGGAGGAGAGGGGGAGGGGCGGATGATAAAGGTCGTCTCAGATGTGCTCTGCATTCACTTATACCTTTTGTTAAAGAGGCAAATATACTTTCCCTGCTTAACCACAGGAGCAGGGAGGAGGGCAGAGGCACTGGATGCCACGAGTAACGCTTCTCTCTCTTAATGCTGACAAACTATTCCCCAGCCCAAGGACAATCATTACCTGAGGGGAAAGAGGCTGCGTGTGTGTTAGGGGAAGAGATGCTTACACCGGCGCTGATCTTGAAAGGGCCTGGCCAATCGATCGCATTAAGCTCCCTGCGAAAGAGAGAAATCAATATGTTTTTAAAGGCGAAGCAGGCTGCATGCGGTGTATGCGTGTGGCCCTCATTGATACAGCCAGACGTGCGCAGAGACAAGCTGTTCCTGAAAAAGAACCATCACGTTTTGAGGTCAAGCGGTTTCATTTCCAATACTTACCTATGAAATCGCCCCACTCTGGAGGAGAATGGACGTGTGGTGATCGGGTGGCACAGTTTGGCTCCCTGGTTATCACAGCAGACAAGACACCACTGTTTGAAAGGCAAGAATAACACTGCAATGTGGACAATCAATAGTTTTCTGATGAAAAAAGTTGTCTGGAAGTTGTGAAATTTGAAAAGCCATGACAGAAATAATAAAACAACAAAAGATGACTGAAAGACAGTAATATCCGTTTAAAGACACAGTAAAAGCATAGCAGGCATAGCAACAGACAGTAATGGCCTTAAAAATCAAGAAGACTGAGTGGGCATAGGGCAGGGGTGTGCGACACTGCAAAAGATTTATACCACAATGTTCTTTAATGCTAGGTCATAATTTATCACAATTCATGTAAACGTATTACATTTATATTGTCTATGACAGGTAATAATGCTGTCTGTCTCCTCTGTGACTATATTTTGCTAGAAACAAAAAAATGTCGGAAAATAGTCAAAGATATGTGTATTTTTTAGTTAGCTAGTCTAATAAATATTCCAGCAAATATTTTCTATTGGTCATTCAAAGTTTTTACATTTTTTATGTTATTGTTTTCTTTATTATCACTTGCTCTATAATTTTTAAAATATTTTTATCATATGAAAGTTATATTCACTGTAGCCTTTAAATAATTATGCAAGACAATTTAAGGTTGTTTTATCAGACACATCTTGAGGAGGTGGTCAAGGAGTGATAATGAGAAGGCCATATCAAAACAAATCAAGAGGCTCAGCACTTGTAAAAACAGAGCTAACTGATACCTCCCACATGTTGACAATTTTTATTACTTCTACGGTCTGACACTATACTTACACCTCTGTAATATTCCCTCTGTTTTTCCACATCTCTCAATAATAACTTACTCTTGACTTGGCATCTGGGGCAGTGTGTGATGGAGAAAAGCAGAGAAAGGAAGTCCACGTAGATGCATTCACTGTCCTCCTTCTACCTGAGCTGACACTAAGCAAAATAAACCAAAATATATACAACAACAATACTTACCAAGTCTGTGTACTGTCTGTATTAAAGTTACATTAAATGAGATCTGTTGTTTTTACATGGCAACACAAGGAGGCAAACATAAACAGAGCAACACAAATAATTAAAATTTAAAGAGGGAAACCGTTCTGCCCTCTAGTGGTAACGAATAAGTATTGCAAAACAAAAACCTGTAGGCCTAATTTATGAACAAGCACTATTTTTTGAAGGGAACGAGGAAAATTTATCAGTTTTGTTTAGCTAAAATCTTTTATGAAAATGAAATGTTTAATTTTGCATATACTAAGGAGTAAAAAAGATTGTGTAAAAACTGGTGGGCTGAGTATGGGGGGTCTGTTTCTGTGGAATACTGACATATGGTTTCTTATTACAGCTTAATACTGACTCAGCTGTGTATTAAGGCATGCCCTGGTGCCATAAGATCATGCACAAGTTAAGCCTGTTTCTAAATAATAAAAGAAAACATGTGAGAATAATTAGACTATACTGAAATAACAAACTGACAAATGTGTACCTTATCTGTGGGATCTATCAACATTATGCTGTACTGACTTATGAGCCTATTTCTACAAATTCTAATTCCTCAAACGACATTATAGTCATAGTCATAAGTCAGTTTTTGTCCAAGTTCAGGTCTTATAAGTACGGTGACCAGATTTTCAAAATAAAAAACTGGGACGTCCCTGGTTTGGGTTGGTTGGTAATAATAAAATTGTGAATTGAGTGAGTGATAAAGGAAAACTGTTATGCACTTGGCACTTATGGAAGTCAATATAGTCACATTTTCTTTATGTTTGGTCATGTTTAAGCAGGTTTTCTGAATTTTATCTAAACAAATGACAACGTATGACTCTCTTTACTATTGGCAGGTATCAAATTGATAAAAAATAAATAAATAAGGAGACCTGGGACATTTCTTGTATAAAACTGGAACAAATCACTGGTTTTAGATAAATCTGCTGGGACAGGGAATACAGGGTTCAAAACTGGGACTGTCCTGGGCAAATCAGGAAACCCGGTCACCTTACTTATAGATAATGAGCACCTCAATGTTTCACAAACATTGAAAAACATGATATGATTTCCATTATTTCAACCTCAATTGTTTCACCTTGAGTTTGTATCATCAAGTAGCGGAGAGAGGCCCCCAGCTTGGCCCCTACTGCGAACGAAACAGGAATAAACAGGTTTCAGGCCTTTGGAAAACCTGAAAGCAACACAATGAAAGGAGAAATTAGTTTGGAAAATCACAATTCAACCCCAAATACAAGTATAGAAGCTAAAAGTAGAAAATTGATTTCTGTTTGATATAATTAGCTGATGATGCTAAGGCAATTAGTTAGCTGTTAGCACTGAAAAGCCCGGGAAGTTCCAAGACAGGCTTCAGTTAATAACGATTCCCTTTCATTTTCCAAGTCCCTAAGTTGATTTTAAACTTATTAGAAAGCGGCAACAATCTTACTAACTAAATTACTTTGATAATTCCCTCGCGAAATTGCAATTGTTCATAAAAAGGGAGGGTTGGGTCGCATTTGTAAACGAAAAAAACAAGATGAAATAGCCCCTCAGCTGTTTACCTTGACTTGCCCATATATGGTCCGGCGGGATGACGCAGCGCTGAGTTCAGGAAGTGACTCACGCTGACGGTAATCGTGCGTGAGTTGCGTCCATAGACCGTACGGTTGCGTCGTTTTGCTAGAGTGAGCGCAGAAAGAACAAGGAAGCAACATGTGCTGACCACAATAACTCCAACTCAGCAGCAGCCAGCCACACCACAGTCTCCACAGACAAAACGAAGCTGAACAGAGGACTTACGCTGAATTATTCTGGATATAGATCTTTTCACTCCACTCCAACTTATATCGTGAGTACAATTTTCTTTAAAATAATACAGTTCTGTCTTTGTTTCAGTAATTATAATTTTGCCTTGGATTGTTTCACTTTTATCATGTTCGTCATGTATCATAAACCTAGTCTAATGTACTACTTTGCGGGAACAAATATAAATGGCCAAACGTTCAAAAATTTCTTTTTACGCACAGACTTGAATTCGTCTTTACGCACAGGATTGACACGAAACTATAAACAAGAAAATTGTTGATATTATTATTATTATATATCAGTATATGAAAACGTAAAATGTTGTTTATAAACGTTGATTTTTTTTCTTTTCTATCTTATTCTCAAATGACTTATTGTATTCTAGTTCCTCCTAACTTTCTGTATTTCCATGGGGGGTTTCCATGTCGTCAGAGAACCAAAAACTTTAGTTTTCGTTGTAGGTCATCCAGTTTCGCTTTTGGTCATCATGTTAAAAACTACCGTGTTGTTTTAAAGACCTGTTTTTGTTGACTTTTCTCGTGTAATTTTACGAAGACGAACTTTGCACAAACACGTGTCTTGGTCTTTGTTGGGTCTCCTTTGTCTCAAGCAGACGTTGTTGTTTTCTTAGTTCAGGCCACAGACGAAACCAGTCAAACATCCTGAACCGTGAATAAGACGGGCAAAGTTTCCGATAAACCTGCTTATTTCTAACGTTTTATATGTGTATATTGCCCTGTTTGGTGGTGCCAGTGTGCCCAAAAAGTTGTTTTCAGTGTGCGAGACTTCTACTCAAATGCTAATCAAGTAGCCTGCCAGTCTGGTTTTATAATAAACATTTGTTGATGTTTTTTTTTTTTGTTTTTTTACTTGACTCGTATGCACGTATGTATACTGGGGGAGCATTTGGGACAACAGCAGTGCTTGTTGTGTTGTCATGAGTATTCATCATTCCTATTGACCAGTGAAAATGTGCACGAATGAGTGTGACTTATGGTTGAAGTAATCAAAGAGCACAAGACATGTAATCTTAGCCTATATTTTAACTCCAGCCTGTGGACGGAAATTGACAATACACACTGCTGTTTGTTCTGATGTAATCTTGTTGTAATTCGTAATTACTAACTGCTGCACACTGAAGGTATTGAACATTGACTCTGAACAAACAGTCCTGAAGTAAATCACGAATAACAGCTTAAAATATCTGTTTTATGATATGTTATCACTCTTGATAGTATGGACAGTGCATGTAGTTTTGCCTTTCTTGTGTGAGCCCAGGCTTGCCACTTACCTTTGTTGATTATACTATGGCTAACTATTTTAAAGGAGTACGTCCAGGTCCAAATTTAATGTCAAATTTCCCATACTTTTTGGAGGAGTACAACTACAAGTATTATTAATGTTGCAGAAAAGCAAAACAATTCTACAAATAAGGTAACCCTTTAAAACACTTTGGGTTCCCTTTAGGTTAATAGCTATTTACCTTCTGTTAATATTATAATCTGTTTTTAAATATAAAGTGTGGTTGAAGTAGTAGCCATGTATTTATGGAAACTTTGTATGCAGTTAGTAATTTTCACATACATTGCATTAGAAATGAGCTGAGGCAACAAATTCTTTCCTCAACCACAATAACAAGCAAAAATCAGTGTTCAAGGTGTGCTGCAAGAAAACAGGAGCGTCAGACCAGTGCTTTAAGTATAACTGGTTTAGTTGCTTTTGCAGACTCTGAATTACCTTGGCCTCCAGCAAACTTACTCCTCTTTGGTCGAACTGACATTGGCACTCAACCCAAACAGAGACGCTATCAGAAGATAAATAACACGGTGAGCTCAGTGGATTTGCATGTGAGAAGGCCTTACATGTGAAAACAGGAGTACAAATTTGCAAGTAGTTTGCCTCTATACAAACTTTAGCCTGTTGTCAATACAAAGGCCTGAGGCTTGTGTACACTAAATATGTAAAGAATTGAACCTATAAAAATAAAAGGCATGAAGCAACAGCACAAGGAAGTGTTGTTATCGGTACAGTTGAAGTTCCCTCTCCCCCACATGACACCAGTGAAGGAAGTCATGGTCTGCAAGAGAAAAACATCAATAAATTTGTCTTTGGGTTTAATGAATAGGGGTGGGAGCAGGATGAGATTATATACTGTTGTTATAATAACCTTGATCAAAAATGCACAGTATGCACATAGTCTATGAAAGCTAGACTTGCCATTCGTTTTTAGTCGGTGTGAAAAAACACCAGCTATGGTACACTGCAAGGTGATTAAAAATTGTTCCTTCATGAATAAAATATAGTTTACAAAGTGCTTAAATGTTGCTTTTTGTATCTTGATTTTTGCAGACACCATGACCATGATACGAGAGGTGAAAGCAGGGGTCAACTTCCTGAAGCGCTTGGTTGTAGCACGAGGCAAGCTTGAAGAGACAAAAGCTGAGTTGTTTGCAGAGAAGCTTCAGCAGCATTTGTGTAGCAGATATGACGACCACTGGTACCCTGACAGTCCCAGCAAAGGACAGGCTTTCAGGTAGCTACTGATCCATCTATTACACCAAATACTTACCTCAATACCTGCTTGTTTCCATGGAGAATGTCATTTTGTGGCATTTGAGGCAAACCATCAAATGTCCATGAATAAAAGAAGGTTTTAAGCCCTCCATCTAACAACCTTTTTTAAATGTTCAGCATTTTCAGGGAACACTGAAACCACTACCATTATGAAAGGTGAATTTTAATTTCAGTGGTCATGAATGTGGGGATCATGAGATTGTTTCAATGGGTTTCTAAATCATATGGGGTAACTTGTGCAGCAAGGATTCACACCATTCAAATTCAGCTGTAAATATAGATTCAGATTTGTGGCAAATAAAAAGCAATCTAAACCTACCTTGCTCATTTTAAACCAAGTCAATGTATTTATTTTTGTCTCCCAGGTGCATTCGGATAAACAATGGTGTACTGTCAGATGAGGCCGTGCTGAAGGCGTGTGTGGAGAGTGAGTTGAAACCCTCTGATTTGGGGCTTCCTCGTGAGCTCACCCTGTGGATCGACCCTCTGGAGGTTTGCGCACGGTGAGTCACTGTCTGGCCTCTGTGCGACATCGACACCTCCTGTTATCTTTCGGTTACCTGAGTAATGTTTTGCCAAGAATTGACATGACTCATACCATAAGTGTACAGCTACATGATATCAGAAAAACATGCAACGTACAGTAACTATTATTCCTGCCAAAAATAGCAACTGACAATTAGGGATAAGCTATATGGAAAAATAGTAATATTATAATTTTCTTCTCAAAGTTCACACTTTAATGTGACTGATTAAATCTAACTATTACCAACTCTGAGCATAACGGAAACCCATAATGCAAAATGTCTGAGAGAAGTAGAGTGAGCATAGAGCTGCATTAAACAGAAAAGGAATGGTGTATTTACACTACCAGTCAAAAGTTTGGATTTGTTTTTACTTTGTTTACTACATTTGACATTTTGGATGCATGCATAAGACATCATTATATGATCCTATATATGGAATTGCGTAGCAAAGAAAAAGGGTTGAATAACTCGACTGCATTTTTTTATATTTTCAAATCCTCAAAGTAGCCAACTTTTGCATTACCAATGCTGCAAACCTTTGGCCTCCTCTAAAATGATCATCTTGATGAAGTCTCCTGAAATGGTTTTCACTTCACTGGTGTGCCTTGTTGGGGTCAAGAAATACCAAAAGTGCAGCCTAGAGTTCAAAGCAAAGGGATGCTATTTTTCAGTTTTGAGTTATTTTGAGTTTTTTTGTTTGCTATATATGGGCACATATATATGTGCCCATTCATAGTTCACATGTCTTAAGTGAGAATGTACAATACAAATAATCATGGAAATAAAGGAGAAAAATAAATGGAAAAGTGTGTCGAAATGTTTGAATTTTGACTGTATTCAACATTTTTCAATATTATATTAATAAATATTGTAAAGAGATTTTTCAGACCGCAAGATTTATAGCTGAATTTGACATAGGCTTGGCTCTAACTTTCCAAACTTGGACGTAAACATCAAATTGAGTAAATCTTTATTATTTTCTTTCCAGATCCGGAGAGAACAGCAGGCCTTTCACAGTAGCCACTTTCACAGAAGAGGACCGAAAGGAGGAGAGTTTGAAGAATACACATGAAGACTCGCTATCAGAAGAGTCCATTAACCTGGACACCTCCGATTACCACTCTGCTACCTCCTCGGACTGCGGCTCTGCTGCATCTAGCGACACGGAGGAGGAATCCAAAGACCAAGAAGAAGAGGTGAAAGATGGCGAAGAGGAAGGAGAGCCTAAAAAAGAAAAGGATGTTAAAAAAGAAACGGCAGAAGGAGACGCCTACACAATTGCAATGGTGCCCAGGCTCCGGGGACGCAACATAGAAGGGCTAAAAAAAGTCAAATACGTCAGGAATATGGTAAATATCTTTGAATATAATGTCACATTTTAAAGGCTTGTGTCCTCATGACCAGGTGCAATTCTCTTTTTTTTTTTTTTTTTAGGTGTGTAATGTGCATGCACATAGCAATTAATAATTAGGTTTATTGCAGAGGAAAACGCATTAACCCTTTGGAGTAAAATTTGACTGTCTCCAGACCATGATTAGTCCTGGACTGGAACAGGAATAAGCCAAGTCTACATGAGAACTTGGATCAAACCAGAAAGTGTGAAGGCAGCCAAAGAGTTGAATAGTGTCCGCTTTTTCTTGTTCCATCAAGGTCTAAAAATATGATGTGGCACACACCACAAAAAATTATTAATTACAGAAAATGCAATATTTCAGGATTTACAATGTTTCTCGTAGTATCAGTTGACACAAATCTGCATTTGCTTATACTGTGACTTCTCTTTCCAGGTCCCTCCAAGTCTCCAGTACTATTACCAGCCGACACAGGTCTGGTCTCCGTACAAAAAGGCTCCGCCAGTGTTTCTGACCACAGTGTGTGCCCCTCCCCCTCCTCCACCTCAACCCCTCGTCGGGTACTACATCCTGCCCCAGCCCTCCCCTCAGTTCATTCTGCCCCAAGCCTCTCTGCAGCCATGGGGAGCAGTGAAGGGCTAAACTTCTCAGGACCCAAAGTGGAAGATGCACTGGATACTCCGATAACTGAGCCATGTCTGTGATCAGCTAAACTTGGGCCAAAAACTGTACAGCGTTAAATATTCTTTGCACAAACTGTTTTATTCAAGAGTCTCTATTTATGGTGGTGCGGCACAGATTTATTAATGGATTAGAGTGACAGGCGTTTCATTTCATAGTCAGGTCTGCACTGATGAATATATTTTGTACACATTTAAATGGCAGCAATCACTGGGTGCTTAGACTTAACTCAGGAGCTTACAGCAATACATTTAATACCAAATGCTGAATTCAGGTGAAGTTCTGTTTATTTTTTAAGTTCTCTAAGAAGGCAAGTGGCTTCTTTGTATTTGAAAATCACAATCATTGTAAAATAATCTTGATTTTAATCTGTAACTAGAATTACTGTATACTAAAATATTTTTACTTACAACTTGTAAATAATACAGAACCTGTATATGAATGTATGAGACACAATTTTACTGTTATGTTGTAATATATTTGGCCATCACCTGGTGGCACTAAAATCACAGCTAATACATGAAATTGTATTTATTTTTATAAGCGTTGTTGTATACTGCATCACTGGCTGTGTTGTCTGTTTTGCTTTATTACTACCGGGTGCAGTGGCTTTACACAATCTATGCTGTGTGCTATTTTACAAAATATTTTTAATAACATTTCTCTGTTTCTGTATGCCTATACATTTAGTAATATTTAATTATTCACTGTTTATTAACTGCTCATTGATCTACAGTTTTTTGCTGAAGGCACAAATCATGTATTACTTCGAAGCTAATGTTTGTGCTGTTAATGCCTAATTGTGTTTCAGGGATATAATCATCTCCACCCACTGGTGGGAGTTTTGTTTTTTGTTTTTTAATGAAAATTGCTGATCTTTGAGTGTGAGAAAAAATCTTGCCCTGTTTCTAATAAACCTCAACCTTGAATAAGTATCAATGTGTGCCAAGAGTCTCCTTGGGGAAGTAGAGCACTTCTGTAGTTGATTTTACAAAAGTTAACTTGGTTAGTTAATCCTAAATTTCAAAGTTTCAGAATAGGCAATATGTACACATGAATACTCAAACTTCAATCACGCAGGCTTTTGACTGAAGAGGTCTTAATTATCCAACTCTAATTAACCACAAGAGGTCACTGTAGAGCTGATAGAAGGCATGCTACGGTGGCCAAAGCCTTTTGATCAAAAATGTGTCCTAAATGTTAGAACGTGCACACCAGACCAGAAGCAAATTAATTTCTTTTTATTATCCGTGGCATGACGCATAGGGCTAAAATAACGACTCATGCAAATTAGAGGACTGCGAGTGAAATTACGCGCAGATGCTATCAGTGAGCGTATAGTGCGTCGGAGAGTAGGGCATACTCAGAGTAGGAGTGTTAAGGTGGCGATGTGACCAAGTGTCGAGGTAAACCGCTACTTCCATGAGCGACTCACATGAAAAACGACTATTTGGCTTGTCCGTCCAACAATGCCGTATCCTATTCGGGAGGGGACCCACTTGAGCGCGCACGGAGACAAAGTTCTGGAGTGCACACTGGAGATGGATATTATTAACCACGGGGCGCACGGAGCTCCCAAAATGGATTGTGTGAACTGCGAAGGCTTTATTAATGGAACAATCGAGGGATCGGAGGTGTCTGTCCCTCTGTCAATTCCAGGCAAACGGACCAATCCAATAGAGGGAGACGACCTATACAGACTACGAGACAGAAAGTTCCTGTTAGAAGACAAAAAACGTCTGTGCGCTTGGGCCCTGGCCACCGCTCTTCTTGGGATACTTCTCATGATCATCCACGCAGAGATGTGCCCCGCTGTCTACCATCCAGTGAGTATCTATTACTGGGCTATGTGTGAGCAATGCAAATTGATCATGGTATAAACAGTGCCCTAAGCTTTGTACAAGCCTCATGCAACCTGATATGTGATGTGATGTAATTGTTTACATTGTAGAGGAGGCAAAGCAGCTTTATCAAACAAAATACACCTTAATGTAGATGAAAAGCTACTTCTGAAGCTAAAATCTGGTACTAGCTTCTGTACTTTCGAGCATGATGTGACTATGCATTGTTTTGATAAATAAATCAAAAGAAAATAACCTATGCTGTATATTAAGTTTTGATATTTCTTTATATGCTGACATATTTTCAGTTTTATATGAGCAAAATTGCGAATGTGCACACATAAACGCCTAAGTGAGATAAATAGATAACGCAAATTGTTATGTTATTATAATCTTGTTGAAACCACCAACATCTGTCCATAATTGTGCCAAATATCCTCACTCTGCACCCCGTCATCATAACAGCGCTCCTGAGAAGCAGACAGGCTATAGGCTCAAAGCAGCTCCAGCAGTCTGCACCTGGGCTCTGACCCCCCCTGACCCTCTGATTATGAGTCCGTTTCCAGAGACTATTTGGTAGCACAGCCTCATGACATTAACATGCAGATCTCAGTGGATAACAATGCTGGGGCCACATAATCAACAAATTATTAACTCCCGCCTGACTTTACTGTGTATGCCTCTTGCACATGTGGAAAAAAAGTTCTCATGCATACTGCCAAAAGTGCAGACCACCTCCATGTTTTAAGAATGATTGATTACATTGTCAAGAATCCAATCTGTTGAACTCACATTTTAAAAAAAGAAAGAATGGAAATGTATAAAGTCTGCTCTCAGAACCTATATGCGAAAAAACACATTTGGAATTGCAACAGTACAGACAATATGACATAAGCGCCAGAGCTTAGGGAGACCAACCAAGAACAGGTGTTTTGTGTCCGGGCCTTACTAGAGGCATCCTGCTTTAGTAGAGTGTGGAAACGCTGATGCACTGGAAAAGACCTGGACAATCTTATTTAGAAGAAGCAGCTCTCCTAATTTAACTTCAGTTTGTGTAAAATTGCATTCCCACTCTACATATGGTTTTAGTATGATCCACTCACATAATGGAAGTGCGCTTGAGGATATTCCCACACCTATCAGCGCTGGCGAGTGAAGTGATATTTTAGCATACCTTTTCATGTTTATGCTGGAAAACAAGGCTATTATTGGAACATTTTTCCACATTTCACCTCCTTCCCTTGAGCTAGATTGCCCTGAGTACTTGAGGCTATCTTTCCACATCATTTAGTGGATAATTAGGCTGTTTGCACAGGCTGTCTCCCAGCTTTGCCTCATCCACTTGCAGGCAGTGTGGATGCAACACTATGTCCTCTTTTCTGACTCCCAAAACACAGTGATACAGTAAGGACTTAGAGTACTTTGAATTTTGATACAAGGAAAACCAATGTGTAACTACCTACTAAATTATTACATATGTATTTTTTTTCACAAGGATAACTTGATAATAATTTTGATCAATAAAAACACCTTAACGGAATAAAAAAAGAAAAGCTGAATTCAATAATGTGAAAAATTTCAGCCTACCCCTCAAGGAAAGTTGCATATAGCACCTTTAAACTAAATAATAATCCCTCTTAAAAATCATAATCATAATAATCTTCTATTAAAAATTGTGGTTTGCTTTTATTTTTGAGTAATATTTTTGATACACAATATGTGCAATTTGGTCCATATTGATACCTTTCCACTTTTATTAATGAAGTCCATTTATAAAATTATATATGAAAGCACCTACACTTTGTATGCTGTACTGTACATCTATTGCATCAGTTAACCTCATTACTTTAGGGTTTGGTTTGACATATTCATCCATCAAAACAACAAAAAAGAAAAAAACTTTACTCAAGATTGGACCAATACTAAGACCCTGGAGACAAAAGCTGTTGAACCAGATCTGAAGTTACACATGTGTCTTATACCAGGTGTGGCAGGAGGTCTTTTTATGTCTCTGAACAGTAAAACACAGGGGCAGAGATCGCTTTTTTGTATTTCCATTTAAAAGGTGTTTCATCTCAGCAGTGTCCAAGATGACCTCAGTGAAATGGACCAATACAGATTGTAGTTTTAAACTCAGTCATCATTTAACAGCCTACGGTGCCTCTGTTCTTCCTGGCCCTAACTTAATGACAGGATACTTCTGTTTTATTACTGACCCATAGCACAAGAATCTATATAAAACCATAAAACCACACAGTCTAATGAAGCACATTACGTGAAGTCTGACGTGCATTGGCTACTCCTGATGACTGATAACACTGATGCATTGAAATCTAATAAGCCAATAAAATGTGGTATTTTCTGTCTCTACTGTTGTACTACAGGCCATTGTTCCAAAGATAGTCCATGGTTGTTTCTATTACTTAAATATTTTACCTTTGTAGATTATTGGCTATTGACCTCTAATCTCCAGCACAGATAGATATTTTATTTTGCTTGATCTGCTGCCTAAAGAATACATACAAAGCTTTATTTTAACACTTTAATGTGAAGATAACTGCACAAGATAGGACTACACTGCTCCTTTATAAGTTTGTGGTAAAAAGGGTCTGTGGGTGACCTTTTTGAGTTTTAGTAAATTTGTGAAAAATAATCAAAATGAGCCCTATACATATGGGCCCAAAAATATGGGCAGAGCTTATCAGCCATCGGTTGCTCTGGATTCCAAACAGTTATTGTCAGGTATTGTCATCGACCATGGAAAAACCCATATCAGTCGATCACATTTTTTGTCCTTCTTTTTTTATGAACTAAATATTTAAATATAGTGAAATAAAATGCTTGGGTAAGTTTATAATTTGTCTTTGTGTTGTGTAAATCTGGTGAACTGTTACGTTTTTGTGGGCTCCCTAATTAGCGCTTGACACAGTGCAGAGAAGCAGTGGATGCTACGGCTGAGACTCTGGAAAACCAATGTACCTTGCCAATGGACGTCACTCCATACCACCTACACGCTCAAGTTTCCTGCAGTTGGAGACTTTGTAATTATCTTTTTAACGGCTAACCACATGAAACCGCCTGTCCATTTGCAAATCTTCCACTGACGCTGTGTGAACTGAAGCACAGCTCTCCAACCTGCTCTGAATGATGGTGGAAAAGACCATATTTCAGTGCTAGAAGACTGTTTCCAAGTGTTTCCAAATAAATTACTGGATCATATTAAAAATCATGTATTATAATAATGCAGTGTTCTAGAAATACTTAAACTGTAATGTCATTTTGTCATTTCATTTTCCCCTGTTGTTTTTACAGGGCTCAAAAAGTGCCTTGTTCATCAATGGAGCCATCAGCCTGTCCACTGGGTGTCTCCTAATCTTTATTATTGCTTTCCACTATAAGGATATTAGGGTGAGTCAAAAAAAAAAAAAAAAAAATAAATACTAACACATTTTTTTCCCCAGAATAAGCACTGGAAATATGTACAAATAAACTATATTGTTTTGAATATTTAAAACCTCAAATATGAGATTACTAATGGCAGAGAATAAATCAGAATATAATATTTTTAGTCTTCAGTCAGACCTCATAATAACTGTATCTCTTGTAGCGTGCTCACATATCAAAACAGGGTAATCTTAAGTGCTCAGTTTGTTATAGTGAGGGTTTGTGGCTTGTACATTGTGCTAATTTTACACCAGTGACTGAATTCTTACATCAGCATTGTTTTGAATGTGTTGTCTGCAGCTTGTGAGACTGAGACAAGAGATGGTCCAGCAAATGGCAGATAGAGATAAGCAGGAGAAAGGAGTGGCTTAACAAACAGCAACAAATAGTTTATCCTAAAACAAAACATTATTATAACAACTTTGATTTGATGGCTCAAGTCACAGCAAATATTTTGAATTAGAATGGATTGAAAACCTTATAAACATTAGGCTTTAAGATAGTTTTATCTTAATAAAAATGTAAAACAGATAGACTCTTGAGCAAAAGTACAATAGTAGTACAGTATGATTTATGAAGAAAATGTCCTGTAATATTAATTTAAATTGCATTTTGAGCTTTGGAGATGTAGACAGACTAATAATAAAGGTTTATTCAAACATGTGTGAAGGAAACAGAACACATCTCTGATTATTGTTTTGAGGAGGTAATAGCATTCTAACATCACTTAAAGCTCACAATTTTGCATAATATGCCTGTAATAATGACATGATTTTCTTTTTTAAATTTCTTCTGTCTGTTTTTCTTGTCAGCTGTTCATCATTGACCATAACCAGGTGGACTGGCGCATTGCTATGACCAGTCACCGTGTGTTTGTGATCACACTGGAGCTGCTGGTGTGTGCGGTGCATCCTGTGGGGGCGTACTGGGAGATCGGCCTCTCGTACAACTCCTCAAACTCCTCCATTGCCCCCCTGTGCGTGACGGGACACTTTGGACACGGCTTCATGAACCTGGAACTGTTCTTGTCTGTTTTTATGTTTCTGCGGTTATACCTGGTGCACAGAGCCATACTTCTACACAGCAAAGTGCTACTGAGCGCCTCCTACAGGAGTATTGGGTCACTGAACAACATCAACTTCACGTTCCGCTTTGTCCTCAAGGTGCTCATGAACAAATACCCAGCCCGCACCCTGCTGGTTTTCATCTTGCTTTTCTGGCTCACTGCGTCCTGGATGCTCACCCTGTGTGAAAGGTAAACTGCACTTGGTCACAAATAGTATGATATAGCCTGTTGCTACAGGTAAATATTGGGATGAACAATAATATTGAAACTACTTTATGCCACTGACACAATCCAAGCAAACCATTTTTAAAATAGACAGCATCATTAAAAAACATGAGCTGCAACAAATAAACAGCAGAATGAATGAATAATTAGCCCAAAGACTGACTTATTCTACCCTCTACAGCTCAAATCTTATTGTATCACAACTAAGAAAATGTACTCATGACAGATATTGAGCTCCAAAATATATTGTTCCACCTATCATATACTGAATCAGAAGTTGATATAGTAATTATCATAAGTTACATTTATATTTATCTATAATTAACTTCTTATGCTTCTAGAGCATACTATCACCCACCATACAATAGATTTTTTTTTTTCAGTTCCAACAATGCCATCTGCTTTGCCATGATTTTTAAAAATTAAATAGATTTTACACTTGAATAATTTAAAGTTTCCAGCAGGGTAAAATAGATAATATTTTTTTTGAAGGAGGTCAAGATCAATAGTTAATGTCATTTGAAAAATTCCAACTAAAATATTGTACTATTACAGCAATAGTAATCAAAAATGTGAAAAATATTAAAGTTTTTGAAGCACAAAGAATGAACATCACAGGAAGTAATGCATATTTTTATATTTGTGTAACCTTTAATTCAGTCTGAGCTGATTTTGTTGTAAATTTAAGGGTCAGACGAGACATATAATTGTTGTAGTCTTGTTGTTGAGGAACGCTCATCAGTTCTCACAGTGAAAACTTTGCAGGAGCTGTATTTTCCTCCTCAATCCTTGATGGTCAATTTGAGTTTCCTTCTTCAACTGGATTGAAATAACAGTCGATAGTGATTATTTTCTCTAGTGTTTATGTCACAAATAGCTTTTTAATGTGAGCCAGCCCAATGTCAGTCTGTACAGTGGGTCTGGCTATTGGACCGCGTGAGGTCATTATTCAGTTCAACTTTAAAGAGCTGTGGTTTCTCCAATTGGCCTATTTGCATTTGTCATACTGTGAGTGGAAGAAAAGATCAAGGCGTGAGATAAAGGAGGTATTATTTACAAGACCAAGAGTGTATAAAGTTTTACAGTTTCCTTCCTGGTTAACAATGTATACTAAATGCTGACAAGTCTAACCATTTTGTATCAAATCAAGAGGGGCCAAATTAAGAAAATTGCTGTTTTGTATCTTATCTCAGGGAAAAAAAGAACAACTGCTGATACTTTGCAGTGACATCATGCTGGGAGTGTTTTACATGTACATCTCTATGGTGGACTTATCAGAAATTACCGTGAGACACAATGCACACATTAGCAAACACAGCCAAAAAGTTTTGAGTTTGTCTGAAAAATACAAAATAGATTTAAACAACACTTGTACTTAGAGTCTATGATCAATACAAGTACTCATGGGCCTGTTTAGGTGTTTGATTTTCATCAAAAAGATGAGAGTGTCTAACTGAAAAACCGAAAAATGTTATGTCAGCTCTTTCTTGTCATATTATGTTAAAACAAAATTCAGATTGAAGTCTAATTTGAGTCACAGATTACAAACTACCAAAATAGCTACTTTCAATTACATAATCCCACTTGTATTCTGAACTTTGTTATTTTTGTAACTTTCTACCTTTTAACTGTGTTTTATATGTCTGGTCTGCAGAGTCTAAGCACGCTCTGTTTTAGTCACCACTGTATGTGTTGTGTGATTGTAACATAATAACAGAAATAATTACTGTGCTACATGGATAAAGCTTTACACATATTATAGGCCTTTTATTTTTATATTTGTTTTTGTGTCCTGTATGCTTTGAGTCATATTGCAAGTACCCCTTATATCTAGTAATTATGATTCATTAAATCTGTTTTCTCAGTTATTAGTAATATATGATCTTGCTTTAATGATGATATCAAAAATTATCCTTCAGAAACATTCACGTAATTTTAAATTCTGACACCATTCTAAGAGCTCTCATGGTAAGTGCTCATGTGACCTCAGGTCCTATACCCCTGAACACTACTTTTACAAAAAATATTATTATTATTTAGTTGATATTTGTGGTTGAAGCAAATGGATGCAAATTATGATCAAAAATTGTATGCCATAGTAATAATTTGCTTACATTTTGCTTAAAGACTTAAAAAACTGATATGTACTTATAAATTACTGACATAGTTCCATGTCACGCCTGACAGTCACTCAGATGGAAATCTTACAGTCTTACAATATATCTCACACCATGGTGCAACCGGACTCCGCACAGTGTGATGGTCTAACTTTGTTTTAAATTTAAAGCATACCCTTCCTGTGTCCTCATAGGCAAACCAGGGCAGCAGCGGACCACATGAACACGGCCCTATGGCTCATCGCGATCACTTTCCTCACTGTGGGATACGGAGACGTGTCGCCAAACACGGGCTGTGGCAAAGCGGTCTGTCTCCTCACCGGTGTCATGGTAACAGCACAAACAAACATTTAACCAAAACACAGTAGTATACTGTTCATATTACACTGTATGAAACCACTGCTGATCTGGAAGAAAAATATTGACACCATTTCCAAACAACAGTGAAATTCTTAATTCACTTTTATTCACATACAGGAAACTTTGATTAAATTCTAGTCATTACATATTAATGTGCAGCTAACAGTCAGATAAAAGCATCTCACATTTAAGTTAGCTTTTTTGCTGCATAGACTGACATTAAATTATTTATTTTTACATCAAAAATTCTCCTAAGTCTCATTAATTCAACTATATTGTGACTGATAATCCCTGTTATCAAGTGACTGAATTATTTTGAAATTGGTAATCAGAGCAGAATAGTGGCTACAAGATTAAAATGCTTCACCTGCTTCAAAAAGTACAAAGAATGATACTTTCTTATCTTAACATTTCAGTGTTTGGCAGTTTATGACCAAAACACCTCACAAAACAAAATGTCCTGGTACTGTGCTTCTCTGTTGCATTTCGTTTGTGTCCAAAATATGCTACATGGTTTCCAGGAAGAACAGTTGATAGCCAAGGTCAGTTAAATACAGTCAATCAATGAACCTGTCCAATTAAGGACTACAGGTGGAAATTAGCACTGGTGCTACAACCTGGTACAATACATCTCTCCTGTTAAGGTTAATGTAAAAATTGTGCGCTGTCCCTGTCTTATTAAATAAAATAAATAAATAAGTAAATAAAATGTTGTTATTACTAATAATATTTGGCGTAACCTGTATATAGCCAATTTTTGAGTAACTGTATTACAGTGTAGTACTTTGATCACAATTTAGGCAAATAAATAGTAATATAATTATGGATAAAAATGCTAAATACTGCTCTTGTGGTGAGCACACATGTGTGCTGTTTCATTCTCCATTTAGTGACAGGAAATGAATCACAAATGGTGAAACAAGCATAAAACTGTTTTTAACTGTTTTTGCACTATAATTTAAATGCCACTGGCTATAAAACTATTCACAATACACTCAGTCAAAAAAAAATGTAATTATTTTCACAGCCTTAGTTTCATTCTAACCATTCTTTTTCCTGACTGTTTAGCTGCTATTGCCAGCAAAGCCATTTAGTAACACTGGAGCAACAACAGGGGTCACAGTGAAGTCATTCAGTGGGAGTGGGAGTCAGATAAGAGCTGACCATTCATGTCTGAAGTTTACAGTATTGATTTAAGGATGGTATTAGGAAGCACAATCATATAAGTCTACAATAACTGCATGCAGGAGTGCCTGACAGATAATACAAGCAGGTTGAACTACACCTCTCATATGCAGGGCTGAGAAAAGCAAATTCTCACTCTCTCCCCATCTCTCCTGTTTTTATAAGCTTCCCTTCTTATAATGGGAAACTTTCCACCCTATCCATTTTTAGGTGCTTTATTGCATTTGGCATGAGGACAAGGAAAGGCAGTGCCAACCTGTGCTCAAGGAAAAAACGTAACATACTAACAGTCATGCAGAATTTGTATGTTCTGATATTGCTCTAAATGATTGGTTTAAAGTTGAGCTGCACAATTTTGAGGAATAATAATAATAATGATAATAGCATTTTTTTTTCTGATGTTGCATCTGCTATTTCAAACCAGGATTCTGTTCATAATGCCCATTTTTGACTGTTTAATTTTAAAAGACTGAAGTATGGACTTTTGAAGCTATTAAAGGAATAATTTATTTTCAGAACTTGTGTAAAGTCTAAACTTTAAACTACTGATACTTTGCAGTGACGTCACGCTGAGGGTGGCACAGTGCACACATTAGCAAACACAAAAAGGCTTTAGGGTCAGTCCATATGAAATCAGCCACCCTCCCCTATGAGCCATCTCAGATTTGGCTGAAAATTTTTCAAATTTTTTTTTTTAAATTAACAAATGGAAGAATCTCAAATTTTAGCTCAATCCCTTAAGTCGTTCCTGAGTTATGTCCCATTGAAATTTTAGGGCCATGCTCACTTTTTCTGAAGCCTTAATTTATGAGCATGTTTGAGAGACCAACTTTATAAAAAATACAAACCAACTGTTGAACCTGAATATTTCAGAGAATTACCAATTCTGACAACAATCTCACACTTTTCTGAGCTTTCATGTGGATGGGGGTAGAGCCCCAAATATGGTCACAGACCAAATGTGACCTTTTTGGCCCCTTCTTTGGACCCTCAGTTCCCCATGTGGGCAGAGCTAGATGTTGATAAAAATTTTACCAGAGAAACCTTGGCATATTCTGGTTAGTTTAAAGTAATAAAAACATCTACTATTAACTTCCTTCATTTCAAATGGAATTTTTGAAAATGGTGAAAATTTTGGTGGATCTTAGGTACTTTTCCACCTGCTATAAAGATTAAATTACCTTAAATAGACTTAAACACTAACTGGTTGTTATAAGGGAAGACAATTGGAGATTATGTGTGGTACATTGCTTGTGATGGTTTTGGTGACTCAGTAAAACGCTCGGCTGCATGGGCCAGTCTTCAGGCAACTGACAGCAATCAAATATTGACTGCATCCCAGATGTTTGAGTGGGCTTCACAAAACATGAAGAATGTAAAGTTTTTCTTTACAAGCTCTAAATACATTATAAACCATGAATTTACTTCCAAACTAGAAGAGCGCTATAGTACGGTAAAGACTGTGAATGGTACTAGATCACACCACAGTTTCATTCCGGTGTCAAATGGTAAATTAGAAATAAGAATATCTCAAGATAATTTATGTACTGAAGTTTCAGTATCTGATATACACCACGAGATTGTGCCAGATATCTCTCTTTACCAGCCATGTCAATACAGTGCATGTATTTATGACATCAGGTTGTTCATTGGGAATATTTCAGAGAGTTCAGATGAACATGGTGATGTCTATGTGAGATTCATGAATGGAAACGACAGAAACCTCATCTGGCCTCCTGAACATCGGCAGAACCATGCTGGGTCCCATTTCAGCACATAATCTGTTATATTAAGGCACCAGACGTTCAGAGAAGAGCACGTAATTATTCCTTGGCACTGCAGATTATGACAGGATCCAAACATTACTTCTGAAGTTCATTAGTTGTTAGGAACACTTAGTACGCAAGATACCAATACAGATGATCTACATGTAGGTGGCAAAGGGACCAGAATGGGCAGATTTGTCCAGTATGTTGGTATTTTCCGTGAGGTTGTTTTTTACACAGAATTTTTAAAATGTAATTTCTAGCAGTTGAACAAATAACAGACCAGATTACTGTATTTTGGTAACTTTTGTGTCAGTATAAATTTTTTCCTTGTAATATTTTTGTGCAAAAATAATACATTTGTGTATTATTTTTGCACAAAAATATTGGTACTGAAAGCCATAGTTATAGAATCAGAGACTTTGTGATTTAACAGGCAAGTTAGTGTTTAAGTCTATTAACGGTAATTTAATCTTTCTAGCAGGTGGAAAAGTACCTAAACTCCACCAAAAATTACCTGTGAGAGCTCATTTTCAAAAATTCAATTTGAAATGAAGGAAGTTAATAGTAGATGTTTTTATTACTTTAAACTAGACAAAATATGCCAAAGTTTCTCTGGTAAAAATTTTATCAACATCTAACTGTGCACACATGGGGAACCGAGGCTCCAAAGAAGGAGCCAAAAAGGTCACATTTGGTCTGTGACCATATTTGGGGCTCTACACCAACCACATGAAAGCTCAGAAAAGTGTGAGATTGTTGTCAGAAATGGTCATTCTCTCAAATATTCAGGTTCAACAGGTAGTTTGTAAATATCTGCTTGGAGTAAATAGATCTTGGACCTCAAAAATTGAAAAAAAAAATTAAGCGGCAACCAAATGTGAGATTTTAGGGGCCCACAGCGCCCCCCCCTTTAATAAAGATACCCACTATATGACAACAGATTCAGAATTTATGACCAAAATTATTTTTTCTTTTCAGCTTCCGAAAAAGTGAGCTTTTAGTGACCTAAAATTTGAGATTCTTTAATCTGGTGATTTTAGAAATTATTTGAAAAATTTTCAGCCAAATCTGAGATGGCTCATAGGGGAGATTCCTTGAAAACGGCTCATTTCATATGGACTGACCCATTAAGATAGTCTGAAAACTCAAGAAAAAATACAAAATGGATTTAAACAGCACCTTTTCAGGAGCCTGTGATCAATACACACATTCATGGTCCTTTTTAGGTGTTTTAACGATGACAGTGACTAAATGAAAATCTCTTGGCTACCTTGTGACTGTAATTTTATCTGTGAGAGACTGTGTTTAAGACTTCTTGTAGTTTGTTGTTAAAATAAAGCACAAATTGAAGTCCAATAAAGCCTCAGACAGAGCAGAGCCTACAGTTAGCATCACACCCGCAGAGATTGTTAATGATCAGCTGCAAAGTATCAATACTGGAATAGCAAGTCTGTCCTGATAAGAGAGAAGATTTTATTGAAGACCTTCCATCACCTATATATTTTACATTGCAATTTCAGTTCTATTGTGTTACATGGTGCAGCTCGAGTTTTGAAGGATACTTCTGTCTGCAGCTGTGTAGAAGGCTTGACAACATTGTTACAAATCTGGATGTGGGATTTCCAGGAAAGAATGTGTCTCTCCCACTTCACTTGAGGGTCCATCACTGCTGTAATCAAAACTCTGCTGAATTAGTGTCCTGATGCAGAGGTGGAAAGCTATAATTCAAATGTTAGTATTAATAAATCTGTTGTGACAAAGCGTTTTAATAAGTGTATTTTTGGCCACTGCACAAAACAAACACTAAACCATTGTTCTACTGCAGTATATTTGTCACTACTACTATTTATGTTTCTAATCACCCTCTACAGCTTCCTTTAATACTACTCACTATCAATATTAAATCAATAATAAAAACAGGCACACTTATATAAAGGTATTGTATATGTATCATACTGGCTTGAGTTTGTTTCTCCACTTATACTTTATTTTCTCTCTATTTCTAATGCTTGACAAAGAGGAAACCAGGTAATTTGGTGATTTCTTTCAATTCAGGACGTAATATTGATTTTTGTTACAAGTAACATAGCATTAAATTAATTTTAAACAATAATGCCTATACTTACTGGGTTTTTGTGCTCAGGGTGTTGCTTGCACTGCCATGTTGGTTGCTGTTGTCACTAAAAAACTGGCTCTAAACAAAGGAGAGAAGCATGTACACTTCTTCATGCTGGATATACAGATCTCAAAAAGGGTAAGTCATGAAAACTTTACTTTAAAGGTGCACTATGAGAGTGCACCACTTACTTCACTTACGTCTCCCATGATGTTGAGATGTTATTGTTTTGTCTGCAGTATGACATTTTACTAATTTATCTTGGAATCATTCAATTTTAGATATTGTTATTGGTAAATACTTTGTTAAACCTGTTCTTACTGTGAGCTGGGTTACTTCTTAACTGATCTGACCTGCAACTTAGCCAGGCTAAGTAGCTTTCTTTTTGCCTTCCTACACTGTGAAGCATTCTGCTCAAAAGAGTTACATCTCCATGGAGACAAATCATTTCCCATATGGATCAATACAATTTGTCTAAATTTAAGTATAAGTCTAAACAGGTGTTTCAAGCAGGCCCTCCATCATCAAAGTTACACAGTGCTGTGAAGTTGTGAAATGTTGGAAACTTACACTACTGTCAAATGTATATGTTCTGAAAAATGTATAGACAGTTACAAGACAATGCTCCTCTTTGACTGCAATGACTGTAACGACGGTACTAAACAGTTGTCATCAATTGGGATCATTTTAATCCCAAATGTGTTCTTCAGTTTCCCTTCATATGGCCGTAACTTCCATTTTTAGAAAGTGGAAGCTGTTAAGCTCTGGAAAAATGTCCAGGAAAGGAAAATAATTGGTGTCACTTAAGGACAATGCACTCATAGTTAAAAAAGTACATAACCACCAATTAAGATTATTCTATTATGCAATAGTAACAATAAAAAATGTAAGGATTTTAGAAGCAGAAATAAGTAATTTCTTTTCAATCTATGCTCAAAAGAGTCAACAATACTGTGAAGTGCTGGCTGTTATTGTCACATTAATGTTACCTTTTCATTATTTTTTCCCCCCTCACAGTAATATTAATACTAACATTTTATAACATCTCTACACACATTTTGCTCCTCCTGTGAATTTTGCCTGATGTCCCATTGCAAAATGTGTCAAACCTGATGTAAATACACGGTTCTTGGGAGGATACAACCATTTCCTGGCCCTCGATGGCTGCATCCTGTCCCAAGGAGCATCCTTACGTGGGGCCTGGCCTTTATTTGGGTTTTTGCGTGTGTGCTGAGGTTACGGGGCATCCGATGTTCACACTTACACTGGTGGGAACAAGGGAAGACATCTGGAAGGGACACTGGACAGGAGCTATTATTAACCTCCACTGACATCATCAGTTGGACTTTTACAGTGAAGGGGGTAGGAGGACAAACAGACGTAAATAGAATGAAAGAGCAGATGACACATCTACTCTGATAAACTGAGTTTCAGATTAAATAACGTACTATGAACTCCATCATGACATGAAAACATCTTATGAAAATGACAAGATTATTATTTTTTTTTTATAATTTGTAGATTTTTCATATTTCTTGAAAATGCCCAATAATTAATGCCAGAATACTGGCCTGGTCCTCCCTCTGATAACATTATGAAGAAGAGAACATAGACCAGTGGTTCACAAATGGCCCATACTGAAATTTGAAGGAATACATTGGACTATGTATTGTGTTGAAAGTGAAAGCCAAATTATCTGACTTTAGATAAAAGCTTCGCACATCAGTTTTTTGAGTCAGGTGCATAGGAGGAGAGGGCGTTCCACACAATATTATAAGTCAAGGTCAGATAGTGTGAGTATCTCTTCTTCTAACCATCCTTAAAAAAAAAAAAAAAAGAATGGAAATTTTGATTGATCAATACATGTTTAAAAAACATTTCAAACATTTTTATTTTCAAACGGGACAAAGTACATTTCTCTTATTTTGCATTTGCTACTGCATATCTAATAACAGGTTATTTGTTACTCAGACAAAATGGCAAAACAACAACAACAAAAAACAACAAACTAGATATAGCGTACAAAATTTTTTAATAAAAATAACTAGTATTTGCAATGTTTGGTCTCACTTTCAGACCAGATGAAACCAATCATTCATTCAGACATAGTTTAAAATGACTGCTTGGTACAGATATTACTGAAGCACAGTTTGGGTTGAAACATAACTGACTTCCTAAAATTGTAGATTAGATGTTCATGTTGATATCATTAAAGTTTTTCTTCCTGTGTTGAATCATATGACTGACAGATTCGCCATGCTGCTGCTAACGTGCTCAGAGAGTGCTGGCTGTTGCACCGTGCAAACCTGAGTAAGGGGAACCGTGGGGAGCATCGGAGGCACCAGCGCTGCCTCCTGGAAGCTATTCGAATGTGAGCGACCTAAACTTCTGCACCAGACAACATTCAGTGCAGTTTATTTTTGTGTAGCCCAAAATCACAACAGCAGTTTTTATTTAACCAGGATAGTCCCACTGAGATTAAGGGGGAGTTCTGGCTCCACATTAGACATGTTTTTAGTGGCAGGGGAAACTGGAGTACCCAGAGGAAACCTACATAGGCATGGGGAGAACATGTAAACTCCACACAGAAAGGCCCTGCAGCATTGCAGACATGAACCCAGGACCTACTTGCTGTGAGGCAAAAGCGCTAACCACTTTGCCACTCGCATGGCTTAACTAAAGTGTGGATTTAACCCACTGTGAAACAGTTAATAAAAGTTCAGTGGGCCATCTATAGATATAGTATAATATATATACTGTATATATATGAACAAGGAGTAACATCTTACATGTTTAATAATATGATGGAAAAAAGAGTACAACTTCAATTTGTTACAATTCAATTTGTTCAAGTTGTTACAATTTGTTATAGACACAATAAATGACAATACTACATCAATATTAAAATGTAGTATGTATGTTTTTTTGTATTAAAGGTTGTATAGAGGATTTTCCAAGGAACGAGAAATCCAGCGACTGTTTGTCCTTTTTCAAATGTTGCGCATGCGTGAAACCACCCCCCCTCCCCTACAGCTCCTACGTAGAAACGCCTCCTCCCGCCTCCTCTTTACGCCAGAAACAGGTTTGTTTACAGCCGGTGCGCTGCACATGACTTGTAAACAACTAACTACAGTGTTGGTTAGGCAAGACGGAGAAGTGAGGAGCGGGTGTGCGGACATTTCGTTCGCGGACGAGAAGTGAGGAGCAGGGAGAAGAGCGGAGCAGGGAGCAAGGAGAGGAGAGAGGAGAGGAGAGGGGAGCGGTGCGCGGAGATTCCGTGCCCGGAGAAGTGAGGAGCAGGGGAAGAGCGGAACGGGCAGCGGGGACAGGAGCAGGAAAGGGGTGCAGAGAAGGTTGCACGGAGATTCCGTGCGAATGAACTAGCTACAACACGCAGCAGCAAGCGGACTCTTTCTTTGCCTTGAAAATTACGTTTTCAGACATAGGATATCGCTTTCGTGTCCTGAAAAACGTTTGACTAGCTCTTGGAAATAAAGTACGTTTTCATAATAAGCAGAAGTGACCTGTCCAGGAGTAATTTGGCGACCAGTGCGTCAGTCTTTAGACCCTGCGTCTGCTTCAGTCGCGCCATCGCTGGAATGAATCTTCAAGAATCACCTTAGTTGGCTTCGCTGCTTTTCCCCTTGTCTTCTTCTTTCAGCGACCTCAAAAACGGACTTTCTTTTGCGGCTAACTGCTCCTGGATTCTTGTCTGCCATTGCAACAAACTTTGTGCTAACTGCAAGGAAGATATAGGTCAAAAAAAGCCGCTAAGAACTGTTGCGTTGGTGGAGTAAACAGCGTCTGTGCGGCTTGCGTCTGTGGACTGCGTGACAGGCGTACGTAAACCACGTACCGGCGGCGCGCAGGCAAGTCAGTTACGCTAGAAACGTAGGGAGATTGATTGACAGCCTGTCAGCTAACAGATAACGAGGCAGTGTCGTTATCTATTGGCAAATGTTTAGCCCCACCACGTCCAGAGTTGATGAATTTTTATTCTCTTTTTTTTGGTCATCATAATTACAAGGCTACTGCACCTCTATAATGCTATCATTGACAATTTGAAACAAAAAAAAATCCTCCATACAACCTTTAATTTATTTTAATGGGACTTGCCAAAATCCTTCTATTTATATTTTAGAAGCACACAAATGATGCATACGTAATTGTTTTATGAAAAAAATTATCTTCACTCTTAACTAAAATGTTTTCTCAACAGATTCCGCCATTTAAGACTTAAACAGAGGAAATTAAGAGACTTTGCCAGTGAAATGGTGGACCTCCCAAAGATGCAGATGATAATGTGTGACCTAGGCGCTAACTGGAATAACTCTTATCGGGAGCTGGAGCAGCGGATACTGTCCATGGAGCAGAAGCTAGACGAGCTCCACCACTCCTTCCAACAGACATCTGAGCTGCTCTCTCATTTCCTGCGACAGCGTTCACCAGAGATCAGGTAAAGGGGTCTCACTGCAGGAGGCGAGTGGTGTAGGTCTGTGTAATATTGAATGCATTGTTTAATTTCAGGTGACAGGGCTGAGTGAGTGAAACAATGGAGAATGAGTGGGTGACCCCACTGCACAGGGGTGGCTGAACATGCTGAACCACTTGAAAGACTGGCATCCCGACCAAAGATCTCATCTTCTGGCCCAGTGTTCAGCACCATGACTCACCACTGTAGAATTACACAGAGAACAGTGAAGGAATCATAGGGCATTTGATTGATTTCCTGTGTGTTTTTAATCAGTTGTACAAAGTATTTGTGACTAAGCCTCTCGTGAACTGAACTCAGCTGTTGGTTTCTGAGATTTGGAAGGCTTCAAGGTTAACAATTTTGTCCATATGTATTCCTATGGAATAAGAAATTATTTTTGTTGTACAGTATTTTAACTATTGCCTCTGTTGAGCTGTGTTTAATTCATTAAATAACTCAAGATTATTTTTAAGATTAAATCAAAAGGTCAAAAAAAAAAAAGTCTTATAGTCTTATTGTGCCATCACGTTTTATTGAACCAAATGTACACGTCTTTACAAATGATAATAATCCAAGTTTTCGTTAGACATGTGCTCCCTCTGCTGGACATAGTTCATAGTTTTGTTAATTCCGTAATTTGAAATGTTAAACAAAGTGATGTAATGGCACTTAATATAGTACTTACATACATGCATCTTTTAGATAGGTGTAATACAAAAGCTGAAGACAGTCAAATGTAATGCAAAGGTAAGGCATTGACTGCACAATTCTACACAGTTCTTGCACAGTTCAGCTTTATTAGGCCTATGTGTTGTATTGAGTTTTGCCTTTGTTGTACCTATATGAAATTTTTCCGTGTTTAAGTTTAAAGTTACAAACTTATTGATTGTCTATTGATCAAACTGGGAAACTTGTATTATCAGCCATGGCCATGGAGGGTTACAGATTAAGTGTAGTACCTGTGTTTACTTATGTAAGAGTCAGATAAGTTATTATTATCTTTTCAGTCAAAACAGTCACAGTAATTTATTGATAATACATTACTTAAAAATGCCATACTCAATGCCTACAAATAGGCCAGTTGTTCCAGTTAGTTTTATATTTCCGAGTGAACATTACTGCAAACCTTTCACTAACACCTCACAGGTTTTCAAACAAAAAACGTTCATCTTATTTTCTGGAAATATGAAAATAAAAGTCATGGCAAAAAAATACATCTTGTTGTGCTGTTGTTGTTATGCGCCATCGGAACCTTTGAATATTCTAGTCCCTGTTTTACTCGGAAAATCTAAACCGACGGTATTTGTGCATTTAATTTGTAATAGAGGACGTTTTCAGACGGGCGGAGTCTTATTGAGCACGTGTAATGTCGCTATCCGCTCAACTGCGCATCCTATTGCAACAAAACCAAGTGGTCTGGAAAGGAGGCAAATATTTACATCCAGCGAGAAGGTTGAATACGCCACTGAAACGTCTATTTTATTGATTTAGCGACACATTTCTGTCACGGTGGTTTTGTCCTTGAGTAGTACGGTTGTGGTGATTTCGTGGTGTGCCATGTCGGAGTCGGGACACAGTCAGCCGGGAATGTACTGTCCGGGGCGCAGGAGGAGACGTCGCCGGGGTGAGAGAGATGTGGGCCCCCCAGGACAAAACCTCTCTGGACCGAGCCGGGACCGAGAGTACCAGCCCAGAGAGCGGAGGGTCAGTCTCATCCATGGATCTGATATAAGATAGTTATATCCAACACCATATTAAGTCTGTACTGTAGGTCTGAGTATGCTATTCATTAATGGGCTTCACATTAAAACACACAGTTCTCTATAGTCACATGAAGCCTACTGATTATTTTTGATGTGGTCGGCTAAATGGAGCATCAAAACAACAAAAGACACAATTTCCACATATATGTTTCTTTCTTTCAGTACCATGTAATTACACATTGAAAACCTAAACTCTACATGTGTTCTGAATTGTGTTTACTGAAGCACAATGACTTGGTCCCCCAGTTTGCCCTGAGTAGATTGACATGGTGTTTGTTTCTAGGACGGGAGCGAGGAACCACCTGGACCACTTATTCAGAAGACTCCAATTATTCTGGCTAAGCCCCCAGCAGAAAGGGTAAGAATTAAAGATGTTTGAGAAATCATACATTAGCTAAGATGAGCAATATAAACATGCATAAATGGATTCTGTAATCTGACAACAATATCTACTTGTCTTTAGATTCACTCGGCTATATTAAGGAGTGTCAAGTTTCAGTTTGTTTTGGTTACTTTCTTCCAGGCTAAGACTACACAAAATGTAGCTCCCAGTGGAGGACCAGTTCTTGAAAAGCCTATTATGCTGATGAAGGCCCGTGACGATGTGGGTAAGCCAGGCACCCCTCCAGAAGCAGCTGCTCAGCCTCCTGGAGCTGGACCCTCTAAAATAGAGCGAGAGGGGCAGCGTCCCACTCAGCCAGTCTACCAGATACAAAACCGAGGAATGGGTGGATCAGCAACAAGTAGTGCTGTGGACCGTGAGTTCAGTATTTATAATGATAAATTAATTTAGTTACTTCTCAACATGGGTAAATAAATTGCTATTTTATTCTTTTTACAAGCTTTGGTTGGTCAAGCTAAATTAATTCCTCCTGAGAAGATGAAACACAGCATTAAGTTGGTGGATGAACAGATGAATTGGTGTGACAATGCAATGGAGGTAACAGTTTACATTGCACATGTTACAATTATTAACATTTTCTTAAATTTAGATCTATATCTCCTATTATTGTTATTATTACAGTATTTAAGAGACCAGACAGACATGTTGGTAGTTGGAGTCATTGGTCTGCAAGGCTCAGGAAAATCAACTGTTATGTCCCTGTTATCTGCCAATACACCTGAGGAGGATCCAAGGTAAATGCTAGAAAAAAAGAGAGAATGAGCTGATTTGGATACACATTGAGGACAGACATTTTTAGTGGTTTATTTTACTCAAAAACATTGAACCCTAACCCTATTAACTTGTTGAACAGGGCTTATGTATTCCGAGCCCAAACCCAGGAAATCAAGGAGAGAGGAGGTAACCAGAGCTCAGGGGTGGATTTCTTTATTACACAAGAACGTGTTATATTTTTGGACACACAGGTAAAACTATAATAACAATAATCTATTTTATCTATGTCCTATATTGTTCTGATATATTTTAGGTGCTTAATCTTCTGATTTTTTAATAGCCCATTCTCAGCCCATCCATTCTTGATCACCTCATCAACAATGATCGGAAATTACCTCCAGAGTACAACCTTCCTCACACATATGTTGAAATGCAGGTATGCAATAACCAGCAGAGGGCAGTAGCAGTAAAGTTTTGGCCTTTCCATTTGTGTCTAACTGAAATTTTCAATGCCATTTGATTTGTTTTTAGTCTTTACAGATAGCGGCCTTCCTCTTTACAGTATGCCATGTTGTAATTGTGGTTCAAGACTGGTTTACAGATATAAACCTCTACAGGTATGTAGGCCATGAGATTCAGCTAAATCTGTGTTTAATATTTATGTTTTGATTCATATCTAAGGATTTTGAGAAACTTGTATTTCACCATTTAGAAATTAATCCATAAGCCCCTTCACATTAATTACATTAAACATTAGCAAAGACAAGACTAGACCCACAGATTGTTCAAATCAAATATAGCTTTTACTGATACAGTGGCAATGCACATTGAACATGATGTCTCATTTATTTACTGTTTTGGTTCTCAAGACGATTAACCAACCAGAAAACAGAATGAGCCTCACGTGAGTTCCTCATTTCACCAGTTTCAGGGTTAAAATCTGATTGGTTTAAACCTTAAAGGACTTTCTCTGATCTGAATTCGCACTGCCTAAAACCCAGCATTTACAGCCAATCATTAATCAGTGCTAGTACAGCCCCTGAGTGACTTCTGAAGGTTCTGAACATGAGGCATGGTCTTTCCATATAATAAGAAAAACTTGTATGTGTCCTCTAACTGCAGGTTTAGGCTCTGACAACCCAAGTTCAGTTGTGATTGTAATAACTTTTTTAATCATTAAGGCTCAATACACAAACTACATTCACAAATTATGTTCCTGAAAGAATTTCCATGTTTTTTTTTTCTAAAGTCTTTTTCTCATCTGTGCTTGTTTTTCCTTGTTGGATCTTGAGGTTTTTACAGACTGCTGAGATGCTGAAACCTTCCACTCCCTCTGCAAGTCACGACAGCTCCGGCTCTGCGGGCAAAGAAGACGGGGCTGAATACTATCCTCATATAGGTTTAATGAGAGATTTCTGATTTTTCCCACACTCTCACTGCTTCATTATTCAACTGTTCATTTTCTTTACAGTTTTTCTCCAGAATAAGACAAGAAGAGATGATTTTGCCCAAGAAATATGAAGAATATGCATATGGTGGTAGACAAATTGATGTCACACTCTCATCTTAAATACAAAGGTTAAATTAAAGATTTACTAGTACTCCAAATATATTGAATAAGGTTCTACGCAGTGATGTGTGAAATGTATTGTGTAACGTATTGGTAATTATTGTTTCAGGTACATTGTCAATGCTAGACTGTAACATCTTTCCTGGATTGAGATCAGACTACCTCGAAAATGAGGTCAATATGTTTCTACTTCCCGTGCAGGAAGTTGAAGAAGACAATTTGAACAAATCAGGTGGGTCTTTTGAATTTCTAACATATAAAATAAATGTAATATAAACTATATTATGCTATTTTTTGCCAGGGCCAGGTACATACCCTCTCTTCTCTCTACTTCCTGGGTACAGAGGGCATCCGACTTTTTCTGCTATGGTTTTCAAGCTTCGGAGTCAGATACTAGCCATGCCTCGCTGTCAGCTCTCACACACTATACTGACAGAGAAAAATTGGTAAATATTTCTTATACATTTTTCAGTTGCATAGATTCTTTTTGCAATAGATTATTTCTTTGCATTTATCATAATGAAATGTAATCATAGTACTGATCTATACACACGATTTGAGCATTTACCATTGAAATAAGTTACATACTTTTATTATTTACTGTTTGTCTGACAGGTTTCATTATGCTGCTCGGATCTGGGATGGAGTAAAAAAGTCATCAGCTCTTTCTGAATACAGCCGCCTTCTCTCTTAATGATGTTATGCTCATGTTGACTTGAAGACATGCAGGACTTTACAATTACTACAGAATGGATACTGGCAAAGAGCAAAGGACGATAAAGCTATTTCTTTAAATTGTCCTGAAACAAACTTGTGTATCTTTCCAAAAGCCCATCCCTCCCCGTAGGAGTAATATGTATGTACATGCCCACAGTAACTTGGAAGTAGTTTGGAATGCTATGTCAGAATTCTTTGTTTTGCATACTGGTCCTTACTCCTTTGTTTCTATTGATGTACTGTACATAAACCTTTTTTGCTATTACTATTATTTTGTATTTTTTGACATGTTTATCTTTACCTTTGCTGGATTTTCATGTTCATATATTTTTTACTACTTACATCCTGCACTGTGCATCAGTGCTATAGTCCTTAAAACAGTCACAATATATTTATATTGTTCCTGCCAGCTTTTATTGCTGACTGGACAAATACTAGGTTATAGTTAATTGCAGAAGATTTGTCACCAAAAATATGCATATTGTTTTAAACACAAAATAATAATTTAAAAAGCCTTAAAAAGAGGAATGCTTTTTAACCCTGGATAACTCAAGGACCTGTTTTTTGGGGGGGGGGAATTATGAACTCTGCATTAAATGATTGCTATAAGTTCACTGAACTCCAAAATATCAACTTTTTCAATTTTAACTCTTTATTCCCTAATTTAAGATTTGGGCCAAATCTGACCCATTGGAATTTAGGTGTATCATTTCAAAGAATCACAATAACAAACACTATCAATGCAAACTATTTTTAATTTAGGAAAATAATCAGTCAACCACACAGGTACATTTAACAATGCTTTTTTTGTTTTATTTTTTGCATGTTAGAACTTCAAATATACAAACATACTTTGGCCAATCGAAACAAGAACACTAGGCCAGAGAGAGAGAGAGGAAATAAAACTAGAGAGAAGAAATAAAAGAAGACTTTGAAACAATTTCTTTTTTTGCTGATGCAAAAACCAACCAACCGAAACAAGAACAAAAGGCCAAGATCACGACTGATAAAAACTAACACTAACAACACAGCACATCGACGGCGATTTTCCTCCTTGACAAGCCAATGGGCAGTGTTGGGGAGTAACGGATTACATGTACCGCCGTTACGTAATCAGAGTACAAATTATGAGTAACTGTATTCCGTTACAGTTACTGTTTCAATGAGTGGTAATTGGATTACAGTTACTTTGCTGAAATAAGTGGATTACAAGGCGGTATTTTCCCGTTTTCACATTTTGTGCTACATCCCATTTATTTATTTTTTTATTTCGGTAATTTCACTCATTGCCGGAAACCCAAACAGAACGCGCGCAATAAGAGCGATGGAAACGTCATGTTAAAGTTGGCGGTGTAAGTCACACAGTGGAAGCAGCAGTGCATTGGTAAAAACGCATTTGTGTCTTGGAAATTCTTCTCCCGATGTGAGATATATATAAAAAAACAAATATAAAATCGCCTACAACTTAAATGTGAAACCGGAGCTACTGGCACTGGTGAAAACAACCTGCATAGACTCATAATATCTGCACTACTGTCCTATAATGACCTGCGACATGAGTGGACACACACACACACACACACACAAACACACACAAACACCTTCATCATCGTCATCAACCTGAGAACCCGCGGACCACTTCTCCTTCCGTAGTTACAGCGCGGACACCGCCGTCTCGTGAGCCGCGTTTTCTCGCGTAAACCGCACTTCCTCCTGTGCGCCTCTAAACCAGAACTAACACCAGGACTAAACCAGGACTAACACCAGGACTAAACCAGGACTAACACCAGGACTAAACCAGGACTAAAGCAGGACTGAACCAGGTTTAAACTAGGACTAAACCACGACTAAACCAGAACTAAAGACCTGGTCTAGACCAGGTCTAAAAATCAGGACTAAACCAGGACTAAACCAGGTCTAAACAACATGACACCTAACAGTAGGTTGACATAATTTAAGGTGATCTCATATAATTTCTCTATCAATAATATTTTTTAATCTGGTGAAGGAAAGGCTGATCTTGTTACTGTCTTTTAACAGACAAAACCTCTTATATTAAGATCTCGTGGTCTTTGTTTTTCAACAGCAAACAGTTGCTTATTCATGGTGACTTGGGCTCAGACAAATTGAAGACAACAAACACGAATTTTGAGGATGTGGTTGCTACATTCATGTCGTTTAAAAAAACATGACAGTATCAAGTAATCCAAAGTAATCAGATTACGTTACTCACTTTAAGTAATTTAATGGATTACGTTACAAATTACATTTTGGGGTGTGTAATATGTAATCTGTAGGGGATTACATTCTAAAAGTAACCTTCCCAACACTGCCAATGGGTGATTTAGTCGAAACGAACATCTGCACTCTGATAAACTCAAACAAATCTTGGTGGTGTCAGGAAGGAGGGGCCAGGAGTTGGTGGTCTACCCGGTTGTCTTGCTGTTCCAACTTCAACTAAGCCTTGAGCAACCAAACCCTTAAACTTGCGAAGTTTGTGTACTTTAGATCCAGTGATTCCCTGTGCCTCACAGTCACGCTGGTAAAGAAGCCATGCGTTGATCACCACTACAGACAAGAAATGCCAAAAAAGTATCATATACCAGCGATGGGTCCTGATGGGAAATTTACAGCGTGCAAGATGTGCATCCAGCATGTCAACTCCTCCCATGGAAGCGTTGTACTCCTTGATGAAGATCGGTTGATCAGTGTCGGTGTACTCTTTTTTGGACTTGTCCCATCGCTAAGCTCTGGTCCAGCATACGCTGACAAACAGTGTTGGTGTTGGACTCGATTCGATAATCATAGGATTCACGGCCTTTCTTGGACAGGTCTTTGTCCGTCATCAGGTTGCACTTAGACATGCGTTTTTTTCACACTATTCCTGTGTAGTAGATTCCCTTTGCCAATAATTTCTCAATGAGGGACATTGAAGTGAAGAAATTGTCAGCGAAAATCAAGAAATGTACTTTCTCTGGAAGCGATTCGCATAGCTTCAACACAATGTCTCCACCAATTCCCAACTGACTCTTTCGTTTTGGTTCAATGCCACCACCTTTTCCCTGATATATGTCAGGAGGCCAGTGACACAGCAGCGCGCCCTCACTTTGAATCCCCACGGATGTGGCTTCCCTTTGATGTACTGCCTTATGCCACCAAATGTCCCTTTGTATGGCACCATCATCTCATCGATGGACTGTTTTTGGCGAGGAGCTATAGTCAGACATTGTCTCCGAAAAGAATCCAAAAATGGTCTCAGTTTCCAAAGTCGATCCTTTTTTACTTCTTCACTGGCCATTTTGTTGTCTACAAAGTGGATGACGGTGAGTAGCAGGCTGAATCGGTTGCGACTCATTACGTCTGCTACAGGCCCATAACGAACTTCACTTTCCCAGTACTGATGGACTCCAGACATTTGAACTAATCCCATCCTGAGATACATTCCTAGAACTTGTTCCATTTCCTTTACTGAAGTGTCTACACATTTCCCATACTTTTGAACACTGTGTCGATTTGTATGCTCAACAATATTTTCCAACATATCAAGGGAAATGAAGCGTCGAAAGTAAACCAGTGGCGTATCTGTTGTGGCATCCTGATACGACTCAACCTGTTCACCTTGAAAGCTCACATCAGGCACCTCAAAGCCTGCTGTCTGTACATGCCCAAAAATTAAAATGGCATAGTTTGAATTTGTACAACCTGCTTACACCTTAGCTTGTCTTACATTTGCATATTAACCAACATGCGTGAAAAATGTCTAAACTTTGTTTTTGTACTTGAGTCCTTCAGTTGCAAGACACTTTGCAGTAACTATTCTAATGGTTATTTCAGTCAAAGGGTACAATCTCACAAAATAAAATAACACATCCCCAAATTTGAAGAGAGGGAGTGGCCAAAGGTTGATAAATTTTTTTTCCAGATGAGAGCATGACACAGCACACTGGTTCTCACAACATACAGCAGCATACTAACCCCAAACATGTATCTGTTTTTTCTAATCAGTGGGATTGTCTTTATTCCACAAGGTAAGCAGGTATATTTTTATTAGTAGAGCAATGGTATCCTCTAATATTGTTGTTAACTGTATACATGAATGTGTGTCAAATGTGTGTGTTTTCAGCCTATACTCTAATCTGTAATGAGTGTAGTACTTTTGGTTCCACATGTGAAAGTACTGGATCGCAATGTTCTGAGGCTACTCGCTGTGCAACCTTGAGAATGCTTACCTACTCTGGTTTGTGGCTTGTGCAGAATAAGACACATTTGTGCTGAGTTTGTGCTTCTTGAGACTCAACAAAACCTTTTTATTTTGCAGGAAATACAGAAGAGTTTGATCACATGTTAGGATCTTGTTCCAAGGCTGAACATTGCTATGAAGGCTCATTCAATACCGGAGTTAAGAGGAACTTTTTCACCACCAAGTGCTGTGACACTGACAAATGTAACCGTGAGCAGCCACCCCTTCGTAAGTGCCTCTCTATTGACCTGGTTTGACCTAAAAGGCCACAAAGATAATTTAGAATTTAAATGCATAAGTAATATAATTTTTCCATAGATACAGTCATATCCACTCTTGTTGCCTTGGTTGAGGCAAGGCCTTTATCTATTTTTACATATGTTTACTATAATATATGCTGTGTCACAGGGATGCAACGATATTCGATATAATATCCAATCATTTGATACGGGTGTGTTCCTTCGATACGTACATGGTGTTGTCATTTATTTTCGTTCGTAAAGGAAACAGTTAACAGGGCGTCCTCTTCAGATGTAGGGAGTAAACCACTCCAAAGAGGTTTACAGCTGAAATATTTTGACAGAGGTGGGTTTTATCTTTCAGTCACTTTTTATTTTACGTTCATAGACCCGTTTAAATGCTTTAAAAACACTATTGGCTTTACCTTGGCATTGACTACATGTCTTTGTAATCTTATTATCAGACTCTATCTCATATGTTTTACTAAGAAAATGGTATGTTGAGACATTTGTATGTAATATAACACTGTGCATGCATAAAAGCATAAACTGTAGCAGGGAAATGTGGGGAGGAGCTTTTAAGACAAGGGAGAGCAGCCCAGCCCAGTTAGTCAACTCTAGAGAGCATATTATAACTGTTCTCCTTAAAAAGCACAATTCTTATTTTCACAGAATAAAAATTACCTTTAAATCCTTGAACTAAATGGAGTAACAGTAAAACACTTCACATACAGACTACTTTAAAGTGGTTGTATACTGTAATTTTTGTGTGAAATGTGATGTTTCACACATAAATTACATGTGATCTTTCATGTTAATATCATCAATCAAGTTTTTATATTTTACTCATTAGCAGAAAAATAAATTAATCTGTGACTCATAAAGTTTCAAAATTGAGACACATATTGAATCATGAGAAAACAGTATTATTGCATCACTACTATCGTATAACAATATGATTTTAGTTGTGAAAGTTTGAAATTAAATATTATTAAATAAAAAAGTAACACAGTTTTGCTCAGATAAGGCTCTTGCCTCTTATCTCTCAGTCTCAGCCAGTAGGATTAGCTTAGGTGACGTGGTACTATGTAGCCCAAGACCTTCCCACTGTCCCACAAGTAATGTATCAAAGAACATGTTTTCTTCACTTTCACTTCACCCATCTTGCCACAATGTCAGCATACTGTCAGCTGTTTAAAACTGTGGTTCTGTTTTACTATTATTTATTAAGAGGAAGTTTTTTACCACTAAGGGTTGTGACACCGACAAATTTAAGATGACCTGATTTGACCTAAGTGGCCGCAAAAGTAATACAGAATTTAATTACCTGAATTACCTTTAATTCAAGGCCTTTACCTATTTTTACAAATGTTTACTATAATATATGTTACTGCACAGGGATGCAATGATATTCTATGTAATATCCAATTGTTTGATATGGGTATGTTCCCTCGATATGTACGTGCTGTCATTTGTCATTTTGATCCATAGGGGAAACAGTTAACAGGGCGTCCTCCTTGCAGTTTGATAGTTGCTATTCAGTCAGTGTGTCCTTGGGCAACACTTCACCCATCTTGCCTCCAGTGTCACTGTGACTGGTTAAAATTGTAATACTCTTTTACCATTCCTCAGCAAATATCAAGTCCAACCCGAATGGAAAAAAGTGTTACCGCTGCGATGGAGTCGGAGAGTGCACTGGGACTGTGAACTGTGATGGAGACCAGACTTACTGCGCCACTGGCCAAGGTACAGTCCAGTCAGTTGCACATTTCCTGTAAGGCCATGCCAATGATGTAAGCAGTATTTAGAGTATTTTCTTTTTTCAGATGGAGGAGAAACAGTGAAAGGATGCGCCACTAAGAGCATGTGCTTTAATCCTCCTCCACTTCTACCAGCCAAATTGAAGACTCTTAAGTGCTGTGAGGGAAATTATTGTAATGGGAGCTCAGGCACCACGGCCAGTCTGCTGTTACTGACCACCATGCTACTCTCGCTCTTACTTCTCTCAAACTAAATGTTGGTTGTTTGGTTTTGTCCCCTGTTTTGTCACAGACACCACAACTCTTACCTGTTAAACCTGATTTTGTTTGCTTAGTTTAAGTAATTTGTTTATGCACTGATTTGTGCAGCTATTTTAGATCACTTTTAAATTAAATAATAAGTCTTTTAATTTACCTTTTTACAATCCTTTTAACCAAATTATCACTTTATTTTACCTCTTTTATTCTACTTCCCTATTCCTGATTGAGCTGTGTCATAGCCCCAGTGTCCTCTGCTTTGTGACATGTAAACAATATTACAACCATGCTGCATAAATAAAATATGTTTCACAAATGTATGTCCCCTCTGTTCTGTCTGAAACATTCCAAATATTTTGTGTTGTCCTCCTTAGAGTACCGGTTTTTGTGGTTAAATATCTACAGTCAGTATCTCAGTTCTAAGAGATGGAATAGATAAAATCACTGTTATGAACCTGTGTGCTGAAAAAGGTTCAGTTTTACTTGTATGAAACATTGAAAACATTACAGTTAATTTGCATTTAATTTAGAGTCATGTCACATCATAATAGATCAACAACATCTGCTACCATCAGCAAGTTTATTTCATTTCAGATGTGAAGTGAAAATCATAGGACTTCTCTAAAGCAAAACCATGGCATGTGATCTGTCCTGCATAGGTCTGTCATGATAATTACTATATTGAGTTATCATTCAATACATGACAGATGGAACAATATTTTTTATTGTGTATACATTTATTATTATTTTGTTGTTTATTTTTTGGCTATACGATAAGATTTGAGCCATAAAAGGTTGAATAAATAATTTCTATGACAAATTAAGTACTGAAATGTTTCATTCTGCTGTTTATCTATTTCAACTCAATTTAACAATATTGTACATTTAGAATAGTTTATGTGGTTTAAATCTGCTCTTTGAAATTAGTTTCAATATTATCATTTATTGTCTATATTTATTTCAGCAACATATATTTTCACTTTTAAAACTATTCACTTCAAAATGTGTTATTTTGACAGGCTCCTGTGTGATTCTATGGCAACAGATAGATAAAAACAATATTTTGGAATTTTCTCAATGGAGATCCATTAGTTAATTTTATGATATACTGGATTATTATATCTGAGGGAATGTAATGTAGGTTGACCGTGAGTGGCTTGGGGTTCAGTGAGCAAGGTAAAAAACAAATCCAGACACAGACCGGTACTTGTGGTCCACAGTTTACTTTTGTTTTTTCAATGATTACAAAAGTGCAAGTGCAAAAAGTGCAGGGTGCAAAACGGAGGCAGGCAGCAGTTTCCTCTCCAGCAGCAGAACACAGACTGATCTTGAATGCGCCTTTTATGCCGGTCCTACTGATTGGATAAAACCACTATGCTAAAACAGGGATGGTTAAAATTATCATTAGCGTAAAATTAAAACCTAAACCTCCATAAAACAACCCAAAACCCAGATAACTATTAAAACCACCAACTATATACATAAAACCCTAAAACCATTACACCAATTAAATGTTAAAACCCATAAACCAATAAAATACCTAACCTAAAACCCCTGTACAAAATGTTACACGTGGTCCAGCCCGGAACCATAAAAGAGGGAGCTCATTTCCGGGGGACTCTTTTCACACCTGGACAGAAGATAAAAAGGGGAGGTAAGTAAAAGCAGATCCACCATTCATTAAAACACAATAAAATACACTAAACACATCAACACTTAAAACATTCTAAAACAGATATTGCACCATATTTATTGCACAAAGTCAATTTAAAATGTAATTTATTATTGTCTCCCTTTTCCTCCAGGGACAAGCAACTTCCAATTAAAGTGCTGTGCCCCAGGAATAAAAAATGGTTAAAGGAAAGCCAATAAATATTTTTTAAAACCAATTGTGTGCAATTTATTTTGTGATGTGCAAATATGTTAAAAGTGCTGTGTGCTAGGAAAGTGTAGTGTTTTAAAGTGCTTTAGTGAAGGGTGAAGGTGCATAGCTACAGATAAATAGTTGGAATTAGTACAACAAAATGACACGACAAAATAGCTTTCTCTGTTCTTGTAGATTATAAATATCGACCGCTACACTAGACTTTCATAAGGATCTGAATTATGAATGTAAATGTTCTGGTGCAGCACATGATATGCTTCAAGTATATACTTCATTTCTGGGGTCAAGAATATTATATGCAATTTCCTCTTGTTGTTGAACCTGAAGCACTTGATCAGTTTCCTGTTTTCTCTCTTGTTGTTTTAGGAGGAACATATTTCTCATACTTTTCAGATTTAAAAGGTTTTCTATAACATATTTGATTTGAATATTTGATATGAGAAAACTATAAAGACCTTATAATAATCTTTATTGTGGCCGGGGTAATTTGCTCATATTTGATGGATGCTTTTATCAACATTAGACCACTCCCTCTTCCAAGAATCAATAAACGAGTGATGTTCGTGTTCATCTTCACTTCAAGTAACATTGCAGACTCATTCCTTTAGATCCATCTCCAACATGCATCTGTTTATTCTCATCATCGGGCTTGTGCTTTTTCCACAAGGTAGGACATTTATAATTCTGAAGTTATAAGCATGATACAATGTGCTTAATTATGAAAGTCCTGCTTTAGTTCCATTATAGCTCTTGTTTAGTCCTGGTTTAAACCTGGTTTAGTCCCAACTTAACCCTAATTTTGTCCTGGTTTAACCCTGGTTTAGTCCTGGTTTAAACCTGGTTTAACCCTGGTTTAGTCCTGGTTTAGTTCCGATTTAACCCTAATTTTGTTCTGGTTTTTCACTGGTTTTGCACTGGTTTAGTCTTGGTTTAGCAAGCATTAGTCCTGCTTTAATTTTGGTTTAGTCCTTCTTTAGTCCTGGTTTAGTACTTGTTTATGCCTGATTTACTCCTAAATCCTGCAATTGATTTAGCTTAGTCCTGATATTATTCTTGATTTCTATCTGTCTTGACTTTTAAAGTTCTAGATTAGTACCAAGAAAATGATTGTCATGATAATTTATAACTGGATTTAAATAGTCTTGGTTCAGACCTGGTTTAGGTATGGTTCAGTTTAAGGTTACGTCCACATGATAACGCTCATTTAGTTTAATCATGTTTGACGTGTTGTATGCTCCATCTTCTTTTTGTATTTCAACAGCTTACACTCTGAACTGTTATCTATGTGCTGGTGGCTCAACTTGCACTCAAATGCAATGCCCAAGTGAAAAAAATCAATGTGGAGCAATTAGAATGATCACATATAACGGTGAGAGTAGTTTTCAGCTTGTTGTGAACTATAAAAGAAGGACATAAGAAATTTAAACTTGTGTTTTGCAGGAAATTCAAAGACTTTGGATAACACAAGCAAATCCTGTTTTACCACTCAGGAGTGTATTAAGGGCTCCATAAACTTTGGAGTATCCAGAAATGTTTTTACCAGTGATTGCTGCAATTCAGACCTCTGCAACGACAAAATGATTCCAGGTACGTGCTTCTAGTGTTTAAAAATGCTGAATTTGGTGTATAAATGGCACTGATCACATTGTAAAAATGTTTTGCACCACAGTCTTTTCTATTTTATGTCCAAAAACTAAAAACAATCCACCAAGAAAAAAACAAAACAAAACACTATCTCTGGAAAATTTAATATTATATTATATTATAATATATTTTAGTAATAGTTATATTTTTGTGTATGTTTTCATTATTGATTATGCTGATTGCTTTTAGATTGCAGAAAGTAAATGTAAAATATGTAAAATACATGTTTCAACGTATTACATATACTACGTTGTCTTCAGTTCAAATAAGAGTGGGAGAAAGTATTTATTTCTACCCCTCATCTTGTTGCTGCACTATAAAGAACAGTGCTATTTGAGAATCTAAATATCAGTATAATGTGTAAATTTACATGTGATTCTAATTGTGAACTAAAGAGCCACAGAAACCTAAACCCAATGGAAAGAAGTGCTACCGCTGTGATGGGAATGCAGACTGCAGCGGAACTCTAAACTGTGACGGGGATGAGGACCAGTGCATCAAAGCATCAGGTAAACCATTATCTGTTTACAACAGGCTTACAGGCTCCCAGTGCAAATGTTGATGGGTTTCAGAGAATGTGATAATGTCATACTCCCAGATGGGGGGCAAGAGAGAGTTTTTCATATTGATTACATTGTACTTTGTAATGAAATATCAAAAAATAAAAACACAAATATTGAACCTGATCATTTCCATCAATAGCTCGACCCAATAACTCACTTTATTATAACAAAAATCTGCATTTTAACAACACTGATTTTATCAGCCCCCCATTTGTATTAAATATTATTGGACTATAGAATTTTGTGATATTATCTGAAACCCACCAATAGTCTACATACACAATATTACATTTGTACTGATTAATCTATGATTCAGTCTACTTTACCCCTACACACAGAGTCAACTGTTTTTATCCAGTCTAACAGGAATACAACCTTAAAGTTACAATGTATTTAAGAAATGAATAATATTGAAATAAAGTGAGTAAACAATGTGTTTTTCAATTATATTTGTAGTGACATTAGAGGGGAAAACCCACACCATGAAGGGCTGTGCTACCAAGAGCATGTGTGGGTCCAGCAGCATGAGCATCCCAGGCCTCAGCGGCTCAGTCAGCTGCTGTGAGGGAAACTACTGTAATGGTGCCAAAGGTGTAAGTGCAAACATCCTGGTGCTGGCCACAATGCTAATGTCAATCTATTTTCTTTCTAATTAATTAAGCCAATTAAGCCAGTTAAGCCAATCGCATGTCATTGTAGTGTGTGATATGTTCTGTCTTCTGGAGCGTTTTCTTCACTGCAACAATAGCAGCTGCATGTTTAAACAAGCAGTGATCTAATTGTGTTATTAAATACCCTTTATGCTTTGTCATGTCTTTGTAGTAAATAAGTGATACTGTTACTACTCATAACCCTTATAATGTAAGCTATTTCACAAGAGCTGAATAAAGATGCACATGTGTGGTTGTGGTTAGCATGTGTGTTTCTCATGCTTGTGTTTTTCTTGAGAAGTATGCTGAGACAATGTGCTTGTTTACAACACTTTAATCAATGTTTAATCAATGCAGTAATATATAATGCCAGATAAAGCAAGAGCTGTACATAACGACAAGTGCAATGCTGCCTTTTCAGGGATTTGTAACACAGGAATCCTCAAAACATAATATAGGCTAATATTACTTACCATATTATACTTTCTAGGGATGCACCGATCCAGGTTTTCCTGTTCCGATAGTGATGTAGATACTTTGGCTGCCGATACCCGACATTAACAGAAACTAAAAATATTATTTATTTCCTTTAAACACATTGATTAAGTATTTTAAATAAAATGATAGGTCTTGTAGTCAATAGTGTGTGTGTGTGTGTGTGTGTGTGTGTGTGTGTGTGTGTGTGTGTGTGTGTGTGTGTGTGTGTGTGTGTGTGTGTGTGTGTGAGTGAGTGAGTGAGTGAGTGAGTGTGTGTGTGTGTGTGTGTGTGTGTGTGTGTGTGAGTGTGTGAGTGTGTGAGTGTGTGTGTGAGTGTGTGTGAGTGTGTGTGTGTGTGAGAGTGTGAGTGTGTGTGTGCGTGCGTGTGTGCGTGCGTGCGTGCGTGCGTGTGTGTGGGCAGCTGTGGGGTTTGTCATGGAATTTACTCCGACCTCAAATATTAAAGAACATGCCAGAGACACAGTGGTTCGTTTTACTTGCGCAAGGAGTAGGAGAGAGCTGCCTGTCTCATCCTAACTGAAGCTCTCTTCTCTCCAATGCCCTTTTATTGTAGAGCACACAATTAGCATACAGTAGGTTACTTTGAATACAGTACCTATTGTTCACATGTTGTCTCATGACTGACAAGCTTCCACTGACACAGCCCCCCATTATACACAGGTTTCACATTCCAGGTGGTAGAGCCTCTAGCTATTCCCCAGAGTTCTGTGTTAACCTCATGATGTTTACCATTACTATTTGTTTCTCCTGGTACATTATCTTTAATGAGTCAGCCAACACATCATCCATATCACCTGATACAGCTTGAACACAACAAAACAAGACAAAACAAAAAGCCAATGTTGATAACTTCTACTACATCATGATTACCTTTACATGAATCGGCCTTTAAATAATTAACACTTTAAATGAGAAATGCTTATTACATAAAAATTCTCTAACAGGGTTGGGCTGGGTGGGTGGAAGGAAATGCGGGATTGTTTTTAATCACTGTAAAGCACTTTGTGTTACATTTTTGTATGAAGAGTGCTTTATAAATAAAGTTTGATTGATTGATAGTTACCACATAGCTGATTAGCTGATTTAATACAAATTTATTCAGGAAAAATGAATAAGAAATTTAGTTCCAAAACCAGGGGGTGCGTGCACATGTCTGTTATTGTCTGATATCGGTGGGTTTGGTAAATGCTGTTTGGTATCTGTGCTGTTTGATAGCCTAATGCTGTTTGAACACAGTCTGCTGCATAAAGGGGAACAGTTGGTTGCCTTGCACTGTTATGACCTCGCTGGTGCATTTGGTGATTTTGTAGAACAAATAAAGCTGAATATATTAATTATAATAAATTTGAAGGAATTTTAACCTATATTTTTACAACACAGTTCTGTAGTTACATTTGTATATGTATGTATATTTAAAAAAAAAAAAAAAAAAAAAAAACTGTTTCTCACCTTCCACGGTGGTTGGTCTCTCTCACCCTCATCCAGCTCTGGCCTCGGAGCATGAGAGTTCTGCGCAGTATCTGTGCTGTTCTTAGTACTGCACTTTTCTGGACTGAAATGTCCAGATATATATACAGAAGTGCGTTGTAAAAAGTACAAGTTTCAAATTATGAGACATTTTGGGCCAGTAAATCATTTTATTACACTAGTTTATAGACCAAAATGGGATATCAGCAGAACTAATATCAAAATGTCAAAATGTTCAGTATCAGCATGATACCAGTATCGTTTCGGTGCACCCCTAGTCACAGTGTGGGAAGTGCCTCAGCTGATCTCTTTTCAGGGCGTGGGTGCCTCTGCAGACAGTGGTTCAAACAAAGCCATTTCAATTCACCAAAAGAGACAGTTTAACACAAGTAGGTCTACAGCAGTGGATACTCACTTCTGAGGAGAAGGGCAGCGTGCTTTAGGTGTGGCTGGATCTGCAGCAGCACTGCTTCTAGGAGACATTACAACAAAAAGGATAGCAACTCCTCATTTATAGATCTGTCATATTTTCTACTTATGTTGATGAAACAACATGAGTATAGCTTTGCTATTGTCTTGGCATTTACAGTCTTGAGCTTTCATTAATAGATTCATCTGGAAACACTATTTGTCACAAAACCATCTAATTTACATATATTTTTGTGAATGCAATGCCCTTTACACCAAGGGTTTGTTTGCTAAGTAACTGTGTACGGGTTTACCATTAGTTTTTCACTTACTCATGTGAGTTCCTCTTTTGCCATACAACACGATCATCACTTCTTCTGCAATGTAAAAAGATTTTTACTATACACCTTGGTAATTAATTCTATAAGATGATTTAAGGTCCATACCTGGAGAATCTTTGCCAAAATGACCTCCTATGTGAAAAACAAAACAAAAACAATGCAAGAATTATAAACAACAACTGGAGAAAGTAAAATTTGTGGTCATACCGTTTTTCAGGCCTTGGAGGTCTTCCACTTGCTTCTTTAGTCCTAAAATCACAATTAACACACTTTTGGGTTATTATATAATGGAACAACTGATGTTTTAAGAAATTATACTGTACCTGTTCAGTCTTTCAAACAGCGACCTCCTGTGTATTGCAAAGGTTTAAACATTTTTCAAAATTAGCAAAAAACATATGCATTTATTTAATCATTATCCAAACGTGCCTTTTTTCCGGGCGAGGTGGAGGTCTGAGTGAGTCATCCAATTTTCTCCTGTTAATGAATCAATATTTTTATTTCGAGAAGCTGTTGTTTGAAACCAGAAACCAGATACTTCTTTACCTGTTTTTGCACATGATCACTCCAAACACCACAGCTAATATTATGGTTATAAGGACAAAAAATGTGACTGGAGCAATTATAGGAATGGACCTTCTCATCTGGTGAATCAGAGAACCTGGAGACAAAACATTTAAGGGTAAGGATAAGTGGTGTAAGGTAATGAAGACTACTTCAATACAATTTTAGACATCTGTATTTTACACTTTACTTTTACTTATCTGCTCTGTTTTGAGAGCAGGTGTCTATACTTTTTCACTTTTTTTACTTTAAAGAACAGTTATAAATGAGCTTTTACTTAAAGAATATGGTTCTTGTATCTCTACCTTAACAGAATAGAACTGAGAACTTCTTCTGCTACTGGTAATGATGTAAAATATCAAATGAGTATTTTTTTTATAACCTTTAACAATGAAGTGGCTTGTGTTGGATTCCTGTTTGTTCCGCCAGAAGTTAGCTGTGCATGTCACACTGTTTTGCCCATCTCCATTTGGTACAATAAAGGAGATGTTAGAGGTGGTTTCCCAGACTCCAGTTTTCATAGCTGTGTGTGTAATGTCATTGGTCAGAGGTGCAATGCTCCACACAAACTCTGGGGGGCGTGTTGGACATGTGTGAGTCACTGAACAAGAAACTGTCATGATAGATCCAGCTGTAGCCTCTGGTAAAGTTTTTGTCATCACAGGTTTTTCTGGGGATGCTGTGAAAAATGAAAAGAAAGAATAAAATATAGTCATACAATGAAATGTTTGTTTTACAAAATTATGGTCCCAAATGTAAACTTCTCCATAAAGAACAAAGCAGGCAGAACTAGACATACTAGACAATGCTCATTTTTCAGCCTTGTACACAATAAATGTCTGTAAAATCTCTATTATTTGTATTAAACTTACACCCTAACATGTGTTGCACCCATAATCTGGTAATGTGTTGTTTAAATCTTATTTAACATCCTATCTTGGACCAGCCATGTAATCCCCAGCATTGCCTAGTCAGTCAATGGTGCAGATTGGCAGCCTTGTTATATAAATCAAATGTTATTATTATAATTATATTATACTGTATACTGTACTGATTACCTACATGTAGGGCTTCTGTCTATGCTGTATGTAAAATTGCACTCTTGAACAAATAAAAACAAGCAAACTGAAGCCTAATCAAAGACAATAAATGCATGAAAAATTATGAACAAACTTCAGAAGTCAGTTATTGAAAAGAAAATTCAGTATTGATAGAAAATGTGAAATCAGTTCTCACCGTTCATGAGCACAAAAGCACAGCTGTTGTTGAATCTGTATTCTGTGCTTCCTTTTTCAGCCTTGAAGCAAAATGGCCCATTGTCAAAGGGCTTGATATCATCGATCTCCAGGGAGCAGTCGCCATGATGCAGGTTGCCCACCATCCGAGTGCGGTCCTTGAAGTGATCGGTGATTTGGCTGCGTCCATTATGATAAACTACACTGCCAGATTGTTTAACCCAGATCCCTCGTGTGAGAAGTAACTTGTGGGGATTTTCGTAGCTGCAGGGGATGACCACACAAGATCGGGACAGGGCTTGTACTCTGAATGGAACACTGGCTGGAAAAGCTGCAAACATAAATGCAGGTATTTCATGTTTGCAAATCTGAAAACTTAGCATCAAACTCCTCAGAGAATAACAATAAGAAGAAAGAACAATTCAACAGAGGAGATTCTGTCACACTAACTTGCAAGAATAAACGGTATGCAACCTTCTTTTCTTCATTGAGAGGTTATTGCTTTGCCTAGAATGTTTCACACTATGGTATTAAATGTATCAGTCTCCATGAAGACATGTCGGTGGCACCTCCAGGCCAACTTACGGGGCTGGGGTTACAAAATTTTACATAAAAGTGTACATTCAGACAAAACAGAAATTCCTCAGGCTTGATCACTTGTCATCTCTCAGAGCACAGACATCACTGTCTTATAACTGCATCTCCTTTTTTATCTGTTTCTTTTATAAATCACACATGTAACATGGAAAGTCATGGAAAGAGAGGTGACCACTCTTACAGTAACAATCATGTTTTTCTAGCTATTTCTGAGCTGAAATGCTGAATAGGTGAGTTTAATTCTGACTCAAGGTAAAGTAATAATATCTCCATGCAGATAAGCAGATGGCAGACCCTCCACCAGAAAAGTTACATATACTCCACTTTTAGGAACAAATTGTATATTTTTGGTATGAATTTGAAGTTTCCAATGGAAGAATAAAGTGAATAAAATATTTGTTTATATTTTACTAAATGAAGTTTAATTTCTTAAAACTTACTGTCATCTTCAAATGAGTTCTCAGGCTTCTTATATCCTGTAAAATGTCAAAAGAATTTTCAATTGTTTATAAGTAAATGCAGTCTACAACTTTTAGTTTTAAATCATAACTTACTCGTAATATGAAGGGCCTCTGTGTCTGACGTCTCACCACCTCGGAAGTGAGCAGTGCATGTCAAAGCTTTACGGTCATCTTTCAAAGAGCCAATGAAGGTGATGTTTGAAATTGTGCGGTAAGAATTTTTAGATATATGTTTGGTGTCTGTTTTATTCTGCATATTTCCAAAGTTCCACACAATATCTGGAGTATTTCTCTTGCACTTGTAGTCAACTGAACACACGACATATTTGGCCATTCCTTCTGTGAGATTCTCTGGCTTCTCAATCATTGTAATCTCATCATAAGGGCCTGCACAGATATAAATGTTATTATTCAATTCATGTTAATTTCACATTTTAAAATTTATGTTTCATAAAATTATAGATATTCCTCTGTCTTTTCAGTAGGTCTTCTAGTCATCATTAAATGAACAATGCAAATGTGTTCAGTACATTCAAAAGTAAAAACAAAACAAAAAATGTATGTAAAAACATTTAAATAACATTTAAAACTGTATTCAAACTGTAAGAAGGGTAGTAATGTATTATCTACTAGCCTGTCAGATTACTAAGGGTTTGGTGCCTATCACCCCCTGCTGGTTCGAGTAGCATAGTACCTCAGCATAACCCCTGATAATACAATAGCCAATAAAATATAAATGCAATATGATGTACAATAATTAATATAAATAAAAATTATTACTTGAATTATAAGATTTGAAGATATTCTTACAATCAACATTTAATTCTGTCTCACTTGTAGCTTTCTGACCCCCGGGATATGACACTGTGCACCTCACTCTCTGATCATCCTCTGACACAGTCCACACTCGTTCGACTCTTTGCTCCCAAACTCCATCAGACAACATGGTGTGCCGAGTGTTATCCTCTCCAATGACCCCAGACAGAGCCAGACTGGGAGGGGCAGAGATACAGGAGTGCTGTACACTGCAGGACACTCTGCTCTGCTCCCCGACCCGTGGAATGCCAATGAGACTCAGCTCAGGTTCTTTGGCATGATCTTTAACATAAATAAAGGCTGCAAGTTACATTAGGGCCGGGCAATATAATCCTCAACAATTGAATTGTGCTCTCATCCCTAAAACAATATGGAATACTGGTGGTATCATATTACGATTCAAAGTATCCTACCACAGTTTTAGCCCTTAAACTTTAACTTCAAATCTGATTGAGAAATTGCACTGCTGTGCTGTACCAAGGCCATTCACTGCCAGCCCAGGCTTTATTATTTTGGCCTATGTCTTCAGAACAATGAAAGCATAGCCAGACTTAACTGAATTAGACTGGAATGGACAATAACCACAATGTTGAGTGCTGGGTCCTGTGCTAATTGTAAATGAACTTCTGCATTATCTATGGTTATAACACATCCAAGAAACTTGCCATATGCATCACCCACCCCTAATTTGCCTAATTCAAATATAACATTTAGAAGAAAAAAAGTAAAGTGAATAATTCTAACCTGAAACAATGATCTGAGTGGTTTGGTCATAAAACGAAAACCCTGTGGTGTGGTAGGAGGTTATGGGGTTCTTGTCCACCCATGGGTACACTCTGTCCTGGCTGTGGGACATCTGCAGTCTCTCAATTTTCAGAGTGCAGTTTCCATCTTTCACCGACCCAATTAAACTTGTTCTGCTACTGTATTTACTGACCATCCCTTGGTTTTGGCTATAAACAGGGGAGTATCCTTTGCTGTCATACAAGTACCATATGACCTTTGGGTCAGTGGGCCGGGAGTGACTGTAAGTGAAAGTGCAGGGGACAACAACACAGGAGCCTGCCATCCCCGAGATACTGCTGGGAGCACTGAAGGACCATCCAAGGGACATCATGTTTCCTGTAAGAGTCAATGCAAGACAAAGATAGTCATGTAATTATGCTGAAATCTTAAAATCTCAACCAATGGGGTCATAGCATATTAGTATTATTATGGTAAGCAAGGGCTTTACAACTTACTTTTAACACGCAGTGAGATACTTGCTTCCTGCCTTTGACCCCCTGTAAAGACTGCATAACATGTGAGAGATTTCCCATGATCTTTAGCAGCAGATATGAAATTCACTGTGGATATGGTTTTCCACAGAGCCTTCCCACTGCTGCTCGTGTGGCTGGAGGCCTCCATGTTGCCATAGTTCCAGGTCAGGGTCGGTTTGTTCTGTGCACAGGTATATGAGGCTGTGCATGTCACTTTAGAGGGTACTCCCTCCAAGAACTCTTCAGTCATAGATGTGATGGACAGAGGTGAGCGGGGGCCTGGAATACAACCATTTAGAGTGATAGACTCAAAAGATAGGCTAAATGTTTTTACACTGTGTTGTGACAGATACCAGGCTTATGCAGTGAGGATGGGGAGAATTTATAATTAAAACTATCCTATCAAGTTGTTTACTGCATTGAGGATTCAGTGTAATAATGGGCTTATTACGCTCTGCTCGTACTACTGACACAGCACCTAAGCATGACCAGTAACAATATGATATCCAGTAAAATATGATGTAAAATATGAGCAAGTAAAACAATAAATAGGAATAAAATGCATTTATAAAAAATAATAATAATTTTAAAGTTAAGGGTAGAATTTGAAAATATTCTTACATTCAACATTTAATTCTGTCTCACTTGTAGCTTTCTGACCCCCGGGATATGACACTGTGCACCTCACTCTCTGATCTTCCTCTGACACAGTCCACACTCGTTCGACTCTTTGCTCCCAAACCCCATCAGACAACATGGTGTGCCGAGTGTTATCCTCTCCACTAACCCCAGACACGGCCAGGCTGGGAGGGGCAGAGATACAGGAATGCTGTACGCTGCAGGACACTCTGCTCTGCTCCCCGACCCTCAGGATGCCAATGAGACTCAGCTCAGGTTCTTTAGCATGATCTGCAACAATTAAAACAATATAATTATCTATTTGTGATCTGATCCAATTTTGGTGATATAATTGTAATTCAGTGCCTCTGTTCAAGCATTTGTAAACATATACCATGTCATGTCATGGCATCAATGTTATGCCATGTGAAATTTCAGAAGCAGCAGAATAATGTAAAAATAATAATATAATAATAGTAATATATTTTAATTCTATGCCACCCACTTCTAATTTAACATTTAAGTAAATAAGTTAACATTTCTAACCTGAAACAATGATCTGTGTAGTTTTGTCATAAAACGAAAACCCTGTGGTGTGGTAGGAGGTTATGGGGTTCTTGTCCACCCATGGGTACACTCTGTCCTGATTGTGGGACATCTGCAGTCTCTCAATTTTCAGAGTGCAGTTTCCATCTTTCACCGACCCAATTAAACTTGTTCTGCTACTGTATTTACTGACCATCCCTTGGTTTTGGCTATAAACAGGGGAGTATCCTTTGCTGTCATACAAGTACCATATGACCTTTGGGTCAGTGGGCCGGGAGTGACTGTAAGTGAAAGTGCAGGGGACAACAACACAGGAGCCTGCCATCCCCGAGATACTGCTGGGAGCACTGAAGGACCATCCAAGGGACATCATGTTTCCTGTAAGAGTCAATGCAAGACAAAGATAGTCATGTAATTATGCTGAAATCTTAAAATCTCAACCAATGGGGTCATAGCATATTAGTATTATTATGGTAAGCAAGGGCTTTACAACTTACTTTTAACACGCAGTGAGATACTTGCTTCCTGCCTTTGACCCCCTGTAAAGACTGCATAACATGTGAGAGATTTCCCATGATCTTTAGCAGCAGATATGAAATTCACTGTGGATATGGTTTTCCACAGAGCCTTCCCACTGCTGCTCGTGTGGCTGGAGGCCTCCATGTTGCCATAGTTCCAGGTCAGGGTCGGTTTGTTCTGTGCACAGGTATATGAGGCTGTGCATGTCACTTTAGAGGGTACTCCCTCCAAGAACTCTTCAGTCATAGATGTGATGGACAGAGGTGAGCGGGGGCCTGGAATACAACCATTTAGAGTGATAGACTCAAAAGATAGGCTAAATGTTTTTACACTGTGTTGTGACAGATACCAGGCTTATGCAGTGAGGATGGGGAGAATTTATAATTAAAACTATCCTATCAAGTTGTTTACTGCATTGAGGATTCAGTGTAATAATGGGCTTATTACGCTCTGCTCGTACTACTGACACAGCACCTAAGCATGACCAGTAACAATATGATATCCAGTAAAATATGATGTAAAATATGAGCAAGTAAAACAATAAATAGGAATAAAATGCATTTATAAAAAATAATAATAATTTTAAAGTTAAGGGTAGAATTTGAAAATATTCTTACATTCAACATTTAATTCTGTCTCACTTGTAGCTTTCTGACCCCCGGGATATGACACTGTGCACCTCACTCTCTGATCTTCCTCTGACACAGTCCACACTCGTTCGACTCTTTGCTCCCAAACCCCATCAGACAACATGGTGTGCCGAGTGTTATCCTCTCCACTAACCCCAGACACGGCCAGGCTGGGAGGGGCAGAGATACAGGAATGCTGTACGCTGCAGGACACTCTGCTCTGCTCCCCGACCCTCAGGATGCCAATGAGACTCAGCTCAGGTTCTTTAGCATGATCTGCAACAATTAAAACAATATAATTATCTATTTGTGATCTGATCCAATTTTGGTGATATAATTGTAATTCAGTGCCTCTGTTCAAGCATTTGTAAACATATACCATGTCATGTCATGGCATCAATGTTATGCCATGTGAAATTTCAGAAGCAGCAGAATAATGTAAAAATAATAATATAATAATAGTAATATATTTTAATTCTATGCCACCCACTTCTAATTTAACATTTAAGTAAATAAGTTAACATTTCTAACCTGAAACAATGATCTGTGTAGTTTTGTCATAAAACGAAAACCCTGTGGTGTGGTAGGAGGTTATGGGGTTCTTGTCCACCCATGGGTACACTCTGTCCTGGCTGTGGGACATCTGCAGTCTCTCAATTTTCAGAGTGCAGTTTCCATCTTTCACTGACCCAATTAAACTTGTTCTGCTGCTGTATTTACTGACCATCCCTTGGTTTTGGCTATAAACAGGGGAGTATCCTTTGCTGTCATACAAGTACCATATGACCTTTGGGTCAGTGGGCCGGGAGTGACTGTAAGTGAAAGTGCAGGGGACAACAACACAGGAGCCTGCTATCCCTGAGATACTGCTGGGAGCGCTGAAGGACCATCCAAGGGACATCATGTTTCCTGTAAGAGTCAATGCAAAACAGAGTTAAATCTATTTTATGTATTCTCAAACCTATGGCAATATTAGGCAAGAGTGCCACAGACTGATGGGTGACCTTCCTAATGCACAAATCAAATAATACAAATCCCATGTACACACATTTGAACAGTCAGTGGAGCAAGCCTGTGTGAAAGCACATTAAAGTCATCTGATTGTTGTCATCTGAAGTTCCAAGCTGTTTGAGCAAAATGTGCAGATATTGTATATTTAAAAAAAAAAAAAAAAGAATTATAATAAATAACTCCCATCTGCACATACATATTCTGATTCCCCTGTTGAGGGCAGGGAGGGCAGGGTTAATCTCCCTGCCCTCAACATACTCAATGTGAAAGAACGGGGTTTGGTGTATTCGCGAGGCTCAATGAACATAGTATCTGAAACTTTGTACAAAACTCAGCTGTTCAGAAAAGTAAATGAGACCCATGTTTTATGGTGTTGATGTAGCAAGTTAACTTACTTTTAACACGCAGTGAAATACTTGCTTCCTGCCTTTGACCCCCTGTAAAGACTGCATAACATGTGAGATCATTCCCATGATCCTTAGCAGCAGATATGAATTTCACTGTGGATATGGTTTTCCACAGAGCCTTCCCACTGCTGCTCATGTGGGCGGAGGCCTCCATGTTGCCATAGTTCCAGGTCAGGGTCGGGTTGTTCTGTGCACAGGTATATGAGGCTGTGCATGTCACTTTAGAGGGTACTCCCTCCAGGAACTCTTCAGTCATAGATGTGATGGACAGAGGTGAGAAAGAGCCTGGAATACAACAAAATCAACAAAGTACTGTAAAAGTAAAATATAGAAAAAATTTAAAAAAACAAGAGAGTAGTCAACAAGTGTACAGGCACAAACACTGTCAGTTAGTTCTGAGACTTCTCCAACCTTCACCACAAACCTCACATGCCATGGCTAATCGCTAATTCTTGCCCATGGGATGTAACAGATACCAGGCCTATGCAGTGGCAAAATTTTCACATCATCACAAATAATAAATGTTGTGTAACTATTGAATTAAAATGACTTTATCACGCTGTATGTCCTACATGCATTAACACCTACACTTAGCATTGAGTGTCTGAGTTGTCTTCTCTGTTTCACCCCCTTTATATTTAGCCACACACTCCACAATCTGTTGGTCTCTCTCCACAAACATGAGGGTGCTGAGCATGGTTTTGGACGTGCCGTCGGTCAGCCTGATTTGGTGCAGGGAGTGGTCCTTCAGTGGGATGTTGAGGCTCAGAGAGGGAGGATAGTGGTGGCATGAGTGGTAGACAGTACACTGCACCTTCACGTACTGGCCCACCTTCATGACCCCAGTCACCATCAGGTTTGGCTTCTTTGCTCTGTCTTAAAATGTAAGGTAAGAAAAAATGTAATTGGCTACTGATAAACTTCTGGTTGATGAGGAATTAATTAATTTATAATATGTGCTAAAAAACAAAAAAGCCATGCCCCTTAAATGACAGATAAGCTATAACATAAAATACCTTACCTACAACTTCGATAGTGACAGTTGTCTCATAAAAGGCGTAGGTGCCTGAGCCCACATTCTCAGGGTCGACCCAGGGGTAGAGGGTTTGTCTGTGGTGGGACCAGGTGACGGGGTAGATCTGCAGGGTGCAGCTCCTTCTATCAGTGAGCACATGTGTCTTTCCTTTAAAGATAGGTATAACACTGTCCGGGTACCAGTCATCATAGACCAGAGGATAGCCCCGTTTCACGTACTGGTACCACACCACACGGTTTGGATTGACGGGAGGATTCTGATAATAGTCAAAGCTGCAGGGGATGACCAGGCAGGAGCCCTTCAGTGCAACTATGTGACGAGGCATTTGCACACGCCAAGCCACACAACAGATGCAAAAACATCCTAAAACAAGATGGTTAACATGGATCATGTGAACAGACAATTGAGTCTATGGTCAAAGTGTTAGGAGAGGCCTACCAGTTATACAAAGCTTCAGGAGGAAGTGGAGTCCAAGCATAACTGGTGTGATAGACCTATAACTAAAAATGACCCCAAAAAGACAAATTATGAAATAAAAGTGATGATATGTGACAATTATCTATATCCCTACATCACAAAATGCAAATGAGTGGATAATGTGTCATTTATATGAAATCTGCTACTCTACCACTGGTACTAGCAAATATGATTACCAAAAGCATATATTTTTTTAAATAATATGTTTTGATGCCTGGTGGGCCTTTGGAAAGTACTAAAGTTAAGCAGTGTCACTCACCATAAAAAACAATTAAAAAAACAATATTAATAGAAGTTAATGGAATTTCTGAACATTGTAGTTCTGTAGTACTCTGTAGTTTTGTCAATCTAAAATGGCATAGGAATAGGTCATATAAAAACTGTTCAGGCACTGGTATACCCAGAAAAATAGAAATGTGTGAAAGAAAGTGAATTTTTCATATGGGTCAGTCCATATGAAATCAGTTGTTCTCAAGGAATCTCCCCTATGAGCCATCTCAGATTTGGGTGAAAAAATTTCAAAACATTTCTAAAATGTCCAAATGAAAGAATCTAAAATTTTAGCTCTATCCCTTAGTCGTTCCTGAGTTATGGCCCCTTGAAATTTTTGAGCCAAACCCACTTTTTCAGAAGCCTTAATTTATAAGCACTTTTGAAAGACCATAACTTCATAAAAAATAGAGCTAGGAAGCTGAAAATTTGTATTATTGTAGATTACTGTAGATTCTTGGTTCAAATATTGGATATTTTAAGGGACCCCAAAGTCTCAAATTTGGTTGCCAAGGTTGGTCCGAGATCTATTTACTCCAAGCAGATATTTACAAACTAACTGTTGAACCTGAATCTTGGAGAGAATGACCATTTCTGACAGCAATCACAGACTTTTCTGAGCTTTGGAGTCCCAAATATGGTCACAGACCAGATTTGACCTTTTTGGCCCCTTCTTTGGACCCTTGGTTCCCCACTGCTAATGAATTTCAGAAGCAATGTTTGGATCCTGTCATAATCTGCAGTGTCACGGTGATAATTTTGCGCTCTTCTTCCCTGAACTTCTGGAACCTTAATACAACAGATTATGTGCTGAAATGGGACCCAACATGGTTCTGCCGATGTTCAGGAGGCCAGATGAGGTTTCTGTCGTCTCCATTCATGAATCTCACATAGACATCACCATGTTCATCTGAATGCTCTGAAACATTTCCAATGAACCACTTGTTGTTATAAATACATGCACTGTATTGACTTGGCTGGTAAAGAGAGATATCTGGCACAATCTCATTTTGTATTTCAGATACTGAAACTTCAGTACATAAATTATCTTTTTATCTTTATTCTCCTCATTTATAATTTACCATTTGACACCGGAATGAAACTGTGGAGTGATCTTGTACCATTCACAGTCTTTGCCTTGCTATAGCGCTTTTCAAGTTTGGAAGCAAGTTCATGGTTTGTAATGTTTTTAGAGCTTACAAAGAAAAACATTACATTCTTTATGTTTTCTGAAGCCCACTCAAACATCGCGAGTGAGGTCAACATTTGATTGCCTGAAGACTGGCCCTTGCAGCTGAGCGTTTTACTGTGTCACCAAAACCATCACAAGCAATGTACCACACATAATCTCCAGTTGTTGTCCCTTATAACAAGCAAATAGTGTTCAAGGCTATTAAAGATAATTTAATCTTTCTAGCAGGTGGAAAAGTACCTAAGCTCCACCGAAACTTACCCATGAGAACTAATTTTCAAAAATTCAATTTGAAATGAAGGAAGTTAATAGTTGATGTTTTTATTACGTCAAACTAATCAGAATATGCCAAACTTCTTCTGCTAAACATTTTATTGACATCTAACTGTGCCCACATGGGGAACCGAGGGTCCAAAGGGGCCAAAAAGGTCACATGTGGTCTGTGACCATATTTGGGACTCCACAGCATCCACATGAAAGCTCAGAAAAGTGTAAGATTGCTGTCAGAAATGGTCATTCTCTCAAATATTTAGGTTCAACAGTTAGTTTGTCAATATCTGCTTGGAGTAAATAGATCTTGGATCTCAAAAATTGAAAAAAAATAAAATAAAAATTGAGCCGCAACCAAATGTGAGATTTTTGGGGCTCCTTAATAAAGATATCCAATATTTGACAACAGATTTAGAATCTAAAATAATACAAATTTTCATCTTCCTAGCTCTATTTTTTTTATGAAGTTATGGTCTCTCAAAAATGCTTATAAATTAAGGCTTCTGAAAAAGTCGGCATGACCCTAAAATTTCAACAGTCTGTAACTCAGGAACGACTAAAGGGATTGGGCTAAAATTTTAGATTCTTTCATTGGGTCATTTTAGAAATGTTTTGAAAAATTTTCAGCCAAATCTGAAATGGCTCATAGGGGAGGGCAGTTGATTTCATATGGACTAACCCTTGTGTAATCATAAAACCCATCATCAAAGAACAAAATTCTTACTCGATCATTAAAATCATGTCATCAACATATTCTCAAAGGCAAAGCACAAACACATTCACTGAAACATCCACAGAGATAAAATAAAATAACAAATTAAAAAGCCACATGCATGAATCTAATAAAACTCACCCAACTCCTGTAAGTCAGTTCTTCTCAAGGTTTTACACAGATGTGTTCAAAAAGCATGGTTCCTGCTTTATATTTATTTCTATTAGGACACTCCCTTCACACTAGTTTTCCCACTATTTTGCCCACTTGTCAAATCACTAAACATTTACATGTTTTACTTTTAGTCAATTTTAGTTTATTAGTTTACACAACATTTATTAATGTATGAGATTTTCAAATACACATTTCAATTACTAACTAATCATACAATCAAAACAACAATTATAATAATATTATATATTCAAAAGTATTAGAAAAATTATGTAATCAGCATATTCTCAAAGACAATCAAAAGATGTCATAACTGATTAAAATGCAGTTGACTAAATATACTTCAAAGCTAACAGATTAGTCACTATTTTGCCAAAATAAAAGCCTAACCCTAAAAAAAAAAAGAAACTGAAGCTATGTTTCCTGAAAAGTTTTTTGTGTTTGGTTTATGAAAGACTTGTTATCTTAATGTTGATCTATGAGATATGGACAAAGCAATGGACAAACCAGTGGTGTTACTGTTGCAAAAATGCAGATTTTCAACATCAACATGAAGTTATTGCCTATTTTCTTTCTCAACTTTTTTGAAAATGTACAAAACATGCTTGAAAATCTCTTCAGAGGTTCCCATAGACGTTCAGATCAGCCGTATTCATGTAATCATCACCATCATCCTGCACAAGAAATGCATAGTTATAGAATAGAAACCAAGAGAAACATAGAAAGGAATACTCATTACAATACCTCATTGAAGGAGCATCCTTTAGGCTTACTATTTCCATCAGTGCCATAAGCAAGACAATTGTTAAAATAAAATACATGATGTTTTTATGTAGAAAGTTGAAATGTTTGTTGTACCTTTTTGGAGATGGAAAACGAGGCTTTGAAAAATTAGTGTCATTGTTTTGGGGCCTGTAGAGAATATAATCAATTATAAGAGATGACCTTTAACCTTTTAATATTAGTTTAATAAAACAATTACATATGTATTACATCCAAAGTTACATATAATTTTTATCTGGTTATTTGAAATTAGTTTATATAAAAATAAATGTCACACATGGAAAGTTTTTATTGGTTGAACTTCTCCAAAACACTGATAACTTATATATTTTCACCACCTGCCCACAACTTCACAGAAATAAAAAGAGAAGCAAAACTTCAGGCAAATGAAATAAATGGAACTCCAGTGATGCGTGTGATACATGGCATTTAACTATACAAAAATAAACGTTTACTTTTTAGAAAAATACACATTCATATTGTCTTGCCTATGTCCAGAATGGATTTCTCTTGGACTTCGGATCCTGGGAAAAAAAATATTACATTAAAATGACTTGAACAGTTAAAGATGACAGTTGATAAATACACTTCTTACCTCCGAGACAGCCTGGACAGCCTGTTAAACATACTATTGGAAACAACAAAGAAAATGAAAACTTAATAAAAACCTTTTACTATGTTTTAGGTTACTTCATAGGTTACTTACTTGCCCTCTTGGTTTTGTAGCTCTTCAATGCGTCTCCTAAACCAGAAACAACATACTAGACATTTGTGTGACCACCAGGACCCCTTCTACATAAGAACTAGTAAATATATTTTTGCTGTACAAAAGTGGCACTAGGAGTTGTCATTGTTTTATGTTCCTATTACAAACCCTAATATGCTGTTGTTTAACTTTTCTAAATGATAAATGAAGCATTTCTAAAATATATCTTGACTTACTTGTATTTTTTCACTGTTAGGAAACACACTCCTCCAAAAATGACTGCTAATCCAACAGCCACACTGACAGGAATGATGATGTGGTTGTAGTTTTCCACACCTGCAATCACAACATTAATATTAGTATTTACATATTTTTTAATGAAACTGAAACTCTCTCACTGAATTCACTAGATTACAGAATCTGATCATGGGGCTAAATCAAAATAAAATTCAGTCATTTTGCTATTTTGTGGACTTGCATAGTATTTTCTTTGGGCCTACTTAAAGACAGGGGCAACTTAAGGTCCATTTATAACATGCATGTTTTTGTGATGTGACTGGATATCAGTGACAACAGTTATGTGTGTATTTCCCTCTAGTCATACGAAAATGCCATATAAAGGAAGGTTTTCAACACATTCGAATGTATGTATAAAAATGTCGAGTATATGTTACGTTTGACATAGAGAGTCATTTCCTTGGTAGACGTCTCCCCTCCTTTGAAGTGAGCTGTACAGGTGACCTTCTTGTGGTCATCTTTTTCTGCAGGGACGAAGGTCAGGACAGAACTGACTTCCCAAACTCCTCTGTGTACTTCCCTGTGACTCTCGGTGATCTCGCCCTCTGGGCTGCTCCATTTGAGCTTGGGTTTGAAGGTGGGACAGGTGTGAGTAACAAAGCAGCTGATGCTGAAGGGACGGCCCTCAACGGGGTCTTTGAATGTCAGTAATGGGGTCATCGGGCTGGCTACAAGAGGAGACATATCATAGTTAAGAAAGAATAATCCTGTAAACTACTTGAGGTAACACTTAGATTAACCAGTTTCTATGGGTTTTGGTCAACACCAAAGTATTCTGGTCCTGTTGTGTTCAATTGACTTTGCGCATGTAAACATTATTATTCACATTCACAAAGATGGATGATCCCTAAAATAATTATATTCTGAAGAAAGTTTATTTTTATAAGGCCAATGATGCTATTTTTTGAAACATACTGTATTGTGTTGTTATATTTAGGGCTTATAATTCATGCATTCCGTATTCTCAGCTACTTGGCCTTACTCATTACAATCCCCTGCTTCTTTTAATCACTACTTATTCATGCTTTATTAATGCTCAGTATAAGTTATAATTCACCCACTGGTTGCTTGACTTACAGAGCATGCTCAGAGTCACACAGTCATCCACAAAGGAGAACTTGTCTGCAGTCTTGGTGTCCTTTTCCGTTCGGGCCAGTTCGATGCGGAAACAGAAGGGCCCGTTGTCGTGGTTTTTGATTTCTGTGATTTCTAGTGTGCAGTTGCCTTTACCCAGCTCTCCTAGGAGGCGGGTGCGGCCCCTAAAGCTCTCTAAAACCATGGTGTTGTCCTCATAATAGATGAGCTCCTGACTGTTTTTGGAGCGATGCCATTGGGCCCTCATTCTGGAGGTGGGCAGGCGTTCCTTTGGGTGGCTGAAGGAACATGGCACTACCACACAAGAGCTGACCAACGCCTCCAAGTTTTTCTGCACTGAGGCTGTCCACTCTTCACTACAGACAGGAGCACTCAAAACTGTGAAATTAAAAAACATATTGATTGCTAAATTAAATTTGGTGCACAATTAGTTGTTTTAGTGTAGCACACATGGACAACGACCTCTGTGGCTTTAATACCCCTATCAGTCAATCATGTAAAATTGATTAAAGGTGCACTATGTAACATTTTCTGGTGGAGGGTCTACCATCTGATTGTCTCCATGAAAATGTTATTGCTTTGCTTGACTTGTTCCACTCATCAATAGCAATAATACAACCATCCTCCTTAAGAAAAGTTTCATAATGCACCTTTAATTTCTTATTGTCATCTTCATTCAATGTTATTTTTATATATTGCTAAAAAAAAAGATTTACTGAAAGTTACTAAAACCATGTAATTGTTATTAGTTAGACTACATGGTAAAAGGTGACTGATAATAAATGTATTTAAAGACAACGTTGTGATACTGACATATTTGTAGAGATGTAAATATATATGGATTTGGACTTCAGAAATGAAAACAAAGAGAAGTTTCCTAGATTAATAAATTAAGAGCATATGAACATCCGGGTCTGAATGAGGACTTTGATCTGTCTTGTTTTTTTATACATGCTATGTGTACGACCTCTGTGCTGATAGGCTCTCTCTATATTTCTGTTGTTTGTATGTTTGTATGTTTTTCTCATACACTCATATTTTTTTCATTATATTATTATTATTATTATTAAAAACAATTGGGCGTGCAAAAAAAAACAAAACAAAAAAAAACAAAAAAAACCCCTCCATGTTTAAAATAATTTCTTTCCTTCTTTGTTGAGGGCATGTACTTTAGAAGCACCTTTGAAATATATATTTTCTACTGCTTCAATCTAATATGCAATGTGAATCACTTACCTCCTAAGAGAAGATGAAGTTTGAGGATGAGTTCTTTAGTCATTTTTATTTTCGTGTCTCCAGTATACTGCAAAAATGCTACAAAATAACAGCACAAGATTTTGCAAAGCAAAGATGACACATATGAAAAGTTAAGGTTTTATGTCATTAGGTTCTTACCGGTTGAAGTGACTCTAACAAAGTGAGCTGAAACTTGCTGCTTGACGGCATATATATGCAAAAAGCAGGATGAGGGAGGAGTGTCCATAATGAAGATTCTTATTAATATCATTAAATATATTCCTATGAATATGAATGTGTACCCACATGTGTACTTGGATAAATATATATATTGTTTTATGTATGTATATATATATATATATATATATATATATATATATATATATATATATATATATATATATATATATATATATATATATATATATATATATATATATATATATATATATATATTAGGGTGGTCCAGAAAAACATGTAAAAAAATAAAAGTTTTAAATTTCTCGATTTGAACCCAGCAAACACTGACCATAAATACAAAAGCCAAAAGCAACAGGGTTAAAATTTCAGTGAAATCCAACATGATTTAGAGGTTGCACAAGCCTTTTTAAGTTTCAAGAATTCTCTCTCAAATAACAAAAGTGTGTCTGTTTGTCACACTGCTTTGTGTCTGATGAGCTGGCAGGATTACATACTCTACATTTTGCCACTTTTCATTAAATAATCCATTATAATCTTTCAATAAGCAATCATCTCCGCAACAGTCATACCAATTTAGCAGAGACAGAATAGTTGTCATATGAGATCAACACTCACAATCAGTTTACAGTCATGTATACTGTATAGCATGACTGCTGAAGACAAACTTTAGAAAAAGGCTATGAGGAAAGATTTGTCAGCTTAACATTGCTGATAGTGTTGGTAAATACATTTCTGTTTTCTGTTTTCTGGATGGCAAAAGTTCTTTACTGTTACAAAATCTGACTGTTCAGGAAACAATTTAAACTAAGAGTATGTGAAGAACGTGGGGTCTTCCACTTCCTGTTGTTTGTGACCCAAGTTCACATCCGTGCTTGGTTTACAGCACCCATGGCCGCTGAAGCACCATCAAATGACTTGCAATTCATGCAGGCTCTATACATACAGTAATCCAATTGTCAAGGAAGCAGGACTGACTGCATTCAAGCAACACCTTTGGTACTTGAGTGAAGTCATGATGGGGCTTGCTTTCTTTGATCACAATGTCAACACACATCAAAAGGTACAGATGGTTAGGGACATGCAAGAAAGAGAGGGATCACCCCATGTTCCCCACCGTCTTGATGCAAATGGAAGCTATGAACAGAAGACCCTCAGCAATTTTGTGACAAAGAATACAAATGCATTCTTTACTATTCTTGGTCTGCCACAGTCATTTCTGCAAATGCCACCTGAAATATGGAAGGAAAATGAGGAGTTCACTTATGCAGAGAAGGTAGTCCGATCCCTGAAAGTTGTGAACAACACAGCAGAACGGGGAGTGAAGTTGATCCAGGACTTCAATGCTATATTAACCAAATCAGAAGAACAGAAACAATTCCTACTACAGCTGGTTTAAAATCACAGAAAAAGCTATCCCTGACTCAAAGAAAGACACAGTTGTCAAAGGTCTTGCCACTTCTTCAAGTGAGCAGGCAGTTTGAACTGACTTGGTTATCGGGTTAGTCATTTTCATCAAATGATAATTTTTTATATAAGTTTCATTATATTATGTTACAACATGTGCTTTATGCATGTATATTATATAAATATATATATTAAACCTATAGCATATAAGGAATAAATACTTTGAAAATTGATATTTCTGCTGATTTATACTATTTGGCTAATAAAGAGAGATAAAAAGGTGATTTTTCTATGGTGTTGTGCAACCTCTAAATGTCATTTAATGTAGCTAAAATTTTTATGTGTTAACTTTGGTAGTAGGCCAAAATGCATGGTTCAAATTAGAAGAAAAAAGAAAAAAGTTTTTTGGGTCACCCCAATATAATATAATATATATATATATGTTTTTTATTGCAGTTATTGCAGTTTTTTTTTTTTTAATGCAGTGGTCAATCATCTGGAACATATCTCATCAGTCCACACAAGTCTCGGGCTCTTTCACAGAGTGTGAATATAGAGACCACATACAGATATACACACTGTGAGATGTGTAAATGTCATTGGTGGGCCATCACGACCTGCAAAGCCTTCTCTGCTGGCTTAAAAAAATATCTGAATCACAGACTACATAATAATTACATAATTACATAATTATTACATAATTCCAAATGGTCTGTCGACTTCCTTTCATAGCTTTTTTTGATTGGCTGCTTTCAGACTTGTATTTTTATATTAAAACAGTTGACCAATCACATTTCAGCCTTCATTTGTTGCCAGGCAGAGTCAGTCAAAGAAGTCTGTCTGAGTACATTCTGCTGGCCCTCCAACACAAAATAAATGTTGATGAAACCGTTGTGCTCCTGGAATCTCCACGGCTCTTTATACTGCATTTCTGTATAATAAGATGACTTTTATAACCATTAAATAGTTATTGAGGAGTGTATTGAAGGCCTAGATGTAAAATGCTTGTTTGATTTTCAAGAGCATATTACATATTATAGTACAAAAGTAATGTTGATGTATTTGCTATTCCAACATCTTTCAATTTGCTTTCTATCTTTGCAACTTTTTTGCTAAATATTTTTTTTAATCAAGTACTGTAAAATCTGCTTTGTAGTTAGCAATGTCTACATGTATATTTTACATAATACAATACAAACAGTTTTTAGACAAAAAGCAAAGCTTTACCAGTCCAAAATTCACATGTGTAAGAATGAACCCCAATGTCAGACTGCACTAAACCAGTGATTTTCTGTGGTCCCTTCTGAGCTAAGAGTGTCAAATGAATGAGTTTTGATGGTAAAACTTGCTTTTCGCTTTTGAATGTAAAACTGTACTTTTCAGTTTTGTTTAGGATTTTGTGTGAGCTGTTTTGCAAATGTCAGTGTTCAATAGAAGTGCATTGAACATCACTAGCAATACTCTTGTCACAGGTTACATCTTAGACTTTGCACACCACAACAGCCTGATGTTGTCTATCATAACAGTATCTGAACAGTATTTTATTTATTTATTTATTTATTGCTCATTCATTTAATTTTGTGAATGTGTATGTTTACAGTATCCTCCTGTGGTTTACAGTTCATTCATTTACATATTTTTCTTTGACACATAGTCCATCATTATTTTATCCCTGTACATTTTTTTTTTAATAATTACACTAGTGCAACTTTTGAAATCATAATTTAAAAAGTTCCATAACTTGACTCCATATGCAGAGACACACTATTTTAATGTTGTCCTTCAGAATACAGTTCAGAAAAAAATATTCTATAGTCACAGTTCTCTGAGCCAAACATAAAAAAAATTTGTACAGCTTTAGGTACATTTCTTTGTTTGGCTCTCCACATAACTAATAATATTAAGGTCAACAGTGTCTTTTAACTTTAGTTGATTAGACTTCACAAACTAATATCAGTGTGCTCTCTGAAACCTTCTTTGTTCATTATTCGTATTGCTCTTTTTTGCAGCAAAAACACACAAAAAAAGACTTTATTGGTACTTGAAGACTTTAATGTTTTTCCGAGTGAATGTGTGAACAGGATGTCACCACAGGTCTGAGGTGCATCACCCTAAAAGAGATATGAAGCTAAAGAAATGTCACAGCCCATTTAGATCTAGTGGACTTTATGCAACAGTGACTAATAACTACATAAGTACTAAACTTAAATGGTATTTTATGTATTATGAAATATATACAAGAAGTAAAAATAGTCAGTTTGTTTTGTGCTCATATTGTTTAGATCTGGTATAGCTTCACTTCAGCTCTGGTGGAGAATGTGAAAAAAAGACTTTTATGAGCTTCTAATATATAATAAATGTTTTTTACTCATCAGCATTAGCTTATTCTGCTTTTTATATGAATGATTCATGCTTTTTTGAGTAAACAAACATTTAAGGTTTTAATCCTCAGAAAAGTAAATTAACATATTTCTATTGTATTAAAGTTTGCAATAAATGCAAATTAAAAATCATGACATATATGAATGGTATAGTATCACTTTAAAATAAAACCTTTTTTGTTGATTATTTGTATTGCTCTTTTTTTGCATCAAGAACAAAGATTTTATGGTACTTGGTTAAGCATTGCCCCAAACTTCTGAGTAGTAGCTAAAATATGTGAGAATTAATGAGCACTATAAAGTATGAAGTGATCTGCAAACTAAAAAATATTTTACTTTTATAATATACCAATATTTTTACTGAACTTTCTTTTTATGTAGTCTGCATAAGACTTACAATAATTTTTTTCATCCAAAACTGTTTCCAAGAATTATTTCCCACTTACTCTTTCTATCAATAGATAACACCATCAGGAGCTACTGTCACATTTTCCTTCTTTTTTTGGTGACCAAAAATTATATACTTTGTTTAATCGCAGTCTAAAAAGAACTTATTTTCATTCAACCAAACTCACTTTTGCCATTCTTTATTTACTTTTAATGATTAGAACAGAATAAAACTTTTCTACATGTGTAACTGAGGCTCCTTCAACCCCAAAAATAATTGTGTTGTGTTATCTTAATAAATTAGTATTGAGAAATATATTGCAGCATTGGAATGCTTAACATGCTGAGTGTGCAAAGAGCCCTAATGAACTTCTCCTTTTAATGTTTCTCGTAAAACATTATATAATATAGTATAATTGACTATGCTACTTATGTCCATAATTAACTAAACTGTTAAAAGTCAAGCAAAATGTGGAGAGGCCAAGTACACATTTTACTTTTTTTTTTTTTTTGTCTAAATACAAATGCCAAAGATTTTTGCAGAATCTAAAACACAGTGATCAACTATTTAAACCCAGATTGCAACTGTAACATTGTAACCCACAGTCTGCACATGCTGTGCACCTAAATACTGCACACTCCACAGACCAAAGACACAAAGAACAAAACTGAACATACACAAATCACAATATGAAGAGATTTATAGACACACATAGAAGCACTTGAAACACAAAAGACTTCTGTAGTGAAAACCTGTGTGAACCAGGTTTTCATTTAAACACTTGGAAGTTCAAATCTG